ATTGTTAAAAAAGTGATCACAAATAATAGCTAAAAACGCCGAAAACTCAATATTTAAGGAGTTATGGCCATTTTAAAATATGCAATAATTCATAGTTAAAAAAGTGATCACAAATAATAGCTAAAAACGCCGAAAACTCAATATTTAAGGAGTTATGGCCATTTTAAAATATGCAATAATTCATGGTTAAAAAAGTGATCACAAATAATAGCTAAAAACGCCGAAAACTCAATATTTAAGGAGTTATGGCCATTTTAAAGAATGCAATAATTCATAGTTAAAAAAGTGATCACAAATAATAGCTAAAAACGCCGAAAACTCAATATTTAAGGAGTTATGGCCATTTTAAAATATGCAATAATTCATTGTTAAAAAAGTGATCACAAATAATAGCTAAAAACGCCGAAAACTCAATATTTAAGGAGTTATGGCCATTTTAAAATATGCAATAATTCATAGTTAAAAAAGTGATCACAAATAATAGCTAAAAACGCCGAAAACTCAATATTTAAGGAGTTATGGCCATTTTAAAATATGCAATAATTCATTGTTAAAAAAGTGATCACAAATAATAGCTAAAAACGCCGAAAACTCAATATTTAAGGAGTTATGGCCATTTTAAAATATGCAATAATTGATTGTTAAAAAAGTGATCACAAATAATAGCTAAAAACGCCGAAAACTCAATATTTAAGGAGTTATGGCCATTTTAAAAAAATACAATAATTCATGGTTAAAAAAGTGATCACAAATAATAGCTAAAACGCCGAAAACTCAATATTTAAGGAGTTATGGCCATTTTAAAAAATACAATAATTCATGGTTAAAAAAGTGATCACAAATAATAGCTAAAAACGCCGAAAACTCAATATTTAAGGAGTTATGGCCATTTTAAAATATGCAATAGTTCATGGTTAAAAAAGTGATCACAAATAATAGCTAAAACGCCGAAAACTCAATATTTAAGGAGTTATGGCCATTTTAAAAAATACAATAATTCATGGTTAAAAAAGTGATCACAAATAATAGCTAAAAATATTTATTTCAATATTTAAGGAGTTATGGCCATTTTAAAATATGCAATAGTTCATGGTTAAAAAAGTGATCTCAAATAATAGCTAAAAACGCCGAAAACTCAATATTTAAGGAGTTATGGCCATTTTCAAATATGCAATAATTCATGGTTAAAAAAGTGATCACAAATAATAGCTAAAAACGCCGAAAACTCAATATTTAAGGAGTTATGGCCATTTTAAAATATGCAATAGTTCATGGTTAAAAAAGTGATCACAAATAATAGCTAAAACGCCGAAAACTCAATATTTAAGGAGTTATGGCCATTTTAAAAAATACAATAATTCATGGTTAAAAAAGTGATCACAAATAATAGCTAAAAATATTTATTTCAATATTTAAGGAGTTATGGCCATTTAAAAAAAAGGAGTTATGGCCATTTAAAATAGTTCATGGTTAAAAAAGTGATCACAAATAATAGCTAAAAACGCCGAAAACTCAATATTTAAGGAGTTATGGCCATTTTCAAATATGCAATAATTCATGGTTAAAAAAGTGATCACAAATAATAGCTAAAAACGCCGAAAACTCAATATTTAAGGAGTTATGGCCATTTTAAAATATGCAATAGTTCATGGTTAAAAAAGTGATCACAAATAATAGCTAAAAACGCCGAAAACTCAATATTTAAGGAGTTATGGGCATTTTAAAATATGCAATAGTTCATGGTTAAAAAAGTGATCACAAATAATAGCTAAAAACGCCGAAAACTCAATATTTAAGGAGTTATGGCCATTTTAAAGAACGCAATAATTCATAGTTAAAAAAGTGATCACAAATAATAGCTAAAAACGCCGAAAACTCAATATTTAAGGAGTTATGGCCATTTTAAAATATGCAATAGTTCATGGTTAAAAAAGTGATCACAAATAATAGCTAAAACGCCGAAAACTCAATATTTAAGGAGTTATGGCCATTTTAAAAAATACAATAATTCATGGTTAAAAAGGTGATCACAAATAATAGCTAAAAATATTTATTTCAATATTTAAGGAGTTATGGCCATTTTAAAATATGCAATAATTCATGGTTAAAAAAGTGATCACAAATAATAGCTAAAAATGCCGAAAACTCAATATTTAAGGAGTTATGGCCATTTTAAAGAATGCAATAATTCATGGTTAAAAAAGTGATCACAAATAATAGCTAAAAATGCCGAAAACTCAATATTTAAGGAGTTATGGCCATTTTAAAGAATGTAATAATTAATGTTAAAAAAGTGATCACAAATAATAGCTAAAAACGCCGAAAACTCAATATTTAAGGAGTTATGGCCATTTTAAAATATGCAATAATTCATGGTTAAAAAGTGATCACAAATAATAGCTAAAAACGCCGAAAACTCAATATTTAAGGAGTTATGGCCATTTTAAAGAATGCAATAATTCATGGTTAAAAAAGTGATCACAAATAATAGCTAAAAATGCCGAAAACTCAATATTTAAGGAGTTATGGCCATTTTAAAGAATGTAATAATTAATGTTAAAAAAGTGATCACAAATAATAGCTAAAAACGCCGAAAACTCAATATTTAAGGAGTTATGGCCATTTTAAAATATGCAATAATTCATGGCTAAAAAAGTGATCACAAATAATAGCTAAAAACGCCGAAAACTCAATATTTAAGGAGTTATGGCCATTTTAAAATATGCAATAATTCATGGTTAAAAAAGTGATCACAAATAATAGCTAAAAACGCCGAAAACTCAATATTTAAGGAGTTATGGCCATTTTAAAACATGCAATAATTCATGGTTAAAAAACTGATCACAAATAATAGCTAAAAACGCCGAAAACTCAATATTTAGGGAGTTATGGCCATTTTAAAGAATGCAATAATTCATGGTTAAAAAAGTGATCACAAATAATAGCTAAAAACGCCGAAAACTCAATATTTAGGGAGTTATGGCCATTTTAAAGAATGCAATAATTCATGGTTAAAAAAGTGATCACAAATAATAGCTAAAAACGCCGAAAACTCAATATTTAGGGAGTTATGGCCATTTTAAAGAATGCAATAATTCATGGTTAAAAAAGTGATCACAAATAATAGCTAAAAACGCCGAAAACTCAATATTTAGGGAGTTATGGCCATTTTAAAGAATGCAATAATTCATGGTTAAAAAAGTGATCACAAATAATAGTTAAAAACGCCGAAAACTCAATATTTACGGAGTTATGGCCATTTTAAAGAATGCAATAACTCATGGTTAAAAAAGTGAGCGCAAATAATAGCTAAAAACGCCGAAAACTCAATATTTGAGGAGTTATGGCCATTTTAAAAAATTCAATAATTCATGGTTAAAAGGTGATCACAAATAATAGCTAAAAACGCCGAAAACTCAATATTTAAGGAGTTATGGCCATTTTAAAATATCCAATAATTCATGGTTAAAAAAGTGATCACAAATAATAGCTAAAAACGCCGAAAACTCAATATTTGAGGAGTTATGGCCATTTTAAAGAATGCAATAATTCATGGTTAAAAAAGTGATCACAAATAATAGCTAAAAACGCCGAAAACTCAATATTTAAGGAGTTATGGCCATTTTAAAAAATTCAATAATTCATGGTTAAAAGGTGATCACAAATAATAGCTAAAAACGCCGAATACTCAATATTTAAGGAGTTATGGCCATTTTAAAGAATGCGATAATTAATGGTTAAAAAAGTGATCACGAATAATAGCTAAAAACTCAATATTTAAGGAGTTATGGCAATTTTAAAGAATGCAATAATTCATGGTTAAAAAAGTGATCACAAATAATAGCTAAAAACGCCGAAAACTCAATATTTAAGGAGTTATGGCCATTTTAAAATATGCAATAATTCATGGTTAAAAAAGTGATCACAAATAATAGCTAAAAACGCCGAAAACTCAATATTTAAGGAGTTATGGCCATTTTAAAATATGCAATAATACATGGTTAAAAAAGTGATCACAAATAATAGCTAAAAACGCCGAAAACTCAATATTTAAGGAGTTATGGCCATTTTAAAATATGCAATAATTCATGGTTAAAAAAGTGATCACAAATAATAGCTAAAAACGCCGAAAACTCAATATTTAAGGAGTTATGGCCATTTTAAAATATGCAATAATACATGGTTAAAAAAGTGATCACAAATAATAGCTAAAAACGCCGAAAACTCAATATTTAAGGAGTTATGGCCATTTTAAAATATGCAATAATTCATGGTTAAAAAAGTGATCACAAATAATAGCTAAAAACGCCGAGAACTCAATATTTAAGGAGTTATGGCCATTTTAAAATATGCAATAATTCATGGTTAAAAATGTGATCACAAATAATAGCTAAAAACGTCGAAAACTCAATATTTAAGGAGTTATGGCCATTTTAAAATGTGAAAAAGGCCAAGGACTATCTGAGCTATGAACGTGGTTGTAATTACCTCTCAAAACTTACCATAAATTTTATAGATTGCAGTTGATAGAGTAGACTCGCCATACTCGATTGTGTTTGATTACAAGTTACGTTCCTTTCACCCTTCGACGTGGACGCTTCCAGTGACTGTTTGGCCAATTAATAGAAAATTATGAAAATCTTTAACATTTCACAAGTACTACGGAATGGACAAAAACGGTCTTAACTTAATAAATCTAGCAATACCTCCGACATTTCATTTCTCGCAATACCTCCGACATTTCGCTGCAACCCACATAGGTAATAACATCGAAGTTGGAGTACTTCGAGAGAGTCTGAGATATCACAGTTTTGCCACAGCCAAAGGAACCGATAGGGCTTGTGCGCCACCCAACACAGAGGGAAAGAGAGCATTAATCACACGTTATCCTGTGAACAGAGGATAGTTCAAGGACCATTTCTCCGTCATCGGTCGGGAATGTTTTACAGGCCACACTTGCACTACCCCCAGTACCAATATCCCAGTTAACCTAGAAAATCACTTCAAAAATACAAACGAAAAACAAATCAAAACAACTCCGCACACAATGGATAATTTCGATTTACAATTTTCGAATGCGGAACTATCAACCGCCAATATTGAAGATTCAACCATTGCCTATTCCTCGCTGGATGTTAACAATGCCGAGGACACAATGCCTCCAATGGATTATGCAACTGATAGCCACGAGGAGCATAGCATGGGAAGAGTTTATGGTGTTTCGGGGCCCGTTGTGACAGCTGAGAATATGATTGGAGCAGCCATGTATGAACTGGTGCGAGTTGGGCACACCCATTTGGTGGGAGAAATTATACGACTTGAAGGTGATATGGCCACCGTGCAGGTTTATGAAGACACCTCCGGGCTGGCGGTGGGAGATCCTGTTGAACGCACGGGTAAACCTTTATCTGTGGAGCTGGGTCCAGGCATAATGGGCAACATTTTCGATGGCATACAACGCCCCTTGCGTTCCATACACGAACTGACCCAGTCCATTTATATACCCAAGGGTGTGGATATCAAGAGTTTGTCTCGAGAAAAGACCTGGGATTTTGTGCCCTGTAATATGCGTGTGGGATCAGTGGTTACGGGTGGAGACATCATTGGTTATGTTGTGGAAAATTCTCTGGTCACACATCGCATAATGTTACATCCCCGAGCCAAGGGGCGGGTAACGTTTGTGGCACCTGCCGGAAATTATACCATTGTTGATGAAATTTTGGAAACGGAATATGAAGATCGCAAGACACAACACAAGATGTTGCAGGTGTGGCCTGTAAGACATCCCCGTCCGGTCGCGGAGAAATGGCCTTCGAATTATCCCCTATTCACTGGTCAACGTGTGATCGATGCTCTGTTTCCCTCGGTGTTGGGTGGTACAACGGCCATACCGGGGGCTTTTGGCTGTGGCAAAACTGTGATATCTCAAGCTCTGTCGAAGTACTCCAACTCGGATGTTATTATCTATGTGGGTTGTGGCGAACGAGGCAATGAAATGTCGGAGGTATTGCGGGATTTCCCGGAATTGTCGGTGGAAATCGATGGTGTGACTGAGTCAATAATGCAAAGAACCGCTTTGGTGGCAAATACCTCCAATATGCCAGTGGCTGCCCGAGAAGCCTCCATTTATACCGGCATAACCTTGGCCGAATATTTCCGCGACATGGGCTATAATGTTTCAATGATGGCTGATTCCACTTCCCGTTGGGCTGAGGCATTGCGTGAAATTTCCGGCCGTCTAGCCGAAATGCCAGCTGATTCCGGCTATCCCGCCTATTTGGGCGCCAGATTGGCCTCATTCTATGAAAGAGCAGGGAGAGTCAAATGTCTAGGTAATCCCAAACGTGAAGGATCCGTATCGATTGTGGGTGCTGTTTCACCACCCGGTGGTGATTTCTCCGATCCCGTTACCTCTGCCACACTGGGTATTGTTCAAGTCTTTTGGGGTCTGGATAAAAAACTGGCTCAACGCAAACACTTTCCCTCAATTAATTGGTTAATTTCCTATTCGAAATATACACGTGCCCTGGATCCATATTATGATAAGAATTTTCCCGGCTTTGTTCCATTACGTCAAAAGGCCAAGGAAATATTACAAGAGGAGGAAGATCTTTCGGAAATTGTACAACTGGTGGGTAGAGCTTCATTGGCCGAAACGGATAAGCTGACCTTGGAAGTGGCAAAAATGCTCAAGGATGATTTTTTACAACAGAACTCCTATTCAAGCTATGATCGTTTTTGTCCATTCTATAAGACTTTTGGAATGTTGAAGAATCTAATTAATTTCTATGAATTGGCCAAACAGTCACTGGAAACGTCCACGACGAAGGGGGAAAGGAAAGTCACTTGGAATCAAATACAATCGAATATGTCTGGGCTACTTTATCAATTGCAATCCATGAAATTTATGGTAAGTTTTGAGAGGGAATTGAAAGAAAACGGCATAAAGGTCGACGTTTATAGCTCTGAGAGTCCCTGAAACCCACGTTTATAGGACTGACAGTCCTTGAAAAAATATTTTTTAAAATCCACGGTTGTAGCTCTGATAGTCCTTGAACAAATGTTGCTCAAAAATCCAGCTTTATAGCACGAAAAGTTCTCGACAGATTAAGAATCCACTCTTAAACCTCTGATAGTCTTCGACAATTTTTGTTTAAAATTCTAGCTCTGAAAGTTCTTATTTTTTTAATCTATTTTTATTGCTCTGATAGTCTTTGAAAAAAAAAGTTGTTTAAAAATCCATGTCTATAACTCCTAAGTCCTTAAAAAATTTTGTTTAAAAATTAAGGGTTTATAGATCTGATAGCCCGTTAAAAATTTTGTTTAAAAATTCAATTTCAAAGCTCTGATAGTCCCTGAAAAAAGTTTGTTTAAGAATTGTCCTGTCTGATAGTCCTTGAATAAAATTAGTTGAAAAATCCTTATTTATAGCTCTCATAATCCTGAATAAAATTTTGTCTAAAAATCCACGTTTGTAGCTCTGATATTTCTTGAAACATTAAAATCAAAAATCCAATTTTTATGACACTTTTAAAAAATTTGGTTTAAAATTTCTAGACCTTGAAAAATTTTTGTTCCAAAATCCGCGTTTAAGGCTCTAATGATAGTCCTCGAAAAAAAAGTGTTTAAAAATACAATTTTATAGCACTGATAGTCCTTAAAACAATTTTGTTTATAATTCAACGTTTATAGCTCCGATAGTACTTGAAAAAAATGTTTAAAAATTTACGCTTATAGCTCTGATAGTCCTTGGAAAAAAATGTTTAAAAATCCAATTTTATAGAACTGATTGTCCTTGAAACAATTTTGTTTAAAATTCCACGTTTATAGCTCTAATAGTTCTTGAAAAAAAATTATTTAAAAATCCACGCTTATAACTTTATTAGTCCTTGAAGAAATATTTTAAAAATTCACATTTGACAGTGTTTGAAAACATTTTGTTTACGAATGCACGTTTATAGCTCTGATAGTCCTTGAGCAAATTTTGTTTACGAAGCCACGTATATAGCTCTGATAACCCTTGAAAAAGTTTTGCTTAAAAATCCATGTTTATAGATCTGATGGTCCTTGAAAAAAATTTCGAATCCACCTTTCTAGCTCTGATAGTCCTTGGAAAAATTTTATTTAAAAATCCACGTTTATAGCTCTTGATTTTTTGATTAAAAATTATTACTATCTCTGATAGACCTAAAAAAAAATATTGTTAAAAAATCGACGTTTACAGCTCTGAAAGTCCTTGAAAAAATATTTTTAAAAAATCCACATATACAGCTCTAAAAGACCTTGAAAAAATATTTTTAAAAAATCCACATGTACAGCTCTGAAAGTCATTGAAAAAATATTTTTAAAAAATTCCGATAGTCCTTGGAAAAATTTTATTTAAAAATCCACGTTTATAGCTCTTGATTTTTTGATTAAAAATAATTACTATCTCTGATAGACCTTGAAAAAAATATTTTTAAAAAAATCCACGTTTACAGCTCTGAAAGTCCTTGAAAAAATATTTTTAAAAAATCCGCATATACAGCTCTAAAAGACCTTGAAAAAATATTTTTAAAAAATCCACATGTACAGCTCTGAAGGTCATTGAAAAAAATTTTTAAAAAATTCACATGTACAGCTCTGAAAATCCTTGAAAAAATATTTTTAAAAATTCACGTTCTAATTGTTCTTGAAAATTTTTTATTTAAAAATCCCTGTCCTGTTAGTGCTTGAAAAAAATTGTTTAAAAATCTTATTTATAGCTCTCATAGTCCTTGCAAACATTTTGTTTACAAATTCACATTTATAGCTCTGTTAGCCCTTAAAACAATATTTTAAAAAATAAAGAGCTATAAACGTGGACTTTAAAACAAATTTTTCCAAGTACTATCCGAGCAACAAACGTAGATTTTTAAAGTGCAAATCTGTGTTTATTTTTTATTTGTTTATTTTTTATTTATTTATTATCATATATATCATAATTTTTTTTTTGATTTCTAGGATCCCTTAAAAGATGGAGAAGATAAAATTTTGGAGGAATATGGAATTCTAAACGAGTCTATTGAAGTGGCCTTCAGTAATTTGTGTGAGGGTGATTAGAGATCCAATTTTGAGTAAAATTTGTGTTTTTGGTTATTAAATAAAAAAATTGTCCAACAAATGAACTGAATAACCGACAAATTGTGTTTTCAATCCAGCGGGCTCTGAACAGGAGTTCACAATCGAGCAATTAACAGATCTTGTGTCTTTGGAAATATTGAGATGTACTAAGTCTGAATGGAATCGGATGTTAATTTCGCCTTTTATGAGCTTCATGGATATTCTAAACTTTGACCCTTTGTGGGGGAGGTACTTAATGGAGTTGGGCCTATATTGTTCATTTTCTTACCTGATCTAGCACTGATGCAAATATAAGGATTATTTGAATATCGGATTATCCTTTCTCTTTCTGTGCAGTATAATATGTTTTTGAAAATTTTGACCAGAAGGAGTGGGCCGATATTGCCCATCTCCGAACTCGATCTAAGTTTGATAATAATATTACGATGTACCAAGTTTGGACCAAATCGGATACTCCCTTAGAGAGTTATCGTGCGCACTAGCCAGCAGGCAGACATACAGACGGACGAACGGAAATCGCTAGATTGAACCAAATCCGTGGTTCAAAGAGACCAAGGGTCTTAAACTGTTATTTTGATGAGACACGTTTTGGCCATATCAAATGACCCTCTCTAGCCATGTGAACCCACCCTCTGACCTAACGACGTTGAATTCAATTCAGTTTGAAGTTTACATGGTATTTAAAACACAGGCACCTTGAACATTTTTCACCAACTGGACAATGGTGTTAAAATAAATAAAATTAACTCTTCTCCTGAAGCTACGACCTTGAAAACTGATGCCCATGGTAGCAAAAATTGGCAACTTACGACAATCAAGTTTCAGAATTCGAAATTCCATGTATTTTGATTGAATATGATGATTCTCTCCCTCCCAAACCACTGTTTCACTCAAAGGACACAAGAAAGTGTTTTTGTATCTGGTCACTCCTTTGTTTTTTTTTTTCGACTACTTAAAATCATCACACGAATATAGGCCATAATTATAATTGCCATTAATCCGCCCATTTTAATTAAGAATTCATTTAAAGTGCAGTTAATTTCAAAGCAATCAAAATATTTACATACCCTTGTTCGAAAGGAATTCACAAAAGCATAAAGAGGAACATCAAAGAGAATTATAAATTCCATATTAATGCCCGGGTCGTCTATGTGTGGGTGGGTGCTTCCTTAGGACAATGAATGCCAATGCCAATGATGATTGTGAGTGACCCTATATAAGGCTAAGACATTTGGCCACAATATTTTATCTTAAAAATAAACACCACTCATAAAAACCACACTAAAGTCCGGAGAACAAAAAAGAAATCTACCAAGGATGTTCAATCCAAAACCGAACAATGATCTCAACTATCGTATACCTGGCCAATGTATTTGGTTGAAATTAAATGGCTCCTGGCCATATAATCATCAGGAAGCTAATAAAGATTTCTATTCGTCGCGTTATGTCTGGGGTTGGTTGTACACCGTTTGGTCGTGGTATGTTGTCTGGTCGGTGGGCATAACGATTGGTTTCCAGACGGCATTTCTTATCAATAATCTCGGTGATATTATGATGACCACGGAAAATTGTTGCACCACATTTATGGGAGCTTTGAATTTTGTCCGTTTGCTTCATATGCGTTTGAATCAGCGGCAATTCAAAGTTGTTATTCAACAATTTGTTGAGGACATATGGATAAATAAGTGAGTATAATTTCAGTGAGATTTCAGTGCTATAAAGAATAATTGTAATAATAAAGAAAATAGTTTTTCAAGGACTGTCAGAGCTATAAATGTGGGCCTTAACAAAATATTTTTCCAAGGTCTATCCGAGATGTAAAAGTTCCGTTTTTTAATAATAATTTTAAAAAACTACCAGGGCTACAAACTTGGATTATTAAGTATTGTCAGAGCTATAAACATTGATATTTGAAGAATACAGGATGAGGTGAAAAAACTGCAACCAACTTCAGACTGCTGTCATTTCTAAGCCACTCATCCGACAGCTGTTAAAATTATTCCAGTGACAGCTCATTATAATGTTTCCAAGCGTACAAAACCATTTTGGTGAGAATTTTCCAGAATAAAAGTTATTCGTGATGGAATTTAAGCGTGATGGTGTGATTTCTTTATATTTGACTGAAAAACCACAAATGGCTATCGTTAGAGCACTCCAGCATTTTAAATACTATTTCCAACATTTTGCTTTCATTCAATAAAATTTTGAAAAAAAAATGTATAAAAATGATGGCGTTTGACGTTGTTGCAGTTTTTTTTTATCTCACCCTGTATAAACTTCGATTTTAAACAAAAATTTTCAAGGACTATCAGAGTTATAAAGGTGGATTTTAAATAATTTTTTTCAAGGACTATAGTCTTGAATTTTTTAAATAATTATTTGATTTTTAGATATTTAATTCGACCTTTATTATTATTTATTGTTACAAATGTAAAATTAATAAAAAAAACGAGCTCGAGGTCTTTGTTGTTGTTTAATTATTTATTATTTTCGATATTTCGTCCTCCAACGGAAGACATCATCAGGAACAATACTGTTTAAACATATAACAAAATTTTACAAAATATCGCCAAGCTTCGACGCCGACCTTGTGTTGTTGCCATCTGTTTTGTCACTGAGACAAAAATCACTGAGTGACAAAACAGATGGCAACAACACAAGGTCGGCGTCGAAGCTTGGCGATATTTTGTAAAATTTTGTTATATGTTTAAACAGTATTGTTCCTGATGATGTCTTCCGTTGGAGGACGAAATATCGAAAATAATAAATAATTAAACAACAACAAAGACCTCGAGCTCGTTTTTATTAAATTTACATTTGTAACAATAAATTTTTTAAATAAATTTTTTTCAAGGACTAAAAACTTGGATTTTTAAGGAAAAAAATGTCAAGGACTATAGGAGCTATAAACGTGAATTTTTAAACAATATTTTTTCAAGGACTATAATCTTGGATTTTAAATAAATTTTTTTCAAGGGCTATAAATTTGGATTCTTAAGCAAGATTTTTTTCAATGACTATAAAATTATATTTTTAAACAAAATTCTATTAAGGACTATCAAAGCTACAAACGTGGGTTTTTAGACAAAATTTTTGCAAGGACAAGAAACTTATATTTTTAAACAAAAAAATTTGCAAGGACAAGAAACTTGGATTTTAAACAAAAATTTTTGCAAGGACTAATAAACTTGCATTTTTAAACAAACATTTTTCAAGGACTATCAGACTAATAAACGTGCATTTTTAAAGAACATTATTTCAAGGACTTTAAGCTTGGATTTTCAAACAACATTATTTCAAGAACTTTAAGCTTGGATTTTAAAACAACAATTTTTCAAGGTCTATCAGACCAATAAACGTGGATTAAAAACGTGGATTTTTAAACAATATTTTTTTAAGGACTATAAACTTGTATTTGTAAACAAAAATTTTCCAAGAACTATTAGAGCTATAAACATGGATTTTTAAACAATTTTTTTCCAAAAACTATTAGAGCTATAAACATGGATTTTTAAACAAAAAATTTTCAGGGACTATTAGACCAATAAAAGTGAATTTTTTTAGCAAAATTTTTCAAGGACTATCAAAGCTATCGACGTCAATTTTTTAAAATATTTTTCCATGGACTTTCAAAACTATAATCAATTTATTAGGAATATTTTCCTTCTTATTTTAATTAGAAAACAACATCCCCATGTTGCAGCGGTATGCTCTCGAAATATGCGCACATTCCGCATCATGACCGTTCTGTTGAGCTGTCTAATATCCATGTATTGTGTCTTACCATTGGTCGTGCTATTTTTTGATGTTGGCTTAGATGCCGACGAAAAACCATTTCCCTATAAAATGTTATTTCCCTTTGATGCCCACCATGGTTGGCGTTACATTGTCACCTATATATTTACAAGCTATGCCGGTATGTGTGTGGTCACAACCCTTTTTGCCGAAGATTCTATATTTGGATTTTTCGTAACCTATACATGTGGTAAATTTCAAATATTACATGAACGTATAGATAATTTGGTATTCGATGCATATGAAAGTGTGGCCAACAGACAAAATGAGTTGGAGATACAGGAATGTTATGTGAAGCTGTTAAATCGCATTGCATATGATCACAATAAATTGATTGAGTGAGTTGTAAAAAAATGTCGGGGGTCACATAATTTCATTTTATATTATTTTTTTTTTTAGATTTGCTGGAAAATTGGAAAATTTCTTCAATCCCATACTCTTGGTGAATTTTACAATTTCCTCGATTCTAATATGCATGGTGGGCTTTCAATTGGTAACGGGAAAGGACATGTTTATAGGTGATTATGTTAAATTTATTGTTTACATATCATCTTCACTGTCCCAACTGTATGTTTTATGCTGGAATGGAGATTCTCTTATACAACATGTAAGACTAATTATAATCCGAAAATTGCAAACTTAAAATGAAAATCATTATCATTTCAGTCTCTGGAGACCGCAAATCATTTGTACACCTGCAACTGGGAAGGAGGCCAGATACGATCCACAGCCCAACACCAAAACTCAAGAGAAAATAATCCAAACAGCCAGGGGAAAGTATTGCAGAAGCTATTCAAAAGTGGCCAGGAAATTGGTCAAATTAAAGTCTGGCAAGAAAACTATTATATGCCGGCTAGTAAAAAATTTCGTCAAAATCTAGAGATAATGATAATGTGCAGTCAACGGCCCGTGAAAATAACAGCTCTCAAATTTTCGACATTATCCCTGCAATCTTTTACAGCCATATTAAGTACATCCATGAGCTATTTTACACTACTCAAAACGGTTTACGATGAAAATCAAGAGGATGGACCGGCAAATTAATAAAAATATTTACATAAAAATTTATTATTCTATATATATCATAAAAGAGATTAGTAACAACAATTTACATAGATTTTATCTAGAGAACATATTGGACAGTCGTCAATCAGTTCAGCGCTGTCTTACAATCTTTTGTAATCACTTACAATGGTGTGGCAGTTTCCTCTTTGGCTTCGGTAAGGGCTCGAGCCTGATGCGTAAAAACGGGTACATTTATACCCTTTTTGCGCAAAATTGAAAGACATTTGTTCAAAGTATTTGTTAGTAGAAAATAAAATTAAATAAAAATTGTGTCACTTACTTGCATCTTCGCCGATCGTATAAAGGCCTTATTCGATGTTACAGTCACCGCTTTCATATCCATACCAAAGGCAAAAATGAGCAAACTACGTTCATTGATTTTTCCACTGAATTTAATAGTGGAAATTTCAGGTGGTATGGATGTAACGTCGGGTAAAATTTCAACACGTTTAGTTAGCTCTTCGGCTCGACGCTTTTCTTCGGGCCCACCCAGAAGCGCAACAATATCTTGAAAGGATTTATGGGCAGTGGTACAGCAAATAAGGCGTTTACCTAAGAAGGACAAATTATTAAAGAACACTTGATAAATTTTGTGGCTGTAGCAATTTATCAACTTTGTGGACATCTAATAGATTGTAGCGGATGGGATTGCATTAGCTATCTTACCCGAGAACAATTTGTCCAAAATGGGTTTCAATGGCGATTCTCTTTCCTTTTCAGCTTGTTCGGTAAGAATTGGCTCTTGAAATTTCCAATTACAGCTGCCGTTACATACATTACTCACATAGGCCAATAAGGTTGTTATGTCAAGATTTAAAATACTAATATTGCTAATGTCGGAATTTTTGTCCACCTCCGATGGTTTCTCCAAGGAGGCTATTTCAACACCCTCAGCTTCCAAGGCCATTGACAGTTCATTTTCAATTGGATGGCTGAAATAGAAAACCACCTGTAAAAATACCAACAATTTTTACTGTTTACTCAGTAGGTATCTTAGATTTTATTCAAAACTTACCTTTGGACATTTGAACATACAAAGATTTTGAGAAGAGGCTTCAACAAATTCCTGGGCCTGATCGATTATGCTGCGAGCACCAAAGCTGGCTTCGCCGCGAGCAGCATCCGTCAACGATTTTGAGTTTCTGGCAATGGCTAAAATGTAATACTCTTTAAATTGAATTTTTATAAAAAAATTAACACTCACCCTTGATCCATTTCAAACCATTCTCACAGACAATGTCCACTCGCAGAGGATTCTCTCGATAGTCCACTGCAAAGCCACAATCAACATGAACCACATCCCGTTGTTGTTGTAATATTTTCACCAAAAACTCATAATGAGTTAAGTTGCTACATTGGACATGATTAATTTTTAAGGTTTTATTTTTTATAACCTTTAAAACAAGTTCAGAAAAATAATCGGAATTTAGAACAAAACGAGTTTTTCTTCAAATTAATTAAGATACCTTACCTTTTTAAGAAATTTTATTTCTTGTACAATTTTTCTTTGGACCTTTTGGACTCCTGGTATTTCGGAAAATTCATCCAGAGTTTTTATCAGCACCTCACCCAGATCAACTTTATCTTCAGCTTTTTGCAGGAGATCATCTTCATAGGGTAATTCTGGTTCCATATTATCCAAATTTAAAAAAATATTTTTGCCATAAGATTTTATTTTTGCAATAAGCGAAAAGTGACTTAAAGCAAATTTTGCAAGATGCTAAATGTTTAGAATGCAGGGCAAAACAAAATTGAAGAAATGCTGCTTCTTCATTTCATGCAACAGCTGTTTTACAATATTCACAGTGAAGTGATAACACAAAAAACAGTCTCAGGCAAAGGAATTTGAAAGGTTGAGATCTCAATGATTAGATTTGTAAGAATATTTTTCGAGAACTATTTTAATTTTTTTAAAAATTTGGCTATAATTTAAAGGACTTGTCTCGGGTATTTATAATATTTCTCTACAAATTACAAGTCTGGGATAAGGAATAAGTAAGTTTTAAGGCTTCCTCCTTTTGAAAATTATACATTAAAGGCATTAATTAATGTACACAAGATATATAAATTCTTGAAGAAATCTAAAATCATTTTATTTTCAGTTGATTACAAAATATTTTATATTTTTTTTATTTGTGATTTATTCTTAAATATTCAATATTTAAGAGTATACTTTTCAAAATTAGTGAGTTGTGTTATCCATTGTCCATTTGTTGAACTTTGTTTGTTATTCGAACCACGAAAGCAGAAATACATTTTTAAATCTTAGACACCGGTTTCAAACCCAATATAAAGAAGCACTTCCTTAGGACAGCAGCTGTGGCTTCGCATAGCAAAATACGGCTACGATTGACTTTGACAATCTTTCCTTCCTTATTCTTTTCTATGCAATAACAATTATCATAGAATTCCGAAAATACCGTAGAAACCTCATAACAATATTCGCACAAAACATGCAGTAAAAGATCTTTGGAGATTTTTACTAGCACATCGGGGAATTTAAGTAAAGTCTTGGCCAATTTCCATTCTTTTTCATGCTCTAATTCGATTTTTGTAGTCTCCAAAACTTTAGTCAAATCAGAGAAATCTTCACCGCTGTTACGTGATATGGAGCAAATACGGGTAAATGCATACAGAAGGTAGACAGCTGTGTTGCCACGATCTTCTAACATTTTGTCAAAGGAGAACACATATTCATTTGTACGATTGTGACTTAAATCGGCATATTTAATACATCCATAGGCAACAGATTCCTGGGCAGCTTTTAATTCCTCGGGTGTCAATACCTTATCACGTTCCTTTTCAACCAACTTGTCCAATGAACGTTTCAAACCCTCATCCAATAGATCGGACAGTTTAACTGTCTCACCGGAACGTGTCTTGAATTTTTTACCATCTTCACCCAAGACGACACCGAATTGGACATGTTCGGCACGATGTTTTTCGGGATTTAAAATGCCACATCTCTCAGCTGCTAGGTAAATGTTTTTCAAATGCGTATTTTGTCCAGCATCAACGACATAAATTAACCAATCACATTTTTCTTCTTCCAAACGATAACGTATTGCAGCCATGTCGGAGGTATCATAAGTAAAACCGCCATCAGATTTTACCACAGTCAATGGTATACCACTCTTATCAGCAGTGGGCCACATTATCTTACGACCATCGTCCAATTCCAACAGATTTTTTGATTCCAGAAACTTAACCACCTCAATCATGCGTGATTGATAGAAGGATTCCCCTTTCTCTTTTAGGGTAACACCTAAACGATCGTAGATCTTTTGGAATTCGCGACGTGAAACATCACAAATTAAATTCCAGGCTTTTGTTGAGTTAGGCTCTCCGCTTTGTAGTTGTACTACACGGCTGTAGGCACGCTTCTTAAAATCTTCATCTTCATCAAATCTAAAAAGGCAACCCAATCGTAAGACATTTAAAAAAACCTATATGTACAATTCTTATATTACGTACCTCTTCTTTGATTCCTTGTAAAAGGCTTGTAAATCTCCAATTGGAGGACTTTCTTGTAGGAAATTGGGGAATCGATCTTCCAAATGAGCAATTAACATACCAAATTGGGTACCCCAATCACCAACATGATTTACACGCAACACATCATGGCCCATGAATTCCAAAAGACGACAGATGGATTCACCAATGATTGTTGATCTTAAATGACCCACATGCATTTCCTTGGCAATGTTGGGAGAAGAGAAATCAACAAGTACCCGATGTTTTTTCACCTGCGGTGGATTAACACCCGATTTTAACATGTTTGTTAAGGCATCCACAGCATAAGATCTGAAAATAAACAAGTAGCATTAAAACTCTAGCAAAAGATTTTCAAAAAGACATTTTATTCATACTTACTTCTTTAAGAACACATTAATGAATCCAGCACCGGCGACTTCCAACTTTTCAACCAATGGCGATTCTTGACATTGCTTAAGTATTTCATTCGCAATATCACGTGGGGATTTATTTATACCACTGGACTTCAAGGTCTTGGCTAAAGACATAGCACTGTTACATTGATAATCACCAAATTTGGCTGCATTAGAATTCACTGGGGAGATTATGGCCGCCGTTCCAGCAAGCTGGGGGAAGGCCTTAGCAATGGCATTTGTAAACAAATCCAACAAGTGGTCACTAATAGAAACCAAAGTATTGATTACGGCAGGAATCTCGGCGGGTGTGAAAACTTTTGTTGTCGCAGGAACACTTGCTGATGAGGTGGACACTTTACCACTGCCCTTTTCATTTTCTATGGCCTAGATTAAAAATCTATATTATTGTAAATAATAAAAACAATTTTGTAAGCAACTTACATTTTTCAATATCGCCAAACGATGCTTAAGTTTGCTATTCTCCAGTTGTAATTTTGTTAGCTCCTCGTCATCTTCTTCTAAGCCCACACCTTTTTTGGTCTCTTCAATTTGGGCACGCAACTCAGCGGTGAGGCGTTCCTTTAAAACAAATTATAATTCCTTTAAAAAATTGTTCTTAAGTTAAATAACATAAATTACATACCAATTCCTGTAAGTTATCTACTTCCCTTTTTAAACTGGCCATTCTATTTTACAAAAAAGTCGAAGTTTCCAAGCAAAAGTCAACACAACTCTGCCACATGTAAGCCGAAAGGTAAATTTTGTCAAAAGCTTCTTTTTCTTCTTGCCCGGGCAACATGCATATGGGAATGATAGCTCATATATATAGCAATGTCTTAAATATATTGCATTTTTTTACTGATGAAATTAAAAAAAGGAAATTTCGTCACTTTCCGAATAGTTACATTAGTGATAAGAGATGCATTGATAACATAAATAATATTTCATCAATCGTTTCAGAATTTCAATTATACTTTTGTAACTACTGCATCAAACTACAGTAGGCACTGGATTCCTGTTATATGAACATGTGGGACGCCAAATATTTCGTTTGTAGAAGTTTACAGTATAATTATTAGAACGTAATTTTAAGTGCTGCCGTTTTGTAATAGAAAGAAATATACGTGTCAATTTTATCAGCAACAAATATAATTTATCAAAAAATATTATAATTTAAAAAGTTTTCGCAATAAAACATACAGAACGTTTACATATAAATGGGTTAACCCAATGGATTTGGAATAAAATTGTCATATCTCTTACTTATACTTCAAATAAAACCACTTGAAGTAGGATAGCCCATGGTACAATGATATCAAGGTAGGGCTATGATACCATATGATTTTAATTTTTTTTTATTTTCTTGGCTTAATATGTCACATTTATTTGTTTATGTATGTGTTTTCTTTTCAATAACAAAAAAATTGTTCAGAAAACATTCAAATTCGGGTGTTTTCAAAATGTTTTTTTCAACGTATGCATCGAGTTTTTGTAGCGAAATAATCCTTTAGAGATATGTAGTACATGATTTTGAAAAGAAGTGTTGACCTTTCATTCAGTTATCGCGGTTTTCAATTATTTATTCAAAATAAATGCAACAAGTTGTTTGATTTTTTATTGTTTTGATACTAATTCTGACATTACAAGCCAAACAGGTAGACCTCTATACTTGCAATTTTTTCAAAGTTGGCCTACCTTCTCTTCATTTTACCATGGGATAGCCCTGAAAAAAGTTCTAACGTAAATATGGCATAAGAATATTGTGTTGTCGAACGAAAATTTTTTAAATCCTTATATTATGTTATTTCCAAACACAAATATTTCAACGTTGTTATGTTATTTCCATCAGCTGTATGGTTGAAACATTATTGTGGCAATAATACATTCTTGATAATTTTGATAAAAGGATTTTGCCAAATATATAACTTTGAAAAAAAAAATGCAAACATAGGATTGCATGACGTTACCTTTTTAATACAACCATGGCTCAATAAGAAAGGTCTGTCCTGGAGTCTTATAGAGTCAAATAGACTTTAAATATGCAACAGTTGGTTTTGTTCATTTTTTAAAATAATTCTTATATTGGTGAAATACTGCAAAACAAGAATGGAATTAGTAAGTTAATTCCACAAGATGGAGTCTAAAATAGAAGGACAATACAGTTTTATTACAAAATTGTACAATTTGTTACCCATTAGGTCGAAAATTTGCATTTATTTTTCAAATAAATTTAAAATAATTTCAAATTATTGTATTTGTATTCAAACAATACACACACATACACAAAATGTGTATATGTTTTGGCAGGAGGTAGCTTTGTTCTACCTTCTGTAATTTTGCCATGAATACTAACAAGATTACAACTTATGTATGTTTTAAGTCGCCATATATTTAAAGTATTTGTTATAATATCACAGTTAACTTGTATAAAAATTAGTGTATAAACATTGATTCCATTGGTTTCAGATTTCAAGTACACGCAATGAATTTCATCTATGCAAACATCCCTTTAGTACAACTGAACCACTAAATTCGTTCACCTCTATGGAACGACTTTAAAATGAACAGGTTCACAGTTCTTGTTTGTGAAAATACGAGTGTTTGTTAATGGAATCACTAAGATTACTACGTTAGTTTTTAATAATTAAATAAAAATAATGTGCAAATAGAATAAAGAGAACTATGCAAAATTTTCATATGAATATGGATTTTCTGTTTGCACTTTTGCCAAACTCCAATTGTAAGTTCTGGGTCTTGTTTTCTCCTGCATCTAACATATTGTATGCATTGCATTGAAAATGTTTTGATTTTTCTCTTGTAGTTGAAATGACAAATGAACAATTGATATTGTGGCAGCATAATGCAATTTTTGAATGCGAATGTGATAATTTCATTAATAGACGTATTGAAGCCGATCGCCAGGAGCGAGCGGCTAGCAGAATTTTTGGTAATTTTGATGAGGCTGATGCTATTAATGCAGCCATTCAACAGCACGGTTTAAGAAGGCGAAGGAGAAGAGTCGATGATGATAATGATGACGATAATGACAATGACAACAACGATAATAATGATGTATTAAACAATGCCATAATAATACCTCCACCTGCTAGACGGCCTAGAGTAAGACCATTGTATTACGAGGTCTATGAGGATGCCGTAGCGGAAGCCATAAGGGAGAGAGGCTTAGTATTAAGAGGCGTTCCATAAGGAAATACCCAGAAACGAAAAATTACATATTTGTTTTACTTTTTAGTATGTAGTGTGCAATAGTTTTGAAATTCATCGAAGTTATTTTTTAATCAATTTGGATTCATTACAAAGAAATATGTAAACAAATTAGGCGTGCATTTTAGTATGTTTACTTATAAAAGTAAAAGTCCATGCCATACTTTTAATAGATTTCTTTATGCCAGTATATAACCAATTCATCGGCTTCATATTCCGGAAATAAGCTTGGATTGACATTGTAATAATTGTTTTTGCAGTAAAAGAACTATTTCTTGTTTGTTTTGCATTAACAATAAATTTTGCAAGAGGTTATGTCAGCTTTAAAATGCTTTTCCTATATTGCTATTGTTTTAATAAACTTTTTTGTTTAATTCTAGAATCCATTTGTTTTGAGAAATTTATATTTTGATTTCAACTACATAGTAATATAATCGTATTGGTATATTCGACGAGTAATTATAATCTAAAATCAATTAGATTAAATTTGTCCTATTACCATTTTAGATATAATTTAAAAATCGAATAATTAAAACATATATTTATGCTTTTTGTACCATAAGCATTTTAGGTATAGATATTAGATTTAAAAATATATAATCTAAAAAACTATATGTGATTTTTTCAATAAAAAACGCATTTTATATGGTAACATTAATTTGCTTAAATTTATTCAATATACCTATGGTCTCGACGGAAAGTCTTGGGAGTGTCTTTATGATAAAAAAAAATAAACAATTTAATGTTTTTACACGTAGCAGACAGTTCAAATATACCTTTGTTAGAGCTGGAGACATGTTTTATAATATTCAAAAATAGCTCTGATCATCCGAAAAAGAAATCCTTAAAAGTGACAGACTAATGAACTTTTACGAATGAGGCTGAGGAATGGGCCAATATCGTCCATTTCATATCTGACCTAAGCCTGATATCAACTACTTCATTCATTTTATACGAAGTAAGTGATAATTAAAAAAAATGTTGAAATTTGCGTGAAGTACTAGATATAGTTTAAGTATTCCAGTTCATCTAATACTGATAACATCATCGGTTCATGCAAAATTGAAAGGATGTTGATCATTAATTCCAATTTTATGCGAATAATTTCGTGAGGGAAGTAGAAGGGGATGTGAGCCGATAAAGGCTATATTTACGTGGGATTTCTGATTGAGAGAAATATGTAAATGTTCCAAGTTTGAAAATATTCGTTATGGCGGCCCACACCATCACCGTGGGTGGCGCTTGAGTTCTGGTGGCCAACCGAAGGTGTACATTTTCAGCTGACCTCTTTGGCAATTAAACACGATCATTTTGTTTGTTTACAAACTAATGGACAACGAATGTTTTCTTATCGGAGAAAACCAAATTCGGCAGTTCACCACTTTCGGCCAAGCGAAGAAACTCTTTAGCTCTTTTGAGTCTATTTTCTTTCTGCTGCGATGTAAGTTCTTGCACCTTTGGAAATTTCAATGGCTTTACCCCGAACTCAATTTTCAATATTTGCCGAATAGAATATTGCGATATGTTCAGCTCACGAACCATTTTTCGGTAACTGCGACGCGAGTTTCAATCAAGTCGCTTATTTACTTTTCGAATCATTTCTGCTGATGTTGCTGTTTTCTTCTTCATTTATTCACATTTAAATGCAGGAGTGCTCAAACGAGTGCCTCTTGTGGTTTTACAGCCAAATATAAAGAAATCACACTATCACGCTTGATTTCCATCACGAATAACTTTTTTTCTGGAAAATTCTCACCAAAATGCTTTTGTACGCTGGAACGCTGAGCTGTCACTGGAATGACCAGAATTCAAAATCTTGATTCCTTGTGAATTCATGTCAACAATCTTCACAACAGATTTTTGTGTTAGAATGAATCGGTTTCTTATTTCGCATTTTATAAGCATTTTAGTTATCCTCCCCCTTTGTGTGGGAGATGTCAGAAGGAGTGGACGGATATATCTTATATTCACGCAATATCATATATTTATAAAGATATTGGGAGAATTGGGTGGTTTTTCGCCTTTCGTGTGGGATATAATTGCTCAAAATTTTTACCCGTTGTGGGGGAGAAACGAGATTTCTGAAGACAGATCTTGGGCACTTATGTAGCACCAATAGTTCCTAAGAAGTTGTTTATGATCCTCAAAAAAAAATAAAAATAATAATAATAATAAATAATAATAAATAAATAATATATAAGTAAATCGAAAATTTAGACTTGACTGTTTTTCAAAAATAGAGGAATAGGTTGTTATAAAGCTGATAAGTATTACTCAGTTAGTACTTGAAAAAAAAAAATATTAAAAAAAATCCACGATTATATCTCGAATTGTCCTCGAGAAAAGTTGTTTATAAAATAATAAAAATGTTCATGCTTTTAGCTCTAATAATCCTCGAAAAAATGTATTTAACATTTTCAATATTAAAAGAAATTATCATGATTTCAGCTTAAATAATTTTTGTTTGCAGCTTTGATATTTCCTAAAAATCTCCTTTGTAGACCCATCTAATAGTCCTCGTGCACAAGAAAATAAAACGCAGTTTACAAAGTTTTTTTTTTATTTTTTCATATCGAAAATTCACATGTTTTTTATTCATTTTAATTTCAGTTTTATGTTGTTTTTTTTTCCAATGAAGTGCATAAAAAATTACGAAAAATTAAATACTGTCAACACAATCGGTATATATTCTTTTTAAAGTAGCTTATATCATTTGTAATATTTAAATTTATATGTATGTTTATATCTGTTTTTCATTTTTTATGCTCGTAGTTTCAACAAAAAATGCATATAATTTTTTCTTTTTATATAACAAAATACAAGTAAATGACTAAAATAGTATTTATGTTTAAAAATGTGTGTTTTGTTTCTCTTATTCTGTTGAAGTGTCGAGCATTAAAATCTAAAAAAAATTACATATTTATGTACGCTTGTTATATATATATATATATATAAAAAGGAAAGAAAAAATGTAATTTTAATAAATTCTCAATATTTATATGGTAAAAACAAGGATTAGTAGTAAAGGAGGAGGTTGTATTAATATAATTATTTTTCTGTCGATTGTTGTTTTTGTTATTGATGGAAGGTGTTTAACACTACTAAAAAAATGTATCATCATCATATTGGCGAACTGTTAATTCAAAAATAGCAACGAAAATTTGTTGTCGAGTTTTCTTTTTTTTTATTAAAATAATTTATTCTTTTTCCAGATATAGCCTGGTGAGTATAACCTAAAGCGATTTTAGGATACTTATTACAATAATATATCTCTTTTTTATTTTCTTTTTAAATTCAAATCCATTGTTTTAAAATAAATATGGATTTTGTTTTGTTGCTACTTCCACTATTTTGCAGCATTTGCATTGTAAGTCTTAAATGTGTGTCTTTATTAATTTAATCTTATTTTTTCAAGGGGGTGATGAAACAATGAAGAAATGACATTTACCATTCATTGAAATGCATAGCAGTTGCATGTTGTGTTTTGTTAAAAAGAACGAAATAAAAAATGATAATGCAATTATGAAACTTTGTGATTGAATTTGTTGTGTGACATGGTTGGTGTTGTTGTCTGTGTTTTGTTAATTAACCTCCTTGTCATCACAGGTGATATTGTTGTAGGTTAAAATTGATTTATTTTTGGTTTTACCGAAATATTCAAACGAATACCTTTATAACAATTTTATCATCAATTACATTTATCATTCATTTCCTATATGTTTTATTCCGTATCAAAATAAAGATATTCGCTCGTTTTCTATTTTGTTTCCAACTAACAGCTAGTGTCATAATTGTTTGCATTTTTCCTTTTTTGGTTTTTGTTTAATTTTTTTGGGAGGATTTGTTGTTAGGAGTGTTGTTGTTGTTGATTTATATTTGGACAAAAAGGACGTGGCGGGGTGGTGATAGTACAACATTGTTTGTGTCTTGCTTCTACTAACGCACTGTATTTTGATTTGTTTTGCTTTTAAATTCCAAGTCTGCAAATGGTAGTAAAAAAGAAGAAGAGCATATATATAAAATTCAATAAGAACTTTCCTATAAATTTGTTGTTTGTTGTGATCAAAAGCAAACAAAGAAATGTAATCAAAAAAGGAACACAGAAAATTGTTGAGTGATTTTATATTTCATTACCCTACACCACATATAGTAGGGTGCAAAAGTGTTCAACAAGGATTAATATTTTTATGCTGCTTAAAAAATGGAAGGTATGTTAAGTTTCTTAATTAATTTGAAACGTCTTAAAATACACGTTCAAGACCCCAATAAGTAGACATGTTCAAGATCCGCGTAAGGTTCAATGTCGATTTAGCCATGCACTTCTGTCTGTTAAAGTAATTGTGGACTTATTAAAAGTTCGATGTCAATTGGCTGCCTAGATCGTGCGGTTTATCGCATTTGGACAATGTTTTGACAACAACATTGAAGCTTTTATTAAATTATATTGCCCATACTATTATTTCAAAAAATTTTTTTTTGAATTTTATGTATTTTGTGTTTGAAAAAGTCATTAAAAGTATCACCTTTGTTTTCAAAGTTACTGCCCTCAATTTGAAAACAAGTCAGATGTTATTTGAAATTTTTGTTTCTATGTAGGTAGAATTACTCTTCGAAAACCCATTCAATGTATACAGGGTGAGATGAAAAAACTGTAACCAACTTCAGACTGCTGTCATTTCTAAGCCACTGTGACAGCCCATTATATTGTTTACAAGCGTACACAAGCATTTTGGTGAGAATTTTCCAGAAAAAAATTATTCGTGATGGAATTCAAGCGTGATAGTGTGATTTCTTTATATTTCTTTATATTTTAAATGTGAATAAATCTTTTGTGTCTCGTACCATCGCTCGTTACCGAGTTACTGGTAGCGTAGCCCGACGCCAAGAAAGTGGACGAAAGAAAACAGCAACATCAGCAGAAATGGTTCGAAAAGTAAAGAAGCGACTTGATCGAAACCCGCGTCGCAGTGGCCGAAAAATGGCTCGAGAGCTGAACTTATCGCTATATTCCATTCGGCACATATTGAAAAATGAGCTCGGGGTAAAGCCATTGAAATTCCAAAAAGTGCAAGAACTTACACCGCAACTGAAAGAAAATAGACTCAAGAGCTAGAGTTGCTTCGCTTAGCCGAAAGTGGTGAACTGCCGAATTTGGGTTTCTCCGGTGAGAAAACCTTCGTTGTCCAGTAGTTTGTAAACAGTTGAAAATGTGCACCTTCGGTTGGCCACCAGAACTCAAGCGCCGGCCATGGTGATGGTGTGGGCCGCCATAACAGACGATGGTCGCTCTCCACTCGTATTAATCGACCGTGGCATCGGAATAAATGCCGAATATTATCGAGAAAAATTCTAGAGGGTGTATTAAAGCCTTGGCCGCAAACCTTGGAAATTCAAACAGGACTCAGCACCATAGCACTCAGCACTCGCCACCCAAGAATGGTTATAAAATGAGGTTCCTCGCCTCATTTCCAGCGCACAATGACCACCAAAATCTCCGGATACTAATCCGTCTGGAGTATTTTGGAAAGCAAGGTTGGCACTAAAAATTACCAAAGTGTCGATCACTTATTACTTATTCTAAAATTTGATGGAATTTCCGACATTTTAATAAAATTAAAAAAATTGTAAAAATTATGTCGTTTGACTTTGTTGCAGTTTTTTTTTATCTCACCCCGTATTCACTTTTGTCTATAGCCCCATAAAACTTAACCTCTTGATTTTCGACATTCAAGGTTTCCGTCCCAATTTCCATATAAATTGGATGCAAATTGTAAAAAGGACGTACGAAGAGGGGATCCTTGCTCCCGAAATGGTCACTTTTCTGACCACCAAATCATTGTAAAATGCATTTCTGGGTAAACTGCTAGAAAATGCTAGTTATATACCTAGCTTTTAATGGCTTCGATAAACTGAAAAATACGGTGATGTTATAATACAAATAAGGCTAATATATAACTTGTGCTGTTCACTATAAAGTGAATTTGTTTTTTCTTTTCCACTACCCGTTAAGATTTTCTTTTGATGACGGATACTCCGATATTTGGAACTTGGGAACAAAAATAGATAGTCGAATGGGTCATTTAACACTCACTGATGTACGCTCTATGATATATACGGCAAATGTTTTACACCTGCCAAGATAATATCCCTCCTACACTTGAATATGAAAATTCTTTGAATTGCTTCTATCACGTTGTTTGTCATTTTTATATTGCATATCCATACACACGTATAAACAATTTAAACATCCTTTCCATTTTTTGCACAGTGGTATAGAATGTAAAATATAAATCAATATTTAACAACAAAATACAATGCCATATCAAAATAAAAATATTTTTTTTAAATATGCGGAACAAAACTAGGTTAATAAATAAAAATAATGAACAAAAGTATTTTTCTTTTTTTTTTGTTATTTCGATTGCATATGCTTTGTTGGTGGCAATTGTTGACGCTCAGCTTAAAATAAAACTTAAACATTTATATATAAAGATGATGGGGATTAGATTAACTGGTATTTTTATCTTACATGCGAGAGCCTTTCTGTTGCAGTACTTTGGCCCTATCGTTCAGTTCCAATTCACGACCAAGAGTTGTTCCACATTCCTTGGATACAACACATAGGTATTCATTATTATCAAATGCACCATAGTTTAATTGATATTGTGTGCCCACGCTGATTAGCTGTTCGAATCGCCAGCCATCAGATAGTGTTGAGATCATCTAGTGGAAGAAAAGGGTATTATTATTATTTGTTTATAAAATGCAATGTATCAATAAATTAAGATCTAATGAAGTCCAAAAATGTTTCAAATGTTTCAATTCCAGCATTGGCGTCCCATTGGCTGAACTTAATTGTTGTCTCGAAAACAAACTGAATCTCGAACAATGATATAAACATTGTAAAATCTTCTTTAAATAACAAGCACATTTAGAAATTGTTACTATAATATCCGGTAGACAGGGTGAGATGAAAAAACTGCAACCAACTTCAGACTGCTGTAATTTCTAAGCCACTCGTCCGACAGCTGCTAAAATTATTCCAGTGACAGCTCATTATTTTTTTTTACAAGCGTAAAAAAGCTTTTTGGTAAGAATTTTCCAGAAAAAAGTTATTCGTGATAGAATTTATTTGTGATAGTGTGATTTCTTTTTATTTGGCTGGAAAACCACAAACGGCTATCGTTAGAGCACTCCAGCATTTAAATGTGAATAAATCTTTTGTGTCTCGTACCATCGCTCATTAATGTGATACTGGTAGTGCAGCCCGATGTCAAGAAAGTGGAAGAATGGTTCGAAAAGTAAAGAAGCGACTTCATCGAAACCCGCGTCGCAGTGTCGGAAAAATGGCTCGTGAGCTGAACATATCGCAATATTCCATTCGGCAAATATTGAAAAATGAGCTCGGGGTAAAGACATAGAAATTGCAAAAAGAGCAAGAACATACACCGCAACAGAAAGAAAATATACTTAAAAGAGTTAAAGAGTTGCTTCGCTTGGGCGGAAATGGAGAACTGCCTAATTTGGTTTTCTACGATGAGAAAACATTCGTTGAACAGGCCATATTTCGGCCATAATTCGTGCCAAAGGTAACTAATTCGAACAAATCTAAACTTATTCTAAAATTTGATGCTTTCATTCAATAAAATTAAAAAATGTAAAAATTATGGGGTTTGACTTTGTTGCAGTTTTTTTTTTATCTCGCCCTGTATATGATTTTTTTGTTTTGTTTTTTTCTATTAAAGCCACTTTCCTTCACTTTGCTTTGGCTGAATACATATTAATTGGCTATTGACCATCATCATCATCATACAGAAGACCCATTAACATCATCTACCTATAAACAACTCAACTCTATGTATACAAAACACAACAAAAAGTTCAACGAACCTGTGTCAATTCTTGTTCCCGGCACTGCAGTACACGATAAACACGCTTTTTATCTGTTTGAGGTCTCTGCAAGAAAGAAAAAAGACAAGAGAACGTAAAAGATAAATAGGTTTTAATCATCATTCAATCATTTTGAGCGGGAAAATATTTCAAATTGCATTACAACAAAGATAACTTACTTGATCTCTGTGATGAATACATTCTTTGAGCAATGCTATCAGTTGTGTCACATTATAAAATTCAGCCTCTTCCAATACTCCCTCCTCGGATACGCCATCCAGGACCAATTTGCCATGACGTAAATAATTAAGAACCGGTGCAAAGTATTTGGGATCTCTGTCTATTAAATAGGCACCAGTTTCGTCCTTGAAAAAGAAAAGCAAAAAATGCAAAAAAGAGAAAAAAATGATTGACTTAGAACCATTGTCACGTTATGCACAACCCCCTCCGTCACCCCCAATCCCATTCATATAACACAAAAACTAGAGCAGCGACGAGACGACAACAAGAACATGTACAAAATTCAACCTTCACCCCCAACATCATTCATATATGGGTTGTAATGTTTGTTTTTGTTTAATTCGTATACCACCAGCATAAACTATAGCCAAACGACCAACCACCTGCGCCTAAAATTTACCAGCACCATCAATATCATTTAAAAAAGTCTCTCTAGTATATGAATGTTGAAGAATCACACAAACACGTTTTCGGTTCTTCTTCGCTGTGTGTTTTGAACTAATTTTTCATTAGAAAGTCCATTTTATTAAACAGGTCATGTGTAGGTATTTGTTGCAAGCAACAACAGCTACTTCTGTCCGAGGCAGTGTAAAAACAAATAAATCAATAATGGGACAATTCATATGGGCAATGTGTACTAACTAAAAACAAGTACTTTTTATAAAGTGACGTTATTTTTTACAAACTTTTTTGGCATTGCACAAGTATTACATTACGGGAAATTGTTCGTGAACTGATACGTATAGTTTATACCCAGGCAAACTTTTAAAAGAAATGTTGAGGCTAAATCGCTATTCGATATTTGGCAATGAACGGCCATTATTACTCGGCCAATAATTTTTATAGATGTATTTCTGGGAATTTCGTAGCTAATATTAAATATCTTTTTACTAAAAATTTTGAAGCATTTTTAACGCAAATATTGATTGTAGTTTAATTCCTCGCATATTTTATTCAATGTATGACATTACAGATCTTCCCAGGACTTCAAACTTCACGAAAACATATTTTTGGTATAGCTCATATTTTCCTCCGTATTTTCGGTATTTTGGAGACTTTTTTCCCAATCTCCAGTCGCATTACTTTGACATATTAGGTGGTAGTATATCTCCCTAAAAATATTCAATGTTAGTTCAATTTTTGATTAGTCCTCATAGTAGTTAGTTAGTTAGTCCATATAGTAGTACCTTCTAACTTTTACAATTGTGGAGGATTTATTCGCAATTTCGAACCAAATCAGCAGTATATTGATATTTCGGGTCATTTAAGGGTGGAAATTCTTATAAAAAATTCTTCTGATTTTTAGGGATTTTGAGAATTTGGCATGAATTAAGGTGAACAGTAAAAAATACTCGGTCCAGACGAACTTAACATGTGCTCTGTTCCAGACCCTCCAAGAATGTACTAGTTTTGCATTTAAGAAAAATCGCTTATCGTAATAAAGAATTTAACATTCTTGCATTACAAATCAGTCAAAAATACTTCCTGGCCATTTTTTTTTCAGATATTATAAATAATCGCATATCTATTTTGAGTTTTTGAAGGGCAACAACAATACTTCTGTTCTCCATTATGATTTTCAAATATGTGTTAACATTTCAACAGAACGTAAACAAATAGATTATCGGCCGCATGTTGTTTTAAAGATAACGATTAAATTTTTTTTAAATTCTTTTAACTTGGTTATTTACTGATCAATAGTCTGTAAATGAAATGAAGCCAAAAATAATAAAAACATATAGTCCATTTTGTATTTAGTATGCACAACCGACAAAATATATGTGGGCAATTATATTCTGTAAGAACAATAGAAGTATTTACTGCATTTTCCATTTATGGGTCAATGATTATTATTCTAAGTATGACAGAAGGCTTATACATTCTATCCATTTCGCATTTAAAAATGGCGGGTATGTATATATTTATTGCAACTTCAAGGTTATAAAATACTATTAATAAACAAATATCCCAATGAAAAACAGGGGAAGCTGGTTTGTGGCTTTATCGCACCAACATTTCTTGGCTTTATAAGGATTTCCTCAGTATTGGGCTCCAATTAAATAAAGATTTGTACAACATTTATTTGGCTATAAAACTAAAATTTTGTTTATAGATTAAAGTTATTGAACAATTTTGAATGATGAAAAAAACACAAGTAAAATGATTCATTTAATTTAATTACTGACAAAAATGCTAGCAATTGCAATTTCTTTTTGGTTTTTTTTTTTCCCGATATTGTTATGGGTATGCTCTGTGTAAGTGTTTTTTGTTGTGAGCACATAACAACAATGCAACGGAATACAAGAGATTCTCCTATTGGTCTTATTCGTCGTTGAGAAAAAGCTGAAACAAATGTGTTTGATTAGATTACAATTGACACTTAACTGACAGTAATTTAACCATTATACAAAGTGTTAGCATGTCATTATCTTAACAAATTTGCCTCCTGGGTAGGATATGATTAAGCATATACGTGCTCTAGATATAAGAATTGCAGAAGTTATCATAATTACATTATAAATACTCATACCCAAGGTTAGATAGTCAGTCGCTGATAAGGTTGCAGTGGTTGGCATGGGTGACGGGGAGTGTGCGTGGGAAAATATAAGAATTTACCATTGATTTATCAAATTTGGTGTGTGTTGGGTTTTTACAACTTACCTTATCTGATATTAAATCACAGTCCTCTTGTATTAATCGTGACAAGAATGAATTTGGATCCCGTGATAACGTTGTTTTTGTTGTGAGAAAATATTGACCACCCACATTCAGTTTAACCCACTGGTCTGTGCCCTGTTTTTTCAGAACATTTGGGCTTTTACGTGTATTAATATTAACCGTGGTCATGATTATCACTGTTTGATGTTAATTAGTTCCTTTATGTACAATAACTGTTAATATCAAATGAAAATGTGCTACTTTGAAACTTTGTTTTTATTGCTTTTTCTTTTAGGTGTTTTCTTTTTTGCTTGCAAATTGAAAAATTCTGCTGCCTCGACCCCGAAGAACACACAAAACACACTGTGTCACCCACCAACAAACACAATAGAACACAACAATTATTTTGTTACTATTATCTGCTGTTTGTGCTTTTATTTTCAGCAAATCTTATCTATTTTTGTGGAATAAACATTTTAACAGGTGCGATAGAAATGTGTTTTTAAGTTTTTTTTGTTTTCAATGCACTTTTTAACAATTAAAAATGTTTCCTTAGAAATGCTTCTAAAAATGCTATTTTTCTCTTTAGTGGTTTCTGCTTCTTCTTATATATACAACATTCATCGTGAAATGATAACATAGATAAATTTATCTCACCATATGTCAACGACATACACTTTGAAAAACGAAACTCATTATCAAATAATTCAACTTCTAATAAGACCAAAATTCAATTTTATTTCTGATAGTGTTAAAAGAGCTACAATCTTTCAGAAGTTGTTGTCCATGAAGTTCTATGAATCCTCAAACACTGATTTAAAATAGTAATTTAGTTTTTTGAAGTATTTTTAAGAGTTTTGGATATATAATAGGGGATTTTTAAACAACATTTTTAAAGGGCAACTTAGACTTTTGGATCGCTGATTTTTAAACATTAATTTTAAATTATTTACTGTTATTGCGGATCGAAGAGCAACTAAAATATGTTTTTGAAGTACTTTTAGATATACAACCGTTGAAGGGTTCTTAATAATTTCAGAGCTATTGCAGATTTTTAGACTATATACGTGCATTTTTTGAAGAAGATTTATTGAATAATTTATACTCTCCCCTATTTATGTTGCGTTTGCAACACCTAGACAAATTCTTCAGAGACCTCTGAGCCTGTTCTTATGTTGAAACCACGATAGAGCGCGCATTATTATAGATATAGGCTTAACATTTTGGACAAGCACTGGTATTATATTTAGGATACTTGGGATTCAAATAGAATATATCGGTTCACTTTTACTTTTAGGATTTTGGTCCCAACATCCAACTAAATCAACTGTATTTTGACATTTTGGATTTTCAATGGGTAGTTAAACTCCTCCCTCCCTTATTCGATATATTTCCGCTTGTTAGTATTGTTCCCATGTAACAATAATTCCTGATTTTCGATACTTTAAAATTATTAGTCCCCAATGTCAGCTGTAATTTTATGTTTCAGGTTCTCAATTTTACCCCTTCTCAAAAATAATAAACTTTTCTAAAATTATTGTTTTTTTTTCCACTAAATCAATAATTACGCAAAATTTCGTTTCTGAAAAAAAATTGTACCAAAGAAAACCCACATTTCTTCCATATATCCTAAATAAATTAATATCGTAAATTATTATTGAAGTTCAATCAAGCAAAAGGAACATAAATTAATAGAATCTTCAAATTAATATCTCAAAGAATAAAAACACGCATGGGGATTCATCTTAGCCATATCCAGAAACGGTACGCCACAAGTCCACACAAAAATAATACAATGGCTACCTTCAAAGCTTGGAGAAGTCAGGATCGCCTTAGATCCGTAAGGGGAACATACATAACGCCCATAAGACGTGTTGGATGAATTTTACCGGCTTCATCTTTATCGTACTACAAGCAAAGATTTTTTAATAGACTAGATTTAACTAGTTACTTCTATTATTTACCTGCATCATATACTGTTCTCCACCCTCTGGTCCGACAGGTACAATTAACCGGCCACCCTTGGCTAATTGGTCCAATAAAGCTTTAGGTGTTTCGGGAGCAGCAGCACCAACATGTATGGCATTAAATGGTGCATAGTCGGGAGCACCTTTGCGACCATCGCCCTCTTAAAAAAGCATACAAATTAGAATTCCAACATATAAAGATATCAGTCTGTTACTACTTACCCACAATTATAAGTTTTCCTGATTTTAGCATGGAGTCATCATCAATATTCAAATTGGCAATACTTTGTTTTACCAACTCTGCTTGATGTTCAATACCCACAACCCGTGTGTTTTCATGATCACCGTCCTGTGCTTTCAGGTAACGCCAAAAACATGCTGTTAAATAGCCAGAACCGGATCCAACATCCAGGACCCGAAATCCGGGCTTCATATGATCACGCAAATATTCCAAAGCAAAGGCATGCTGCAGAATGTCAAAGAATAACATTCATGTGATATTCTAGAACTTTACTGCACCAATCTTACCATATGAGGTGCTGAAATTGTTACACCATGACCAATGCTTTGTGGTGCATCCATGTAGGGATTTCGGGGCGAATAGAATTTTCGATCCGTTGCAATCATGGCCTGTGCCACAGCCTCGGTAGCTATTACGCCATACTCTATCAATTGGAATGCAAAATATTTCTTCTGTTGCAAAAAATATTAAACAAAGAGAATCAATCACCCATGAATGCGTACCTCTTAGTTGTCGTATAAGATCGGCATTATTGGCTCCCACGGAACGCCAAGCCATGCTTGTATCGAAAAATGTTAATAGAATTAAAAATATTCCGGCCTTATAGCATGTTTCCATTGGAGACCGAACAACGTTGTTCGCTCTCAGAATTAGGTACACGAATTAACCCGTTCATACGGCACGATTGGTAATTTATAGTAAAGTAATTCCTTTTTTCAAAAATTTTGTTTGTGGATTTTAATGGGAATTTATACGAAAATACATGAAATTCTCACTAATATGAATAGAAGAAATTATTGTTTTCCTCCCAAAGATTTATTATATCATTAATTTTACAATTTTCATTCAAGTTTTCAGCTTTTTGTGTAAATGTTGACATTTTGAACAAATTTTTGTGTTTTTCCATTTTTAATTTCTGCTGGAGAGACACTTGTCAAACATTTTTTCTGCCGATAGAAACATTTTGAAAATATTGCCTCTTTTGTTTGCAGTTGTCTGTGGAAAATTTAACTCGTGGACCAAATGCGTACCTCGAATGAGAGAGAAAACAAAATTTCCTTTCGTTTGAATGTACATACGCCATTCAACATTGTAGTTTTCATTCATAATTTTCAGTCTTCCCAAAAATTTTTAAATTTCATCAATTTTTTCTATTTTTAATTGTTAAATGTCATAATTTATTTTTTCGATAAATGCTCTCATTTGTTAGGGATGGGACATATTTTTTCGTTGTTCTGAGAGTGATTTGATTTGAACAACTTATAGCATGTTTCCATTGGAAACCGAACAACGTTGTTCGCTCTCAGAATTATGTACACGAATTAACCCGTTCATACGGCACGATTCGTAATTCATAGTAAAATAATTCCTTTTTTCAAAAATTTTGTTTGTTGATTTTAATGGGAATTCATACGAAAATACATGAAATTCTCACTAATATGAATAGAAGAAATGATTGTTTTTCTCCCAAAGATTTATTATATCATTAATTTTGTAATTTTCATTCACGTTTTCAACTTTTTGTGCAAATGTTGACATTTTGAACATATTTTTGTATTTTTCTATTTTTAAATTTTGCTGGAGAGACACTTGTCAAACATTTTTTCTGCCGATACAAAGTTTTTGAAAATATTGCCTCTTTTGTTTGCAGTTTTCTGTGGAAATTTCAACTCGTGGATAAAATGCGTACCTCGAATGAGAGAGAAAACAAAATGTACTTTCGTTTGAATGTACATACGCCATTCAATATTGTAGTTTTCATTCATAATTTTCAGTCTTCCCAAAAATTTTTAAAATTTCATTAAATTTTTCTATTTTTAATTTTTAAATGTCATAATTTATTTTTTCGATAAATGCTCTCATTTGTTAGGGATGGGACATATTTTTTCGTTGTTCTGAGAGTAATTTGATTTGAACAACGTACAAATATGAGTGTTCGCTCAGGAAATTTTGTGTGAAGAATAATGTAGTTTTTTCATAGTTAAGGGTCAAACAACGAATAGAGAGCGAATCAAGTGCAGTGGAAACGCCACATTACAAATATGAGTGTTCGCTCAGGAAATTTTGTGTGAAGAATTAGGTAGTTTTTTCATAGTTAAGGGTCGAACAACGAATAGAGAGCGAATCAAGTGCAGTGGAAACGCCACATTATCCGTGTTTATTGAATTTTAATGACCAAAATTTCGAAGAAATTGAGATGTCTCGGCAAGCAATGTTTACGTTTGGAAGATTAGTAGCCAACAACCTCCTAATGTCATATACGTCTCAACATAAATGTTATTGTGCATCACTTTGCACTGAATGAAAGCTTTTTGCGTTTGGCGATGATTGGTATTGAGATAGAAATATGTTATTTTTTGTTATTTTATACTCAACAAAACTTTTTAATGGTTTAATAATTTTCAGTCAATATAATGTAATAATAATTAAAAAATCTTTAGTTACATTAAAAAAATTAAAATTTTTTATCACAAAATTTATAATTTGCAACTTTATTGCAGTTTGCGAGAACGCACCTTATACGCATGTATATGTATGTTTTGACAAATGCTTCCTCTTCTTTGTCCGGTGTTAGTGTTTGTGTTTACAGTTTTGGTTTTTTGCAAGTCAAGTCCACAAGCAGTAAGAGTCAACCAAAATGGAATCTAAAGTTACTGTCCTAACACCCAATGGAAGAAGACAAATTGTTAGGATCTCACCAAATATGACACTCCTTCAAATCCTAGAGGATGTGTGTGCAAAACATAACTTGTGTAGTGATGATTTCACTTTAAAACATCACAACAAGGAGGTCTCACTGGCCCAGACATTTCGGTTCAGTGGCTTGCCCAACAACTGTCTCCTAGAAATGTCGGAGGCAGATAAAAAACGTACTGTTGCCAATGTTGATATATGTATACAATTGGAAGATGGTACCAGGAAACAAGCTCAATTTAAATCTACGGCAAATTTATGGACGGTTTTGGAGCAATTAGCTGGCGATGAGTTGGCGAAATATGAAAGTCCAGTTGTAATGTATATGCGTCAGGATGTCATGGGTAAAGATAAATTGGAAACGACAACATTAAAGTCTTTGGGCATTTTGGAAGGACGAGCATTGTTGCGTTTAGCTAACAAGAAAGTGGAGGAATTAAAAACGTGAGTGTGTGAAGCATTGAAGTTTGTAAATTAAGAGTATACACTTTTTTAATAATTCCTTTGGATAGATATTCTTAAACCATAGACCATGTGTTTGAAGAATGATCAGTCAAACAATTAGGAATCAAATTAAATTTAGTCGGGCCCAATATGTATAAAATTTAATATATGTCCAAATCGGCAATCATCAAAATTTCTAAAATTTGTAGGCTCCGAAGAGTAGGGATGGTTCCATTGGAAGGAAAAATACTTTAAAATGCCGAAAATTAGGAGGAATCGTTATATAGGGCTATGCCAAAAAGTAAACCATTAAATATTTTTAAGAGTAGTTATATGTTCTATTTTTACTACCAAACATTCCAGGTATAATCGCATGACAGTGAAAAGGTCTATCTTTAATACTGCGAACTCTACCGTGATTTCAAAAAGCAGGCGGATATGGAAAAATCGATATAAAACATTTCTCTGACCATGACCAATATACTTAATAAGGTCTCTGCAGAAAATTAACACATTTTAGGGGAGGGTACAAAAATGTGTCACACCAAATCATTATCTAGTCTAAATAATGTACCTCGTAACATTTCTACCAAATTTATATCAAGTGCAAAAATTACAATGAGTAACAGATTTGTCCCCATCACAGAACATCGTTATCACCAATCTTAAAGATGTTCTGCTCATTCAGATAGCTACTCACAAAGATGAATGGTCCAAATTTAGCATTTAGTGATATTTTTTAACAATATTAGAAATATATTTTACTTTAAGTACATCCCGCATTTTCTATAACACATATTGGCTTTTTGGATATCTGTAGTCAAGCTATGGTTTATACACCTCCGGCACCTAAAGATGAAACCAAAAAGGATGAAAATGATAATGTTAAACCCAAAACGTCCAAATCTGCTGGCGGAGGAGGTGGTGGTTTTGCCATTACCAAAGATCTGGTGAAGTCCTTGAAAAAAGCAGCAGAAGAACCAAAGACAGAAACAAAAAGCAACGATGAAGAAGAATCGACAGAAGCGACAAACAAGGAAAGTGAACCGAAAGAAATTATAAAACCCAAATATGATTGGGGTGATGCCCCTGGTAGATCGATGCAGGCATCTAAAAACTCAAAGGAGCAAGAAAATACGGTGGAAGAAATGGAACCAGAAATTGAACCCGAGTATAATATTGTAAGAATATTTAAAATTCACAAACGAAACCAACTCAATATTTCCACATTCCTTTAGATTGGCGAACGCAATGCTATTCTCTACAATCTAAATGCAGTACAAAGTCAAATTGAAGAATTACCCGATTCATTTTATGACCTAACTGTAAATGACTTAAAAATGGTTTTGCGCGATTTGCGTAAAATAGCGACAGGTGATGAGGATGCCCCTTTGCTAACGGAAAAATTACGAGAAATCGAAAATAACAACACAATGTTGAGAAAAATTTCGCAGTTTAAAAATTGCGCCATACGCATACAATTTCCAGATCGCCATGTACTGCAGGGCATGTTTAAGCCCATTGATAAAATTTCCGATGTTCTTGAGTTTACAAAGAAATTCCTTATTAAATCAGAACAACCCTGTTATCTGTGTAAGTAGATAAAGTAATAAGCTATGCATTTTTAAGTATCGTTTTTTGTAATTAGATACCATACCACCAAAAACAATTTTGGATTTGGATAAGACATTGTTGGAATTGGATTTTGTACCCAATGCTTTGGTGCATTTCTCAACGGAAGATGAAAACAATGATATGCCACTTATTAAAGAGAACTTTATGAAACAGTTGACAAGCCCTGAAGGTGCTTTGTTTGCAGCAAATAAATTTAGGTAAGGGGCTTTAAATAAAAGAAAAAATGTTATCATTATGATTATATTATTACCTCCCCAAGAAAACAAAATCAAATGAATAAAACCGAAGAAGCGACAAAATGCGAAAGACCCCAGTTAAGTCCATCCACGGGAGCCATACCAAAACGACCACGTAATGAGTTAATGGAATTGGACTGATTCTTGTTGGAAATATTTTTCAAATTACTTTAAAATTAAATTTATTAAACTCGAGTCTTTTCTCATTGTTTCCAGTTTTTTTACATTCGAAGAAACCAATTCTTTTTATTTTAAGAAAATCCATAAATTTATTGAAATAAAACTACCAATGAGCATTGGACAATATTCGATTTTATTAATATATATGTATGTTTGTATGTACATAGATTTTTTAATATAAAGCGTTGGCATTCGATAGGCATTTAATCTTTTAATTTGTAAATGTTAATAATACTAATATGTTATGTATAAATGAGTTTTTTTTTTACTTATATAATTGTGTACCTAAACAATGGACAAGTATTTAAACAAAACAGAGGCACTTTTTTAATTGAAATTAATCTTTGGCTTTGGAGTAAATGTTGTCGAAAATGAATATTAAGGTAATTAGATATTCTGTTCGATTAAGATCAATGGAAAATACAAATATAGAAACCAAACTAATATTTTATGTGAAAGGTAGAAATAAGACTTTTTATCAGGACCACGACCGCATATTTTTGTTGAAGAGACTGAGGATTTTGCCGTAATGTTTTTGTTTTATTAGCAACATATGCAAGGTGTTTCGTAATTCTGTTCGTAATTCGATTCTGTATCTTGGCCCTGTTGGGCAGACCTTCCGCATGTCTACATCAGTGTGAGCCCAATAGGAAATGCGACGGCTGCCCCATCGTGAAAAGATACAGCATATTGTGACTTCGATACCAGTTCTGGGCTTCTTGATCTAGAGGCAGGACCTTGTAGGTCCTTACCTGACAATCCTGGGTGGGGAGTTCTATCCACTATATATTGATTTTGGTGACGTCTAGGTTACACCCAAGCAGATACTATTAATGTAAATGTAACATTTGCAGACCAGCTAACCGCAGATAGATCGCTGCAAGAGGAAAACAAGGTCTGTCTGTTCCTCAAGTCCTGCCGGCTAGCGCTTTGAAGACGTTGTTCCTACTTTTCAGTTATCGCAGATAACTGTGGCAAGCACAGATGACTATCTGCGACAAGATTATATGTAGGAACAAGGTCCTCAAGTCTCTGGCCGACAGTACTTGGGGAGCTGATAAGGAAAACTTGTTGACCTCCTACAACGCAATAGACCGGTCTGTGGAAAACTATGCGGTCCTGCCAGAACGCCGCTCTTAGAACCACAACAGGGTGCCTCCTCATGACACCTGTCGATCACCTACATGAGGAGGCAAAGGTCTTACCGGTGCGACAGCATAACAAAATGCTGTCAATGCAATACCTGCTTGGGTGTTATAGACAAAAGGTACGTAAGGAAATACCTTTTTCGGTTCCCTTTAATTGACAATAAAACACAACTTAAACAAGCGCAAAATAAAGCTTGCAATAATGAACCACACTAAAAGAAAATTATGAAAAAATAAAAGAACAAACAAAAAGCAAATATTTTTTAATGTTTTTTTATTACATACATGGACAATGTCCATTGGACATGGATGTAGTACTGAATGTATGTATATATGTACAATAATAGCTAATGAAAAAAAAAAACAAAAGCAAACAAAATTTGTCAAAACTTTATATATTTATGTATATAAATATTGCTCTGTACTTTTTTCTTATTTATTAGTATACTATATTCTTAATTATGTATACAAAAAATATATATAAGATCGATCGACAGTTTTGAGACAGGATGTGATGTATTCGATTTTGATTTGACATTGATACAACTTTACAAACTAAAAGGATACATGTATGTTTGTAAAAAATGAAAGCTTAGAAAATTTTGGATTTTTTTATTAACAAATAGAGATATCTCGTCCAATACCATACTCATGTATTGCAACAAAATATAATTAACAACAAATAATATAAAAACATGCAACATGAAATACATCACATCTCCAAAGCTGAAGTTTTTGTTTTATATTATATTACAATATATTGATGGATTGATTGATTGGCCAACATTTCATATATGTCAATAGGAAAAGTTTCAACTTGCAATGTTGTGACTGGGTAAATTTAACAAAACATGACTATTTTTTTAACCAACTTTATTAATGTTTTTGAAATTAAAGAGACCAATAAAACATTTTGAAGATACCAATAAAACAAATAATAATTTGAAATTTCGCCTTAAGGCTTATCATATCTTAGCTTGGGAAACTTAAATTTTACAATCATATTTGAATAAATTTGAATATAATATACAATTTTTGATAACACATTGAATATCTAAGAAAGTTTTTTTAATCCTGGAAGACTTTACAAAGGAATTCCAGTGACACTTGTTCATTGCAGTTTGATCTTTTTCCATAAAGCTACAACTTTACCCAAGCGGCTTTCTAATATAATAAACAACTTATTTCTACACACAACAATGTAAATGTGTAAGAACTACACCTTGTTTTCCAAGTTGAAATCCTCGTTGACCAAACGTTATCTTAACATACAAAAAGGCAGAGATATCTTACAAAAAGATATGCAAAAGATTTTGTAAAAGATTTTTGTTTGTATATATTACTTAATATTTATATTGTATGTATATATCAACAACAGAAACAATTGATTGGCATACGATAGTAGAAATGATGATACTGGTGTGGACAATAGTGACGTCTCTTTTTCGTCTGATGTCAGTAGCCAACATTGATCATAACAACACTTTGTTCTTGAGCTATAGCGGCCAACTCTTTTAGCCATTCATCGAGGAGGACAGCACATAAAGCCAAGTCGCGAGTACGTTCGGTGCCACCGCTAGTATTGGCAATGCCGCCCATTGTAGAAGACAACGAATCCAAGGAAGCTGGGCCGGAATTTTGTCCACTACCCATAATGTTGCTCATCGAAACGATTCCAGAATTCGTTACAGCAGTGGATGTGCCAACACCACCATTGATTCCCCCACCCCGTTCACCTAAAGAAGAAAGCGTTGTCGATGAAAGGTTATGCTGCACCGACGCAGACGTATTGGTATTGTGTTGATATTGTGATGTGGAACTATTTGATTGTATTGTTGTTGTACTGCTAACACTACTGCCGCGTTCATGTGTACGTTCCATTGAGCTTAAAGTTGTGCCACTACCACCGGCATTTGTTTTTATTGGCGCTGGCGGTAAAGTTGTAAGGCTTGTTTCACGTGTACTAATATTTGTTGTGGATGATTGATTTGATCCGCTGCCAACAGTTGATGATGTTGTAGATGTTACGGAATTATTATTGTTATTTGATCCAGAGATTCCACCTGTGGACATTGAATAATTGCTTTAAAACAGGCTACCAATCATATTTGTGTTTAGTTGACTTGTATTTACAACATTTATTGGGAGTGCTAAATATTAAATACAGTCGATTGCAATTTTAAGGAAAACTATTGGATCTTTTCGACTACTTTCTTTAATAACTAAAAATACACATTTATTCTGAGAGTAATTTCAATAAGACATCCACAGATGTTCCTTATACAAGCAATCGACAAAATTTGTTAAGTACAAAATTACATTGAAAATATTTTAAGGAAAGTTAGTAAAGAACAGAAATATTAGATTAGAAAGCATGCATATTATAAAAGCTAGCTAAAGGCTGATTTTTTTTGCAACATGGAAAATGGAAATATTTTATCGGAAAATACATACAAAAATTAATATGGTGAGAACGAAGTTGACTAAAATATATTTTATATGTAATTTTTTTTTTTGTTTTGTATGAAATGCATGATTTAATTCGTGCAAGGGCAAATTCTTGAAAAAAAAAAATACCCCAATAATCGATAACTTAATTTAGGCTCAAGGTAAAAAATGAAGATATGAGATCAGCTAAGAATTTACATTTGATTCTGTAAAAACTTCAAATAACATAGTTTTATTCCTTTTAAAGTCGAGAGCAATGAATATCTTCCGAAAATCTAAAGACCTTTTTTAATCAAGTCCACAATGTTTGCATTCCCAAACTAATACATAGGCAACTTGCTGTTGTTGTTGTAAGAGTTGAGATAAAATTGAAATGTCTTCTCGATGCCTTTGTTCTGTTATAAAGGATGATTTTTTATCTATTATCTTTTTGACAACCCTTTTTTCGAGTTTTGTTTCACTGTCACACATCTTCAATTTAATTCTGTAAATGAACCATAAATTGTTTCAGAAACAAACAAAGCTTGCAAATAACTGAATTTTATTATCAAAATGCGAGCTATGTTAAGAAAGTCCATATTAATATGAAGCGCATTCGCGGTCAACATTTGCATGAAAAAAAATTCAGACATTAAATAATATGGACCATGCTATCAATTAAAATAATTTTAAACACTTTTCTGAATTGTATTCAAAATTCTTTAAGCTTTCTTATAGGTCTTAAAAAATCACACTTTACTTCATGAAATTGATTAGAATTTTACAAGTTGGCCAGGTTGAAAATATAATATGAGGCGTTCATTTTTTCAAAAAGTTCTTCCTTTTTTATAATCGGATTCTGCCGAAAAATAACCTAACGACGTATTCGGGTTCAAGGTTGATTAAAACAGAAGTAGTAAAAAAACGGACCAAACTTTTTATACCCTCCACCATGTGAAAACTAGACTTATGGTCAAATTAGCTTAAGCTCAAAATATATAAATGGTTGTGTGTTTTAATTTTTTTTCGGTGAAGTTACAGTAAATTTTGTTGGAAATAGGGTACGGTTTCTTCAAAATACCGAACATCAGAAAATCCATTACATGGGTACTAAATATCAAGAAATGGACTTATATAATATTTTTTTTTTTTTTTTTGAGAAAAACCCCCTAAAATATTTTACTACCACGCATTTGTTTAGAAATTAGGGCCTGCAAGATGAGATTAAAAAACTGCAACCAACTTCAGACTGCTGTTATTTCTAAGCCACTCGTCCAACAGCTGTTAAATTATTCCGCTTGTTTACAAGCGTACAAAAGCATTTTTGTGAGAATTCAAGCGTGATAGTTTGATTTCTTTATTTTTGGCTGGAAAATCACAAGTGGCTATCATTAGAGCACTCCAGCATTTAAATGTGAATAAATCTCTTATGTCTCGTACCATCGCTCGTTACCGTGATACTGCTAGCGTAGCCCGTCAAAGAAGTGGTCGGAAGAAAACAGCAACATCAGCAAAAATGGTTCGGAAAGTGAAGAAGCGACTTGATCGAAACACGCGTCGCTGTGGCCGAAAAATTGCTCGTGAGCTGAACATATCGCAATATTCCATTCGCCAAATATTGACAATTGAAAATTCAAAAAGTGCAAGAACTTACATCGCAATAGAAAGAAAATAGACTCAATAGAAAGAAAGAAAATAGACTCAAAAGAGCTAATGAGTTGCTTCGCTTGGCCGAAAGTAGTGAACTGCCGAATTTCGTTTTCTCCGATGATAAAGCATTCGTTGCCCAGCAGTTTGTACACAAACAAAATTATGGTGTTTACTTGCCAAAGAGGTCAGCTCAAAAAGCGCACCTTCGGTTGGCATCTGAATAATTGCCGAATATTATCGCGAAAATATTCTGGATGGTGTATTAAAGCCTTAGGCACGCAAACATTTTGACCGCAGACCTTAGATATTCCAACAGGACTTAGCACGATTCATTTCCAGCGCACATTGGCCACTAAAATCTCTGGATACCAATCCGTTGGACTATTGTGTCTGGAATATTTTGGAAAGCAAGGTTGGCACTAAAAAATACCAACGTGTCGATCACTTCAAGCAAGCGCTTCCCCGGGAATGGGCCAAAATACCGCAGAGCAACATTCGGGCAGCGTGTGACGGTTTCATTGGCCGTTTGAAGGCCATAATTCGTGCCAAAGGTGACCAATTCGAACAAATCTGATTTATTCTAACATTTGATGTTTTTTCCAACATTTTTTGCTCTCATTCAATAAAATTTAAAAAAAAAGAATTAAAATTATGGCGTTTGACTTTGTTGCAGTTTTTTATCACACCCTGTATTCGTTAAAAAAACAAAATCTGAAACTGGGTGTAATTTATCAAAATAATTCACATGGAAAACAAAATAAATATTTACGTACATTTAAAATGAAAAAAAAATGCAATTTTGCAAGTGCAGAAAGGTAAATGTATTCATATAAGTTCGAAAATGTATATACGTAAACATCGATAGCATTTACGATGCATATGGATAGCAAAGAAGTCAAAGATAATTTATCAAACAATACTAGTAGGAAATACAACAAACACTACGAAAATACATATATAGAGAAGAAAGAGGAAGAGACAAACAAGTAAGATAACATTTGAAGCGAAAACAAAATGATACCAAGTAAAGTGAAATATTTACCGGTGAAGAATGCATAAATTTGTGATAAGCCAGATGTAGCTAAGGATTGTATTGTAAAGAAAAAAAAACAAATAAATAAAAAATGAAAAAGAAAAACAAAATGATTAAAATTAATGATATTAATGCAAATATTCAAATTTAGATTATAACCATTTTTTCATATTTTTGTATTGTTGTTCGGTATGTTGTTTTGTATGTTATGTTGTTGGTAGCATGTATAATGAAATTAGTTTAAATGATGAATTATGAAAATGGCAATGTTTGTAAAGCTGTTCAAAACAAGAATCCCCAATTAAATAGTTTTTTAAATAATGTCACCTTATATCCCACAAAACAAAATTGTATGTGTTTTTAAGTAAAAATGTATGGTGGTTTATGTTTATGTTTGATTTACTACCATGTAAACGTGAACTTACCACTTGATTTACGGCTAAACATGCTCGTAAAGGATTTACTAATACTTTTCCTTTTGGCATCATTACGCTTAAAGGGGTCATACGATGACGATGGTGTAACCTGGACTGGAGAGCTAGCTGATAAGTGGGCATATGTTGATTGTTGTTGTTGTGGTGCTGACAATGTTTTGGCCACATGTAGGGGAGAATTTTCTGTAGCTTTGCGAGCATTCATAAGACGAAATTCACGATCAATCAAATAGGATCGTGCAACATCAATAATTTCTAAAGAATCCTCTACCACTGGTAGTTCAGCATCGATTTGTTGCTTGAGTATACGTAAAACTTGATGAAATGATGGTGTATCTGTGGTAATAACAATATCTGGACGTAAGAGAATCGAGTGTATAAGCGGCAAAGGGTAGCAGGCCAAACGTGTTATGAGTCCAGTCAAATGTAAATTGACGTACAGAGTATTGCTGGTGAATGTTTGTAATTTGGACCAAATGGCATTGAGAAAGGGACCTGAAAATAGAGCAAATATTAGTTGTTATATATATAACTGTTTACGTTTGTTATTTCTACATACCCAATGAGACAGTCCCTTGGGCAAAAAGGTCTTCAGAAAAATCCAAATCGGTTAAATGTAATTCACTTCGATGCTTTGAGACACGCCAATAATCTTTTTTCTGTGTGGCCATACTACTACCAGATTGTTGTCCTTTACCGCTACAATTGCTTGCATCCATATCTACATCGCCACCCAAGGCAAAGTGTAAGCCACTGCCAACAGGACAACTAATATTTTGAGCATCTTCACTGTGTCCCTCTTCATCGGCTGGCCTCCATTTAAATGATTCATAACCACTTGATTCTCCAATCGATTGTAAACTATCCAATTGTTTTTTATCATCGTATGCCAATAGTGGACCTCCCGTTCCTGTTGATGATGAGACTACATTTGATTGTTCCGGACTGTTGCAGTTAAATTCATTAAAGAATTCTTTGACCATTTCTAATGTTTGATTGCATTGCTTTGTTGATTTTCGAGGCCATTTTTGATATCTATAGTCGCTTGACCATACCGAACAGGCATTTAGACACTGGACTATACGTAAATGGGCCTCAAACAAATATGCATGATAGTTGGCATACAAACTATCACCCGTATGCAGGCCATAATAATTCCAATTGGCTCCTATAGTTTTACTTAATGTCGATGTGGGCGACGGCATTGTGGGATGTGTATGATGTGCAGTATCACCCAAATGTTTGTGCTTGGTTAGCTCACGAACTCTTTTCATGACATCTGGCGTAAGATTCAAAAAGAAATCTGAAGAATTTGTGTATGGATCGATGCGATTGATTTTGTGACGATATGATATGGGCACATGTTTGCCCGGCAGTAGAAATTTCAATAGTAATTCCAACATTAAATCTTCACAATAAAGACCCAACAGGGTGTCGAATAATGCCATTGTTACCATGCATAAGTTGGGATCCTGTGACTTCAGACGCTCAACCAGCGTGTCCAATATACGTTCACCATCGAACTTCTCAGCATCCAAGAGAAATTTTACAAATAACTTCATGAGGTCTGGTTCGGTTACCGAACGTAATATCAAATCCAAATAGGACATTGCAGATATTTGTGAATCGACATTAGTCTGGAAATGTTTGCCTTTTAATGTCTGTGAAATATGTAGTCAAAAATTGAAAAATTGTTTCGATTTTTATTGAAAAAAATTATTCAAGGTGCGGCGGTTTTAGTTAATGAGATACTTATTTTAGGTAGCTAAAAAGCAGGAGCAGCAACGAAGAACACATACCAGTTAGAGAAGAAGACAAGTGATGACGAGAAAATGATTTGCAGAGGACAAAACACAGCGACAAAAAAAAATTATTTAGATTGTGCAACATTTTTGACGACTTTGAAAGGGAATCGCAATTTTTTCGTATTTACCAATACATAATGGTATGCTGGTAAATAAGATGTTACCGCATGGTTAATGTATATTTTATTTTGAGAATAATACTAAGAAGATTTTGGTTCTATTCAATATGTTTTGATGAAATTTTTTTAAAAGCATTTTTTAAACAGAAGGTAATTGAAAGAAACAAGTAGATTAAAATACAAGGAAACATATAAAACTGTGTAACGTTTTAAGCTATGCTGGACATTTAATCGAAGTTTGTACAAATACAAAATAGTTTAGTTTCACAAGATTTTTTGAAGCAATCAAAATCTTGTTGCTTGGAAAAAATAATGGATCGTGGACTCTTTTAAGGTTTTTTTTTTTTTTAAATATGAAGTGATAATTCAAAAACTATAACCTCAAACTGCTTAACAAACAATCCAATAACAATTCATTTTCTCATTCTCACCAGTAAAGTGTTTTAAGTAGAAAATATCCAATTATTTTTTTAATCACAATTACACAATTTGCATTAATAAAAACCAACACCACATAAAAATCGAAAACAATTTTTTGTTTGTTTTGTCAAAACAAGACAATGAGGACTGGTCTGGACAACCGGTACAAACTCACACACATAACAATGGATTATTTTTTATTAAAAACAAACGCATAACATTGAAATGAGTGTGAGCCTTACAATGATTTTTTTGACATTCTAAACGTGAAGACATACCTGCAATAAGGCTGGCCCCAAAACGGGTACAATAAAACCCTGATACATAAAATCCAATAATTGAGTTTTTATCATTTCATGGGCCACTTGAACGACAGCATTGCAAAACTCCAGTGCATTCATGAAAAGTGTCAATTCAGGGATTTCCGTTACATCGTCGGGTGTAATGCGATGCCAATCGATGGTATTGATTTCAATGGAATTTGGTAGACGAGAATACAGGCCACCCAGACCCGTTACCAAAAGAGGACACATGGATGAATATTGTGCTATATATGTACCAATATTGGAATTCTTTTGCGACAGTGCCATGCACAGCAAAAGTGCATCTCTGGCCTGGTGTCCCAGACTACCTTCACGGTGTACATAGGGTATCAAGAGGGAAAATATAATAAAGCTGTAATAAAGAACATATATATTTTATTTATTAAGTTTAAGTAGGATAATTTTGCCAAACTAACTTGTTTTTACTTTGTGTTTCTTGGGCCGATGAGAAGAAAAATAAATCCAGTAAGTGCACATTTTGCATAAGAAGAACGCACAGCTGATTTAGTAATATAACTAAACGCTTCTCCAAGTCTGGGGGAAATATTTCTCCCTGGCTGGAAGCCAAAATCTTTAGTAACGGCCTTAGAAATGGTTCATGACAGAGCAACTGATGCCTCGAGTGGCTAACCAGCAGTTCATAGAGTTTGAGTTGTTCCAATCGTACAGCATTGGCATAACGTCCTGTTGTACAACCCCATTCGTATAGTTTATCCAGAAGATTTTCACTTAATAAATACTCCAGACAAGGAGCCGGTGGTGTATTTGAGGCATCAGGTAATGAGATTTTATTGCAATGATGCAATTCCACCAATAGAAGGGTGACCATAAAATCTAAATGTGACACCACCGCCAGGACATCATCATGCGTCGGCGGTCTATTTGGTCCATTCGATTTTTGTATAATTTCATAGGCCTGTTGCCAATGTTTGCAAAAACTATCATAACACGCTCGAGGATCACAATCTGTTGCTGTGTCAATTGGTCTTTGTCGCAATATGGAATTTTGCGTCGATGCATTCGAACCACCTGTAGACGAGGAATTGCCATTACTCGATGTACGTGTTAAACTTTGACGCAAAGGGCTAGAACGTAGCCAGCTCATTTTTTGGATTTCTTTTGAATTAATATCGTTTTTAATTTGTTGTCTTCTTTTGTGCGCTACACTTGGCCGCTTTCAACGTTGGAATAATGCAAGTTGTTAACACCACCCACTCTTGGCCGTTTTATTGTTGTTACAGCAACGCCAAAATAAATTTATGTTAATTCCACAAATAGATAATGTTTTGTGGGCTATTACGAATTTTTTCGTTTTGCTGTCGACATTTATTTGGTATGACCGTCTGTTTGCCTCCGTGCCTGCTGCTTTCTGCTAATCTAGATAGTGAGGCGGCATTTGTGTTTGTTTGTACCTATATTCTTTTATCATCACAGTGTTCTAAGTGGCGACATCATATGCATCAGCTGAAAATAGGCCGGCGGGGGAATGGACGTAAGGTTCTTCTATTATTGTAACACTTTTATTATTTGAGTGTCTTTTAGAAATTTGTTCTATTTCTTATTTGTTCGTTGTTTGCTTCCACATTCGTTCAGTTGCTTAGTTTATATTATTCATCGATAGTAAGTAGTACCTCTTTGGGTTTCCTTTTTATTTGAATGCGTTGACGTGATACAAATGTTGATTAGGCACTAAAAATTAAAAGATAACAATTTACTTTGCGTCACTTAATAACAATCGCATTTGTTGGTCAGAAATGGATAATTTATTAATAAACAATAAACTGAAATAAAAGGAGAATTAATTAAAACCGCAGATCTGGAAAAATGTATACAAGATGCACGACGTTGGGCAATTTTATATTTCCATTGTTGTTTATGAGAAAATTGAAACACATATTGATAGGAAAACTCATCCAAGTGAGTTGTGCAACATCATTATTTATATATTTGCTTGCTACCTGTCGGTGATGCCAAATCAGCGATTCTCAAACTATGGCATTTTGTGTGTTAACCATAACAAGTAAATAGGTCTGCAGTTGGGGTGAGATGACTGTAAGACATCGTGCACCAACGAATTAGTTATGTGTGGGCGGGATAGCAAAATAATCAACAAACATGAACTAAATGTGTTAAGTCCCAGTTGGTTGAAACCCAGTAGAGAACCAATACACCCGTTCATGAAATTACAAGGAATAAGTCTTAAATTGTTTTTGTTTGTTTTAAAACAAAAAAAAACAACCCATCAATTCAGTCGCTATACAGCATTCAAAATAGTTTATATTTATGTTGAAATAACAGCGATAAAATGTTTATGAGTAGGTTCTTATATCGATAAGGCGTTTGCCATTTATGCACTCATTTTGGTTGCACCTGTTTAAGAATCACTGACTTCTCTAATGAAAACGCTATGCATGCAACAACAACACACAAGACACAATAAAACAACAACACACCATATCGTAATGATGCTGAAAATTGTGCTTCAGAGGAAAACCACACTCAACAACATGGCACCTGTGTATTGCTTCCAAAGGTGATTCCCTCTGAACTCAAGTCAATGGGCAAAGAAACTAAAGACAAACACACCACCATTAACACACTGGCCACCATGAAACAAAAAAAATGTACAGTAGCTATAAATCGAAATGCACAAAAGTTGTGTATAAAGAAAATGTAGAGCCAATAGATAATGTAGAAACAGCGACGAAAAACCAAAATTAACATCGATGGCCTTGTGGAACATTAGTGTCAACTTAAATACTATCATCACTTCTCCCGCTTGTTTGGCTGCACAACCACCCCACACTATTAGTCACTTTTCCCCAAAAGCCCCAACAAAGGCAAACAATTGAGGAAAAAAAAATGCCAAAACAAATAACGAAAAACATTGATATCACATGAACTTTACAAATCATTCAAAATTTGCAAGAGTTCTATTGGAATTAAGTTTGTGTTAATTAACAAGTGTGTGTGTATGTAATTTGGCTCGTTACTCTTTGAAGCCACCTTCATGCCTTTTTATGTTTTATACATTTTTTTTATAATTTCATGTCGCATAAAATTCAATTTAACTTGTACGAAATACAATAACAACTTTTTAAAGCACTCATCACTCACACAAACACAGTCATTCGTCGTTCATTTGTTTTACGTTTGTCGTGTTGTTGTAATCAACTTCCGCAGATTTTAAAACGAAACTTCTTCACTAAATCTCAATATTTTTTACAAATTTTCATATTATTCCACTTTATTGGTTATTAGATTACACAATTATCACGTTTTTACATTTTATAAATCAATATTTTCGACAATATTTTTATTGCAAAAATCATAAAAACAGAGGAACACAAACACAGAAAAGAAAGTCATAAAATAACCGATTACTTTGTTAATTTGAATGGTTACATTTACACAGCTTTTGAACGCAGATATGTATTTTTATGAACGACATATGACAGCCGTGAAATATTATCGGGAAACAGCTGACATATGTTATGTTTACATTTATACTGAATATACTTCAGATCAGTTCATGGCAGAAGAATACAGGTGGTCGCATCGGCGCAGCTGCTGGGACAATGAACTGTCAAACCGATTTTGGATTCTAAATTTTTGAATGACAAATAATTGAAATTTGTAAAAAAAATAGAAAATTGCATATTATAATAACCTCACATTTGTGTCAAATAAGAAAACATATAAAAATCTTTTTATTCTTAAAAAAACGTTTAAAAAATGGGGCAGTTTTAGCATTAATTTTTTGTTATTCTTCATGGTAGAAGAACATAGGTAGATGCATGGTAGAAAAATACAGGTAGATGCATCAACGCTTGGAAGCATTTATATGTGAAAAATTTTTAAATTTCTTTTCAAATATAAGTAGATTTTTATATGTTTTCTTATACGACACAAATCGTGGGTTGTAAAGATATGCATTTTTCAACAATTTTTAAATATTTAAATAAATTTTCATTCAACATTTTTAATTCCAAAATTGGTTTGACAGTTCATTGTCCCAACAGCTGCGTCGATGCGTCTACCTATATTCTTCTACCATGGGTAGATGCATCAACGCTTGGGAGCATTGATATGTCAACATTTTTAAGTGCTTTGTCAAAAATAAGTAGACTTTTATATGTTTTCTTATACGACGCAAATCGGAGGGTGCAATGATATGCATTTTCAACCATTTTTAAAAATTTCAATAATTTTTCATTCACGATTTTCAATTTCAAAATTGTCCCAGCAGCTGTGTCGATGCGACTACCTGTATTCTTCTACCATGTTATTCTTCAGAGCTTATAGTGGAAAAGTTGTGGAAATTCTTTGCTTGTAGGAGAGAGTGTTTAAAGGGAATGGAAATGAAAAATTGCTAGTGCCGACAATTTTTGGTAATACTTTTTGTATTTTTATTTGAATGCAAGAATATTATAACAAAAACAGCAAAGGTAATGACAGAAAACGAACATTTCTGAAAAAATGCCTTTCATAAATGCAAGGGGCAACATCAAAAGAGGATCTATCTAAATCAGGACCTACCAAATTGTAGGTCCTGTAATTTTAATAGATAAAAAAGAAAGTTTATATAACGTCTTTTTGGAACGGATTATATTAAACTATTTTTCATTCAAAATTTTGAATTCCAAAAAAGTTTTGACAGTTCTTTGCAGAACCAGCTGTGTTGATGCTGTTACCTGCATTACTTCAAATTCTTCAAACTGTTCGCCAATTCCTTACATGCGGATAAAAATACAATAGAATATTGGATTTTATCCATAAAATCAATTTTATTAATATTATTTCCTTTATTATTCAAAACAAAATACACTTAAAAACCTAGCATTGAATATTTACAAATTCCAATATCAAGGAGAGGAATAACATTTGCACATATTCTGTCCAACATTCCTTGCGATCTCACACATTTTACATACATATGTCAAAATATTTCATACGCTTAAAATATAAAAATTAATAAATGTCCTAGCTCCCAATCAACGATGAATACTATCAATAAAACAGGAAGAAGAAGAATTGACATTACATATTTCTATTCGAATATATCCCAAAAGTAAACAAAGCAAAGTCGCCAAAGGATCATAATGGACAATCCTGTCTGGTGTATACTGGGATCGGGTGGGCACACTGCTGAAATGTGTATAATCCTACAAGGAATTTTCCAGCGGACCAAAGATATTAGTAAATACAAACCAATGAAATTTTTAGTAGCCAACACAGATACAACGTCCAAAGATAAAGTTCAGCTTGTCATGAATGAGCTGCAACAACCCGTGAGTGAGGATGATTTCATCTATATACCAAGAGCACGTGAAGTCGGCCAAAGTTGGTTTACAACAGTTTTTACGTTTCTATATGCGTTGGTGTGGAGTTTTTGGTTAGTATTTAAGGAAAAACCAAGATTAATTTTGTGTAATGGTCCAGGTACTTGTGTACCGTTCTGCTTGGCTGGATTTTTACAAAAGCTCGCCCGAAGGTCAAAAACAAAACTTGTCTATGTGGAGAGTTTTTGTCGTGTCAATGATATATCAATGTCGGGGAAAATATTGTTGCCTTATCTGGATGTGATGATAGTTCAATGGGAGCCATTAACAAAAATAGAATATTTGGGATGCAAGAAAATCAAATATTTTGGTAATATTTTGTAAGCATATGATAACGATTTATTGTTTGTTAATTAGATTCGAAGAAAAAACAGAATAAAACAAAAACACAACACAAATTCTATGTAAGAAACCAAAATTTAAAGTGTTATTAAAGCATTTGTGTAGGGTTTACATCAAGCATACATCTAAGTGGATATTCATTTCAGATTCTTCAACTTCTTTCGCACAAACAGGACACTGTCTAGTGGTCTTATAAACACTGCGCATTCGGGATCTTCGGGTATTTTCATCTTCCGATGAAGAGTTTAATTCTTGTGGCGATGATTTTTTGGTGTTGTTGGTACTTCTGCGGCTTACACCAGATCTTCGAAGAAACTCATCTTCCTCCTCATCGTCTTCGTCCATACTGCTGGCTGAATGGATTTGAGCTAAATCAGACTCGGAATATCCAGCATTACGTAATATATCACGTGTAGTGGACACTGAAGGTCGGGGCCGTCGTTGAGGTCTGGCCTCTTTTGATGTGGCAGCCAATTTCTTTAGTGCCGTTTTTGGGGGTAATATTTTTCTTGTAATACCAGTGCATCCATTAAGATGATCAGCAAAAACAGCTCTTGTCATTTTGCCTTGGCAAATAGGGCAAGTAATGATGTCGCTATCGGGATCCATTTTATGTCTTGAAGACGACGGTTTACAGTCATTTTCTCTTTTAAATTCCTTAAGAAGAGTGTCCTCGCCAAAGAATTCGTCAATGACACTTGTATCGGCCAATTCGGCAGCTGCGCTTAAACTATCATCATATTCATCGTCTATTAACTCAATATCATCGTCACACAAATCAATAGATTCATTCATAATCTCCTGTTTTATTAATGTCTGTCTCTGGTCCATGGTCATATTTTTGTTAATTTTTGGTTTTAAGCCTTCAATGTCTGAATCGTCTTCGTCATCATCAGATGAAAGTGTAATAACGGTTTGGGGTTGATCTTTCACCATGACGTCATCATCAACCACTTCCCATTTGTTTTTTCTTTGGCCGGACCTTTCGTCGGCCACAAATATAATGTCATCGTTATTATTTGATGAAGGAGCCTCACTAGATATTCGGCGACGTTTAGAATCACCTGAAAGAAAGGATAATAGATGTGGTCGATTTAAAAATAAATATGAATTAGAGTGAACAGGTCATTAAGCAATTTTCCATAAGAAGCCACGACAATATGTTAAAAAAAAAACAAACCTAATTCGGCTTTGGCGGAAATGTGGTGAGATTTCTTTAAAATGGACTGCTCTTTAAGTTGAAAAATGTTATGAAAGAACTATTGAATCCCAATCCATCTAGTTTCGGAGTAATTTTGGTTAGACTTTTTGTCAATATGAAGCGGCTGCAATGACATAAAAACCGTTGTCTTTGTACGAACCCCAGAAAGGGTTGTAATGTCAGTCCCTGTAAAAAAGTTCCCTCTTCTTCTTTTAATTAGATATAAAATGTAGAGGAACTTTGAATAATATTAACAATAAAGACAACCGTTTAGACGTGTTATAAATCTATCAAAGACCCTATATAGAGAGGACTTAGGTCCACGAGATTTTTGCAATTTTTATGAGTGAATGTCCTTAAAAGATAAAAATTAATATCCTGACGGAATTTCTTGGTTAAAAACCCCAGGTCTATATTAATAATCATTAGGAAGAGCGACATATTAGGAGAATTTTTAAAAATTATTTTTTCCTGCTTAGATGACTATGTTAAACTCACCTGCATATATATCACTACTAATCCTTTTATCATTAGAATTCGATTTAGATCCATCACCACCACCGCCAAAACGTTTGGCCCAGACATCTCTTAAATGTTTACGATCTACTATTTCACCCTCAGGACTTGAGGAGATTGATACGTTGTGTGAACTAGACGACAACGACATGCCACGGCCCCAATCACTTGAATTTGCAGTGGTTGTTTTAAAACCTGAGACAGCACGCCCAGGGTTACCACCACCTGAGGAAGCAGAAGGGGAGGAGCTGGCACCTCCCAATCCACCAATATCTTTGAAACCCACCACGTTCCGTAAATTGCCCACAACTGGTGGGCGTGATGTTGTGCTGTTTGTATTTCTTTTGACCGCTCTTGAATTATTCAAATCCACATTAAATGGATCCGAGGATAAGCCAGGATAGGAAGTAGGAGGAAATGCCTTAGCAATTGAAGAGTTATTTGTGGGGGTTTTGATATTGGTGGTGGCATTTGATTTGGTTTTGGGATTCAATAGCATGGTACCCCCACCGTTTGTTTTGACAGGTCCTGTAAAAGTAAATTTTTGTATAACATCAAAGCTATCCGTCTCATGTTTCATAGAATTTACCCACCTTTAATGCCACTGTTTAAACTACCAAAGCCCTTAACATTTGACGAAGCCGTAGCAGTCGTATTGTTTGATGTTGTTTGTGGTGTAAAAAACTTACGTAAATCAGATGACCCTGATCCGGATGCCGATGATTTGCCAGCCTTTGTGGTATTCTCCTTTTCATTGGTCGATGGCCTACCCTTTTTCTTCTTTTCGGGTTCTTTGATTTTCATAAATGTACCTCCGCACGATTCATGATGACTGGCCCACCACTGGTCATTGGGACCGGGGGCACGATTCGATGAACGCTTCACGTACCCAAAGAATGGTGAGCGATCCTGGCATATACCATTACAACGCCACCAATGCTGTTTATATAGCTGCACTTCATCGTGGAAAGTATGGTAGACGGTTATATTTGTCCCCGCTACCGTATTTATACTATGCATAATTTTCTTAAAATTCGGACCATGACCACCATTACCCTCACGTATATTCAGAACAAAACAATAGGCATGTATCATTTCATGCAACATTGTCTCAACCAGATCCTTGCGAGTCCTCAGCTTAAGCAACGGCTCACTCAGACGTATGGTTATGTCCATGCCATAGCGGTTTCTGCGAGAATAACATATTCCAGCACAGCTGTACATACGTTTACTCCATTCCAGTGTAACACATTTTAATCGTCCTTGGAAAAATTTCGTATCGAATTGCCCGAACAGGGAGAAAATATCAGGCGTTGGATCCAACGTTTCCCACTGTGGGTGAACCAGATTCTGCGTGCGATTAAGAAACTCCTCATCTAAGTTTGAATGTGGGTTGGATCTCTTAATTTGTAGTGGTTTTTTGTTTTTGATGCTAAAATTCTTAACTGGTGGTTTTTTAAAATCGATTTCCTCTATATCACTGTCTCCTTCTCCTTCCAAGGCATTCAGACGCTTCTGCATTTCCAATGCGTACAGATAGTCTGAATCTTCCGACATATTGATATTATTGTGTGGTGCCCTACTTGGTTTTAAAATGAATTATTCATTGGAAATGTATTTTTCTCTATTTCCCGTTTTTTATTCAATGACCGAATAAAAGAGTTTTGGCGCTGTCGAGAAATGATTGTAAACAAATTTTTGCAATATTTTATTACCACACTTTTGCGAATTGTTGTAGTTGCCACTTGTATATTTTGACAATATAAATGTAATAAAGTATGGTAAACATTATTGAACACGTTTCCTATTTCTGGTGATATCACGGATGTGTTGCCAATTATTTTTGACATTCAACAGTTATTAACCAATGCATTTCTAATACGTACAGATAGTCAAAAATTGACAACATCTTGATATTATTCTGTAATGTCTCACGACTTGCCTCTCGCATTTATACAAATCAATTTTTCAGCAATTTTCGTTGTTACATTTTCTGTCATAGTTATTTGTATTAACAAAAACACTAAATGAATTGCCAGTATGAATACATTTTCTTCATTTCCGTTCTCATTCAACCATGGTAGAAGAATATGGGTGGATGCATAGAAGCTGGGGAACATTGATATGTCAAAAATTTTAAAATGTTTTGTCAAAAATAAGCAGATTTATAAATGTTTTCTTATACGATGCAAATCGGAGGTTGTAATGATATATATTTTTCAACAATTTTTACAAATTTCAATAATTTTTCATTAAAGATGCTCAATTCCAAAATCGGTTTGACAGTTCATTGTCCCAGCAACTGTGTCGATGCGACTACCTGTATTCTTCTACCATGCATTCAACCATCTCCATTATTAAACAATGTTTTGTTTTGGCGTATGAGACCTGATTGAACAAGTTCAGTTGCTTTTGTAAGTGAATTATTTTATTGATGTTCCCAAGGTAGATGTACTAGGTAATCGCATCAGCCCAGCTGACGGCACCATTAAATGTCAAAACAAATTGTTGTAATGACGAATTCGCAACAACAAATTTGTTTATGTTGTCTTCCCTAAAAGTACATTTTTATAATATTTCAAATAATTTAAGAGCAAGTTAAGAGTGAAACCAGTAAAAAATTAAAAGAAAGTGAAGGAAGGAGGTTAGAATGGAGTGCAGCTTTAAGGATGGAAACACATAAAGCGCATATTTGGCTGGCTTAAGTCATCGGCTGGCTTCTTCGCAGATGAACAAAGGAGTTTTAGGTTGACTTAGTTTGATTTTGGCCCTAGGCTCCTTTGTTCATTTCCGAAGAAGCCAGCCGATGACTTAAGCCAGCCAAATAAGCGCTTTATGTATTTCCAGCTTAAGAATTAAGTTAGCCTCAACATCTAAGATTCCCAAAGCACATCACGGGAAGTAGTGCAAGAATTCGACTCTTGTCATTTGCAGTTCCGGAAAACATTCGGTTTAAACCAGTAAAATATAGTCATTACAAGTTTCTTGGTTTAAAAATATCGCAAAACTACAATTAATACTTATTTTACTCTTATTTGTTTTACAATAAAAACTTTAATTGCGACGTTCGTTTACGACCAGAGGCACACAAATTAAAATGTAAACAAAAACCTCGTTTCTGATTGGTTGAAACAAATTTGCCGCAACCTTTAAATGTCATGGCGAATCTATGTTTTTCGCCTTAGATGCCAATTTTGACATTTGAGGGGACCACAAAAGTTGCTTTGTTGTAGCAATTCGCCGATGCGGTTACCTGTTAGATCTACCTTGGATGTTCCGTTTAATGAATCACTCAATTGAACTCGGTCGCTCATAAATAACACCTTTCTTGCACACGACGGCCGACACGTTGTTTATCTTTCAATTCTTTTAATTTCATTTTATTTATTGCATTTAATACCAATAGTATCAAAAAAAGAATAATGACGAGCGTATTTTATGTGGAGCCTGAATTAGTCATTGCCTTAAATAGACGCGCAATATTTGTGAATCCCAATGATTTGCAGATTTTTAAGGAAATACTTTTACCAGAGGATTTGACCAAATGCGGCTTGGTAGCAGAAGCCAATGAAGATGGTGAACAAGATAACGAGAAATCACACAAACAAAACCAGACAAAAGAACAGCCCACAATACAACATGTTAAGATGTCACCCAATCGTCAAATGGTGGCCATTACCACGTCCGGGCAAAAAGCTGTTTTGCTGTATACTCTACGTCCAGAACATGCCAAATTGGTATCGGTTAGAAATTTGGCTCGTGCATCTAGTGCAGTTACATTTAGTCCGGATTCTAAACGTTTATTGGTTTGTGATAAGACTGGAGATTGTTACGAATATAGCTGTGAAGATTTTGAGGCAGCTCCAAAAATACTTTTGGGTCATCTGAGTATTGTCTATGATGTTTTGTGGTCTCGGGATGAAAAATATATTGTTACATGTGATAGAGATGATAAGATACGTGTTACCAATTACCCTGAAACAGCAGAAATCCATACATATTGCTTGGGTCACAAGGAATTTGTTGCGGGAGTGACGCTTCTAAATGATGATACCTTGGTCTCAATTTCTGGCGATAAAACTCTTAAAATTTGGAACTATAAAGAAGGCAAAGAAGTTAAATCATTAGAATTACCAGCTCCAGGTATAAAATTAGCTTTAAAGCGTAAAGATTCAAACAAATTTGAATTGGCTGTGTTGCTACATCAACCCAACGAATGTGTAGTACTCTATCAAATATCAATAGGAGATAATGGACAATGGGAAGTCAGTTCCGGCGATGTACTAAGTTTCCCTGATGTAATTTGCTGCAACATAACATACGCCGAAGAACGCCTATATGTAGTAGGCGTTGTTAATGATCACTTGACAATTAGATTATCACCTCAAAGCCCTGAAGCTCCGGAAAATTGGTTGAGCGTAATGGAGGAACAATTCAAGGACTGTACATGGACACCCGAAGATATCTCCGCATGGTTTAAAAAGAAATTCGATAACGTAAGCGAATATTTGGAACGTAAAAAGAGACGCATTGAAGAGAAGCAAAAATAAAGTGTACAAAACTTTTTGTATTTTACAAATATTGTTTTTATTCTTAAGGTGAGAAAACAAGCAAGTGTTTAAATTAGAATGATTATTTTAAATCGTTTTTTTGTTACATGTAAAAAATAAAGTATGCATTTTAGTATATTTAGACTGGTTTGTAATCTAATTTGCTTTCCAATTTCTTGTTGTCGGATACCTTACGGACAGCCTTCATGAAATCTTCTTGAATAACATATTCTCGTTCAGCTCTGAAAAGGAGATAAAAAAATTAGTCATACAGTATGGAATGGGAAAAGAGTTCTGGAGGAGTACAATCAAATTCGATATCGACTTGTTGTCTTTTAACATAACTTCGGTGAAGTATTTTAATTTTTTTTTTTTTAAATTTTAAAATAAATATTTTTTTTTATTAAATCGATACCTACCTAATTGCAAAAAGACCAGCTTCGGTACAAACATTACGCAAATCGGCACCATTGAAATTGTCCGAAAGTTTGACAATGGCTTCATAGTCAATTTCTCCATGTTTGGCAATTTTTTGAGCATGGATTTTCAAAATTTCCATTCTATAAAATAAACGCAATTAGTCAATGTTTCAATAAAATGCATATCTATATCTTACCTTGCTTGTTCATTTGGTAGTGGAATTTCTATTTTACGATCCAAACGACCGGGACGCAATAGGGCAGGATCTAAAGTATCGGGACGATTTGTGGCCATAATTATTTTAACCTGACCCAAAGCATCAAAACCATCCATTTGATTTAAAAGTTCCATAAGGGTACGTTGAATTTCACGATCAGCAGATGTGCCCTCGGAGAAACGTCTACCACCAATGGCATCAATTTCATCCATGAATATAATACAGGGTTGATGATCACGAGCATAGTTAAACATTTCACGAATGAGACGTGCCGATTCACCAATATACTTATCGACAATGGCGGAGGATACAACTTTCAAGAAATTGGCATCCAATTGGGAAGCCACAGCACGAGCGAGTAAAGTTTTACCCGTACCAGGAGGACCATACAACAGACAACCTTTGGGTGGGGTAATGCCCACACGTAAGAAAAGTTCAGGATTTAACAGTGGCAATTCAATGACTTCTCGTAATTCACGAATTTGTTCTGAAAGGCCACCAATAGCTGAATATTTAACATCTCCAGGATCTTCATGCGACATATTATAGACCAAGGGATCAACTTCACGTGGCAAATAACGCATTATGGTCAAGGTAGTCATGTCCAAGGCAACACGGGTGCCAGACTTCAGCTTTGTCTTGTCCAATTGGCGACGGCAACCGACAACATAGCGTGGACCATTTGTGGCCTTAACAATAACTGTGATGCGAAGGAAAACATTATTGAAGGTTACAATTAAATTGAAATGTTTAATTTCCTTACATTTATCTTCGGTAAGCTGTTTCAGCACTTCACCCACAATCTGGCCAACACTTTGTAAAGCTTTCAAATCATTTTCAGATTTGTCATACTGTTTTGTTAGCTCCTTGATTTCTTCACGCTCTACAAAATAATAAACATTTACAAATATTCATTTGATTTGATATGCTATTCGCTGAAAACATACTCTCTTTTAGCCTCGACTCAACTTCTTTGTGTTCCAATAACTTTTTCCTATACTCAAAGAGAGCCTTCTCCCGCACTCCGTCAGCCGGAACAGTGCCAGTAGTCATGATTCTTGATATTTATTTATAAGTCTTTAAACTAATTGATGGAAATTTGTTAAATTTAACTCCCTTGTTTTAAATTGGCAATTGCGTGAATCTGCAAATTTTTGTATTTTGTCAGTAATGCTTCTTCTTGCTGTCGCAGCAGCCGCCTGTCATTTACTTGGGAAGTGCTCAGAGGAACGCATTTGCATTTCAAAGAACATCAGTACTACCTCAGTAAAGTGCGTGTAATGCCAGCTAATAGCTTATTTAGACTATTCGTAAAAGCGTTTCTGATTTAAATTCAGTTCAAACTTCGCTGGATTAAGCAAGGCCTCCCGATTCAAATTCCTACTCCCAATAATATATACGAAAAATCCTCAAAAAGAAGGGAAAAATCATGGTAGAATCAAGGAGGTAAAGTCATGTAATCAAATGTTTACATTTTTTTCAGAAATTATTCATTTGACAACATCTCATTGTCAAAATTTGTATTTGTAAAACCATTGTACATTCACAAATCGGAGATGTAGTGAAATCGGTTTTTATGTAGTGAAATGTGATAAGGTAAATTACAGAAAATTCAGAGATGGGTATGCTTACTTGAAATGACTTTACCTTCTTAATTTTAACATGGAAAAAATAGTTGAAGTGAAAAATGCTGCAAAAAAAGGGATAAGAAAGCAGAAAATGGACAAAGATAAATTCCTAAAGCAGCACTAAAACAAGCAATGTAGTTGTTGTGGACAAAAAATCCATCACTACAAAAACAAAAACGTTGCTGTGAAAAAAGATCTGCCAATAGAACTTGAGTCGAACCTGGAGAGTTTCTAGTATATAATTCGCATATGCTAATTTGCAATAAGTTCGAAATATATACTACTTTCCAGAGAACGGCCCTAGTAAGCCATCATCCACATCAAATATGCCTGATGAGCCGCTTAACCAACGCCGAAACGCGTCGCATAGTGGTGAGTGTGTGAAAATGTCTATCTGGCTTTCCTTTTCACTGCAAATTTCAGATCATTAAGCTCGTCTCGAAAGAGAAAACAAACACTTAAATCATAAAACATATGATCTTCGCCTTAACAAGACAAAACTCAAAAATTCAGCCGAGCCTGTCTGTGGGATTTGAACCGCGGACCTCTGTGTGCAGCCAACTAGAAGTTGCCGGCTCTACGTTCAGAGCCATTAACCCGTCTTCCTAAAGCAGCACTAAAACAAGTGTATGCATTGGAAGCAATGTAAAGAGTGATTTGTTAAGAGCTTGATAACTTTTTTTTTTTAAAAAAAACGCATAAAATTTGCAAAATCTCATCGGTTCTTTATTTGAAACGTTAGATTGGTCCATGACATTTACTTTTTGAAGATAATTTCATTTAAATGTTGACCGCGGCAGCGTCTTAGGTGGTCCATTCGGAAAGTCCAATTTTTGGCAACTTTTTCGAGCATTTCGGCCGGAATAGCCCGAATTTCTTCGGAAATGTTGTCTTCCAAAGCTGGAATAGTTGCTGGCTTATTTCTGTAGACATTAGACTTGACGTAGCCCCACAAAAAATAGTCTAAAGGCGTCAAATCGCACGATCTTGGTGGCCAATTTACCGGTCCATTTCTTGAGATGAATTGTTATCCGAAGTTTTCCCTCAAAATGGCCATAGAATCGCGAGCTGTGTGGCATGTAGCGCCATCTTGTTGATACCACATGTCAACCAAGTTCAGTTCTTCCATTTTTGGCAACAAAAAGTTTGTTAGCATCGAACGATAGCGATCGCCATTCACCGTAACGTTGCGTCCAACAGCTTCTTTGAAAAAATACGGTCCAATGATTCCACCAGCGTACAAACCACTCCAAACAGTGCATTTTTCGGGATGCATGGGCAGTTCTTGAACGGCTTCTGGTTGCTCTTCACTCCAAATGCGGTAATTTTGCTTATTTACGTAGCCATTCAACCAGAAATGAGCCTCATCGCTGAACAAAATTTGTCGATAAAAAAGCGGATTTTCTGCCAACTTTTCTAGGGCCCATTCACTGAAAATTCGACGTTGCTCGTTAGTAAGTCTATTCATGATGAAATGTCAAAGCATACTGAGCATCTTTCTCTTTGACACCATGTCTGAAATCCCACGTGATCTGTCAAATACTAATGCATGAAAATCCTAACCTCAAAAAAATCACCCTTTAGTTGTTGTGGACAAAAAATCCATCACTACAAAAACAAAAACGTTGCTGTGAAAAAAGATCTGCCAATAGAACTTGAGTCGAACCTGGAGAGTTTCTAGTATATAATTCGCATATGCTAATTTGCAATAAGTTCGAAATACATACTACTTTCCAGAGAACGGCCCTTGTAAGCCATCATCCACATCAAATATGCCTGATGAGCCGCTTAACCAACGGCGAAACGCGTCGCATAGTGGTGAGTGTGTGATAATGTCTATCTGGCTTTCCTTTTCACTGCAAATTTCAGATCATTAAGCTCGTCTCGAAAGAGAAAACAAACACTTAAATCATAAAACATATGATCTTCGCCTTAACAAGGCAAAACTCATAAATTCTTTTCATTGACTACTTTTCAATTTTTGTAATTTTTGGCTCAATACGTCACAAAGACAATTTAATACCCTCCAGCATTTGGAGAAAACTTGCAGAAAGTAAAAAACATCCGCTAATAATGTTGCTATAATTTGAAAAATTTAGAATGTCAGTAGCTCAATCAGCAGCAAATTATCTGCCAGAGAAGATGATGGGAACTCTAAAAACCTAGTTTAGGATAATTGAAAAACGTAGCCATAAGCGTCAAAATATCGAATATTGGGAGGTACCGTTATGTGGGACCTTTACGAGGACGGGAATTTGTATAACCAATTTTCTATCATAACAAGTAGTACCAATTACTAACTCCAAATTTCAAACAATTTCGGTAAAAAGTGTGACACAAATCGTCAAAATACCGAATAACTGGAGGTAGAGTTATATGGGGCTATAGGAAAACCTTAACCTATGTAGCCAATTACGAACTCAAAATATCAAGTTTCAGACAATTTTGTTAAAAAGTGTGGACAAAATTCTTAAAAGACTGAATATCGGGAGGTACCGTCATACGGGGACTATATCAAAACTTGGTTCTATATAGACAATTCTATGCAAGGATGTTGCCTGATTAGGAATATATATATATACTCTGTGGGGTCTACAATTTATGTTTCTATATGTTACAAATGGAATGACAAACCTAATATACACTCTATACTACAGTGGGGGCCATAAAAAGGGTTAAAAGATAAATTCTAATATTTTTATGTAATTCCCCCAAGAAAATCGGTAATGAATTCAAAGACAGACGTGAAAACTGTCTAATCATATGTCCAGAAATGACATTGACGCATAAATGCCGTACACACATAACAATTCCAGCGGATTTCAACTGTCAAAGCCATTGCGTAAATGTCAAATTAAATCCACCGAATTTGAGAGTAGATTTAATTTGATGTGTACGCAATGGAACTTAAATCTCTTTGATTTTGTAAGTGTAAATGTGCTTTATATAAATAACAAATCATGCATGGTAGAAGAATATAGGTAGACGCATCGACACAGCTGCTGGGACAATGAACTGTCAAAACAATTTTGGAATTGAAAATGTTGAATGAAAAATTATTTAAATTTGTAAAAATTGTTGAAAAACCGCGACTTATAATGACCTTCGAATGACGTCGTATAAGAAAACATTTAAAAATCTGCTTATATTTGAAAACACATTTAAAAATTTTTGACATATCAATGTTCCCAAACGTTGATGCATCTACCTGTATTTTTTTTTTTTTTTTTTGGAATCGGTAATTGGTTACGCCGTCAAGACGAGGTTAGTACGATACCTTAAGTATGCATGTACCATTGCTTTGTATTCGATTAGTGGTTATCGATAATTATCTTTTTCTTTCTTGTTTTTCATTTCTCTGCTTCCTTGTAGAGTTGTGCTGCGTCGCGTAAAATCCATTTTACAGCTGTATATTGTTTTTGTGAATGAAAGTGCATAGTTCATGAAAATTTTCAGTGGCGAAACTTTTGAGTAGGGCAGGTAAGTTTGAAAAATTTGTAAAAATTTTGTAATTTAATCTGTCATTATTAAATTTAGGACAGACAAAGAGTTGGTGGTTTTCGGTGTTTGGAGTGTTGCAGGTGTCGCATAAATTGGAGGTTTCAGCGTTTATGAGAAATAGGTAAGTTTTTCCGTATGTGTGACCGGTGAATAGTCGATTTATGAGTTTGATCTCTCCAGGGGGCATGTTGGAACCTGCATACCAGTGACGAGACGGCGGATCTGGGAAAAATTGAGAGAAGTATGTGCCTTTAGTGATTGAGATGTTTTTATAATTTTCCTTCCATTCGTTCCATAGATGGTGATAGATTTGGGAGTGAGCATCTTTTACTGAGAGGTCTGATTGAATTATAGAACCGACTTGAGCCGCATGTTTGGCGAAGAAATCTGCGCGCTCATTTGCAGGGATGCCAATATGTGAGGGAGTCCAGATAATGGTGAGTTGTGTAATTTTTGAGTTATTTACTTTTCGAAGTATATTATTTGCCAGGTAGTTTTGAGTTGTATTTCGTGTTAGTAATAGACAAGCATTTTTACTGTCCGTTATAATAGTGGCCTTATTAATGTTGACTTCTATGATAATGTCTATGGCCTTGTTGATAGCATGTAATTCTCCCATTAGTGAAGACATTTTACTAGGTATTTTAAAAAGGAAGTTTTGGTTATATGAGATGTTGCATACTGCACATCCGGTAGAGGCACTGGAAACCGAGGCATCAGTTGCCCAAATAGTATGACCTGTATTTTTTAACCTTTCAACTTTTTCTTGTAGGATCATTCGATAGAATTCATTTGGTTGGGTATTTTTGGACGAGTTGAACAAATTTATGATGAAAGTGAATTTGTTTCCGGGGTATTCGATTTGATTTACAACAACTTTGTCGAAGATGTGTTTAAATTTGATGTATATAAGGCCCAAACTTGTCTTGTTGGAGGGGTTATTTATAATGTTTTGGTACAATTGTCGATTGTGACATTTCAATTTGATTAATTCTTTCGCTGCGAGATATTGAGATCGTTGTTCCGGAGGTAGCATCAATGCTAATGCATAGATTGCGTGGACAGGTGTTGACGGTGTAAGGCCAAGACTTCTTCTTAGCATCTGATTTTGAAAAGATGTAAGTTTTCTGTTCAAGTAAGTTGGCATATGAGCCATTGAAGAGATGCAGTACTCTGTTTTCGAAAAAACTATGGATTTTGCTAGATTAATAGCAATATTTGGGAGTAGACCTTGTTTGATATTGTTGATCATTTTTAATGCATTTATTGACTTGTTGCAGGACAAGATAACATCATCACAGTGTTCTTTAAGAGATAAACTGTTTTTTATGTGCCTTCCTAAAAACTTTATGCTGTTAACCGATGTAATTTGTGTGCCTTGTAAAGTGATGGTAGGAGTTTTTCTTGGTCCTTTGGCTACATACATAGCGGCGGTTTTGTTGGTATTGTAGTTTAGGTTCAAGCGTGATAGAAGATATTGAAATTCAGTGGCTTTTAATTGCAGATTTTGATTGGCCGATTCAAAGTTCTTATGCGCAGATAATAATATGAAATCATCCGCAATTTGAAACAGATGTGTGTTGTCATCAGAAATAAAATAAGTTAAAAAGAGTAGGACTTAAACAGCTGCCTTGTGGGAGCCCATTGAAGATTTCAAGAGATTCATTTCCCATAACGATAGTTCTTTTGCTTAAAAAATTAATAATCCAATCAGAGATGTCACTCGGACAGTTGAGTTCGCATAGTATTTTAAGGAGAATTTCGATACTGACACAATCATATGCTTTTTCTACGTCTAACGATAGAATAATCACTTTCTCACCTCTGTTTTTATAGTAATTTATAGTGTGCAGTAAGTTGTTGATACACATCGAAGTGGACATATGTTTTCTGTATGCAAATGTATTTGCTGGCAAAATATTATTTTCGTCGATGAATTGTTGCAGACGTTCTTTCACCATTAAATTTATTATTTTTAAAGGAACTGATATTAAGGCTATCGGTCTGAAGTTAGTAAACAATTCTAGATCTTTGCCTTTTTTGGTATCGGGATAATTTTAATTTTTGGCCATTCATCTATGATTTCGCATTTTTTCCATAAACAATTTATTGCTTCCAAAAAGTTTGTTTTTGCCGATTCCCCTAGATTATTTATCATTTCGTATGTTATACCGTCAAGGCCAGCAGCTGAGGGTTTCTTTTTGTTTTTGAGAACCAGTAGAAACTCTTCCATTGTTAGATTGGACCGATTATAAGTAGTTTTGCTGACATAATTAATTGGATTGTTGTCTAGAACTTCATCTCTGAGGTGGCATAGAAATTGTTTGTTGTTATTTGGGGACCATTTGCTTTTGCTGTTTGATGATAAAATATTTTTGCACCCACGAACAAATTGAAAGAGATGTTTTGAACTGGGCTCCTTGTTTAGATTTTGTATTTTATTCATGAAATTGTGTTTTTTGGCAAATTGGACGGCATTTTTAAAGTTTTTTTTTATCATTTTAATTAGATTTCTTGCATTTATATCATTGCTATGCATATCATAAGTTTTTTGTGCAGCTATCTGTAGCCTGTACTGTTTTTCAACATAGGAATCCCACCACACTTTAGGTGTTTTGTTTCCTTTTAGGGTATAATTAGATTTTTTGATTTCACTTTTTATCACGGAGTGTATTTCTTGAAAATTAGTATTTAGTTGGATTGTACTTAGCTTTTTCATTAGTTGTTTTTTGGCCAAAAAAGTTTGACCCTTGCACTTTATGTTGTTAATATTTAAAATGACAGGATAATGGTGGCTTCCACCGATCATATTTTTGAAAGTTTTCCATTGAATTGGTAAAATAGAGTTTGTGAAAGATAGGTCCAGAACGGATCCACTCAAATCATTTATATTTTTTTTAAAGGTATAACTACCATCGTTTAAACATTGAAAGTTGGAATTATCAAAGATTTCTTTTATTGTTTTTCCACGCTGTGAGACAAATGAGTCACCAAAAGCTGAGTGTCTAGCATATGAAAGTGTTACATTGATGATCAAGTAATGATATTAATTTGTTTAGTTCTGTCAATTTTTTGCTTTTTCAGAAAAAATTCGAGGTAATTTTTGTTTTTGTTTAAACTTTGCACATTGTATTGAAGCATGTTCATGATTTTAATAAAAGTTTATTGTAAAATTGCAGGATTTGAATTATTATTTGGCACTTTGTTATTTGGTTCCTCAAATGGGTTATCTATTTCCGATGAAAGGAGTGATTGCTGGAATTTTTTTAAAATGTTTAAACCTTCGGCACTATTAAGTGAGGTAAGGACTTTTGACATTTCTTTTGAAAATTGTGTTAATGCTTTTTCAATTTCAGATACTTTTGAAAAGGTAGTATGGTTGAAGACGGATTGAGATGGTGTGATTTCAATCGGACTGGCAATGGCGTGATGGATTGGATTTCGTGGAGACGCAACTTTGCTATATTTTAATTTTGTTACTCTTTTGTTTATTTCTTCATAAACGCTTCTTTTTTGTGGTTTGTTTTTATTAAGAGGGGGAAAGGCATTGTTAAATTCATCATCAGAAAGGACTTGGAAACGGTTTTGGGATTCTGGATATTTTTGAACAACTTCTTTTCGTGAAAGGTTGGAAAGGGCCATTATGCTTCTTATATTTCTTTCAGATTTCCATCTTGGGCACTGCTTTGAGTCGGTTGCAAAATGATCAATACTATTACAGAGAATGCATCGAGGCGAGTTGCATATATCCTTGCACGTAGTTGTTGATAAACATTCTTTACATTTCTGCTCTTTGGGACATTGATTGGGGCATAGAATAAATTTACCACAATTTAAACATTTTTTGTCGACCTGCAACGAATGGCTATGTGTCCTAACCGTCCGCAGTTTAAACATAAACGTACAGGGGGGTCATATAACTCCGGTGTAATTTTTGTTCCGCACATAAGTATCTCCGTGGGTACACCATCATATATAATACCGATTTTTATGGTTTCGGAGTCGTCCATATCATTATTAGCTTCAATTTGTTGTTTAATTGTAATAGCAGAAATACTTATTGGTACATTCTTGATTATATAGAACCGTTGTACAAAACGTTCTGGGATAAAGGCTTTGAGATCGATTTGGTTTAACTTTGGGTTTGTAGCAAAGGAGTTGGCTGAGGTAGCATTGTTAAATGTTATTCTGAAAATATTGTATCCAATGTTCTTGCAAGCATAGTCTGTAATATTAATCTTTTGAAATCTTGCATACAGGTGAAGTTCACAATTCTTTCTTCTTGTGCTAATTGGCGTTTCTGAGGAAACTAACACATGAAAAGGACCGGGATGGTATTGAGGATATAAAATGGTTTCTTTATTTAGAGAGTTGTAGTTGTGTTGGTCTGCCATTTCATTATTTGATGTAGGTTCTGTGTTTGTGTTTATTGGTTTAACAGGTGTTCCATTTTGGTTTTTGAAAGTTTTAGTTTCTTTGGAAATGCTTGGAGCTCTTCTTTTATTTTGTTCCCCCGGGGGAGGAGGTGGAATAGGCGGAGGAGGAGGTTCCCCTACTCCCCCCATTTTTTAGTTAATGAAGGATTATTTTAACTTTTGTAAAAAAAATTTGCAAAAGCAGGGAAAAGTAAAAAAACTCAAATTTGTTTATGTTTGTGTGTGTGAATGCGTTGTTTGTATATTTGTTGTTGTTTTGAAATAAAAGCACAGCGACCAGCGCGAAAAACAGTCTAATGTCAACAGATGCTGATGAGCGACTGCTACCTGTATTTTTCTACCATGAAATCATGGCAGAAGAATGCAGGTAGATGCATTAACGCTTAGGAGCATTGATATGTTAAAAAAAATTAATGTTTTTTCAAATATAAGTAGATTTTTGTATGTTTTCTTTTACTATGTCATTCGGAGGCTATTATAATTCCCGCTTTTCAAGAATTTTTACAAATTTAAATAGTTTTTCATTCAACATTTTCAATTCCAAAATTGGTTTGACAGTTTATTGTCCCAGCAGCTGTGTCGACGCGTCTACCTATATTCTTCTACCATGTAACAAATCATGGTAGAAGAATAGACGTAGGTAGGTAGACGCATCGACACAGCTGCTGGGACACTAATTGCTGTCAACACTGGGCTGCTGTCAAACTAATTTTGGAATAGAAAATGTTGAATGAAAATTGTGAAATCGAAAATTCTTGAAAGACGCGAATTATAATAACCTCCGAATGACGTCGTATAAGAAAACGTGTAAAACGTGAACATTTAAAGTTTGTTGACATATCAATGTTCCCAAGCGCTGATGCATCTACTTGTATTCTTCCACCATGTAACAAATTTCTTTGATTTAGTACCTTTCCTTTTTATTGTACCATGAGTCTAGGCAAGTTTATTTGCCGACATTTTTCACCTCTTTTCATCTCCCCCCATGTATTTAAACAAAGAAATTTGTTTTCAGAAATTGTCATTTTTTATCATTGCCTATTCTGTCATTTATGTCTAAAAATAAAAACACGAAGGAAATTGACACAAATTGGCAAAACCAGACAATTTTTTCAATTCATTCCCCCCATTTCACTCTCCTACAAACAGAGACTTGTTGCAAGTAAACTTGCAATACATTTAAGGATTAGTCCTTTTGCCACCCACTCACTACTTTTATTCAAACGAAAACAAACAAATAGTTTACGATACCCTAAAATCAGTTTCCATCTTGATTAGTATATGGACATAAGCCATCCTTATGGACACCTCATATTGACACACAACAACAAACAATGGTCAATAAGGACAAAAAACACACAAACAGCTTATCAATCTCTGCAGCTTTTTAGTTTATTTCCTTTACTAATTAGCAAACAAATGGCATTTATAAAAATACCAAAAACCTATAAATTATGGGAGGATACGAAAAACATTAACACTTTGTCGTGGAATATCGGATCGAGTGCTACAAACAACAAAGCTAGCCATGAATTATACCCTGTTCGCAAAGGATCCTGAGCATTTGGTGAAAGTACCACAATCAGAGGAAATTGACAACTTTGTGGCCATAGCTTTGCGGTTTTTAATTCAAAATGTCTTGCTCAAATTAGGCGATTCCGTTTTTCTGACAATATCGACAACATCCCCAGCAACGGAACTCTGGTTTAAAGATGTACTTGCGAAATTGTTTGCCTCCTGGGGTTATATGGCCATTCAAATTGTTCTGCATAACAGCAAGCGTCAAGATGTAGTGGTACCCGGAAGGCGATTTTGTAACATGATAATGGTCGATTCATTTGAGAATTTACAGCGTACCAATATATCCCAGCACAACAGCCAGTATGATACGCAAGAGTACTACATAATATTTTTACAAATACGTGACGCCCAAATGCCAGAGGAAAGAGCGAAAATTCTACAATATTGCCTGGATAATTATTGGTTACATTGCAATGTTATGATACAAAACGCAAAGGGCGAAGTTTTGATCTACACCTATTTTCCATTTCAAGAGGATGCTTGTTTCAGTAGCGATCCAGTGCTGATAAATCAGTTCGATGGTGTACGTTTTGTAAATGACGTTATGTTTCCGATCAAAGTTCAAAATCTGTATGGTTGTCCAATACGTATGAATCTTTGGGAAATACCACCGTTTATCTTATTCCCCGATAATACAACGGAAATTTATACCGGCCTAGAGATGATAATTTTAAAAACTCTGAGTAAACATTTGAATTTTACCATCGATGAGGATAGTCTTGCTGAGAGAAGGGATTTGGGTGACGATCGAATGGAACCATTTAAAGTGGTGAGTATTGAATCGTATTCCTCCTATGCGGAAGACCGTTCGAGGGTATTTTTTTTATAAAATTGACTTCTTAAAGGATTTTAACAAAAATAGAAAAGGCCCTGCAGCCTTTTTTATTGAAAATCATAGTAGAATTGTTAAGATGAAGAAACCATGGTAAAATTAAGAACGTAATCTGGTGCAATAATTTTTTTGTTGGTTCTTACAAATTCTGTGAATAGTTTTAGCTTTTAAAGAGTAATTTTCGTTTTCCAGTTGGCTTTCATATTGATCTCAAACCCTTCTGGTACACGCCCACAAAGGGTCAACATTTTCAATAATTACATGGTGAGATGAAAAAACTGCAACCAACTTCAGACTGCTGTCATTTCTAAGCAACTCCGTCCGATACCTATATATATTGTTTACAAGCGTACAAAAGCATTTTGGTGAGAATCTTTCCAGAAAAAAAAGTTATTTGTGATGGAATTCAAGCGTGATAGTGTGATTTCTTTATATTTGGCTGGAAAACCTCAAGTGGCTATCATTAGAGCACTCTAGCATTTAAATGTGAATAAATATTTTGTGTCTCGTACCATCGCTCTTTGCCATGATACTGGTAGCGTAGAAAACAGCAACATCAGCAGAAATGGTTTGAAAAGTAAAGAAGCTACTTGGCTCTTGAGCTGAACATATCGCAATATTCCATTCGGCAAATATTGATAAAGGAGCTAGGGGTAAAGCCATTGAAATTCCAAAAAGTGCAAGAACTTACACCGCAACAGAAAGAAGATAGTCTCAAAAGAGTTAATGAGTTGCTTCGCTTGAAAAGTATCGAAAGTATTGAACTGCCGAATTTGGATTTCTCCAATGAGAAAACATTCGTTGTCCAGCAGTTTGTAAATAAACAAAATTATCGTGTTTACTTGCCAAAGAGGTCAGCTGAAAATGTGCACCTGCGGTTGACCACCAGAACTCAAGTTGACCACCAGAACAGCCGATGGTCGCTCTCCGCTCGTATTAATCGACCGTGGCTTCAGAATAAATGCCGAATATTACGCGAAAATATTCTAGGCGGTGTATTAAAGCCTTGGGCACGCAAACATTTTGGCTGCAGACCTTGGATATTCCAACAGGACTCAGCACCATCGCACTCAAAACGCGCTTCCAAAGAATGCTTACAAAATGAGATTCCTTGCTTAATTTCCAACGCACAATGGCCACCAAAAACTCCGGATACCAATCCGTTGGACTTTTGTGTCTGGAGCGTTTTAGAAAGCAAGGGCACTAAAAAAAAACCAAAGTGTCGATCACATCAAGCAAGCGCTTCGCTGGGAATTGGCAAGCAGCGTGTGACGGTTTTATTGGTCGTTCGAAGGCCATAATTCGTGCCAAAGATGCCTAATTCGAATAAATCTAAACTTATTCTAAAATTTGATGCTATTTCCCACCTTTTTGCTTTCATACAATGGAGCTAAAAAAAATTAAAATTATGGCATTTGACTTTGTTGCAGTTTTTTTATCTCACCCTTTATGTGCTGCCAATTTTAGGTGTGTCTGGTTACCCTAAAATTTGTAACAATTGTTACAAATTGTTATTGGAAGTCGTCTGTTAACCCAAAAGTTCTGCAAAAAAACGTAAATATTTATATGTAATATGAAAATAAAAGACTATTTCCAACATTTTTATTTATAAAACTTGTAAAATCGGTGGTGCTTACTTTATTTTAATTCTTTTAATGGGGGACAAATTGGTTTGTTTTGACAAATCAGCTAATTAGTTGCAAGCTTCTGCAGAAATGCCGTCTGTTTACTTCTCGTAATTTTCTTGCAAACGAGAATAAAACTACCTTACTCTCTCAGAAAGAAGTTGCTGGACAATTCCTGCTGGAAAAGTAACCAGACACATATTTTATTACCCATTTGTATTTCCTTGCATTTGTCAAATTTCCACTTTACATACAACTCATAATTTTATTTCCTTTATATTTCATTTTTCTTATTATATTTAATAACAAATTTTTATATTTTATTTTATATATTTCCACATTTATAATTTAACTTAATTTAATTAAACACAATTAATTTAATTTAACTAACTTGAAATAATTATGCACCAACTACTCATATATTCCTCATAGTTAGACCAGTTTCAAATAATTGTTATTATCTTTTATTTTTTTTATTACAGTTACAGCGACGTGAAACAAATATAACTGCGGGATTCTTTCGTCGTACCCCCGAAAGAGATGACCTTGCTACGTCCACCTATGTTACGTTCAGTGTACCCCTTGCTGCTGTGGTTGTACGACGAGAAAGCGGACATGAATCCTTGAATGTATTGATATTTCCCTTCGATATGCCGACCTGGGTGCTGCTCATCATAAGTTCCCTCATATTAATAATAATTAATTATTTCCGTCAGAAAAATGTTCGCTCTGCCAGTACTTGGCAAATAATTGAATCCCTGTTGGGATTACCGTCGGTACGAATACCTGAAAGACTTTCACCACGAGTCACTTTCATCATTTGGATGCTGTCAACATTTGTATTGCGCTTAGTTTATCAGTCGATACTATTCTTCGTGTATCGTACCCAATTCTATCGTCAACCACCGACCACTGTAATCGATTTTGCAGTGTCGGGCTATCGAGCCGTGTGTACTCAACCGACAGCACCTCTCCTGACGTATATACCACAGTTTATGGATAACTCTTTGCCTTTGATTGTCCTCAATACCACCGATGAAATGGCACCCCTAAGATATATAGATAAAAATTCGCACGAAAATTTGGTGGCCATCACCGTGAGAGATTTCGTTTTTTATTATGTCCACACCGAATTGACAAGGGGTCAAGTTTTTATATTAATGCGAATGAGTCTCAACGATCAAAAGATAACGTTTTATGTTCCGAAGCATTCGTATTTGGCTGAACGTTTGGAAAACTGCATTTTAGGTTATCATCAGATGGGTTTTATGGAACTTTGGCGCAAATTGACATTTGAATCGTTTCGGGTATCACGTTCCAGCTACTCTACTAAATACGAAGCAGCATTATTAGTAAATTTGAGGCAAATTATGAGTTTTATATGGCTTGTAGTATTTTTGCAATCTGCATCCATAGTAATATTTGTATTAGAGTTATTGTCGAAAAAGTTTGATTTTCTAAAGAAACTTTTTTGAATCAAAGAAATACAAATGTACTAATGTTTAATGTTGTTATGCACTTTCCGACATTAGAGCGCAACCAAATACCGCTTCTACACGAAATTTGATGTATTAATTGATTTTGAATAAAATTTACAGCACTAAAAATGGTATATTAAGATTATTATCATGGTAAAATTAAGAAGGTAAATTCATTTCAAGTATGCATGCCCATCTCTGCATTTTCGGTAATTTATCTTGTCAAATCTCACTGCATAAAAATTAGGTTCCCATCTCTGATTTGTGTAGGATTTTATGAAGTGAGGAACCTCATTTTGTAACCATTCTTGGGTGGCACGTGCTGAGTCCTTTTGGAATGTCCAATGTCCAAATGTTTGCGTGCCCAAGGCTTTAATACACCCTCCAAGGCTTTAATACACCCTATTTTCGCGATAATAATCGGCATTTTTCTGATGCCGCGGTCGATTAATACGAGCGGACAGCAACCATCGGCAATTATGGCGGCCCACACCATGGCCGTCGCTTGAATTCTGGTGGCCAACCGAAAGTGCACTTTTCCAGCTGACCTCTTTGGCAAGTAAACACGATCATTTTGTTTGTTTACAAACTGCTGGATAACTTAAGTTTTCTCATCTCTTTCTGTTGCGGTGTAAGTTCTTACACTTTTTGGAATTACAATGGCTTACGCCCGAGCTCATTTTGCAATATTTGCCGAATGGAATATTGCGATATGTTCAGCTCATGAGCCATTCTTCGGCCACTGCGACGCGGGTTTCGATCAAGTCGCTTCTTTACTTTTCGAACCATTTCTGCTTATGTTGCTGTGTTCTTCCTTTTTTTTCTGGAAAATTCTGACCAAAATGCATTTATACGCTTGTAAACAATATAATGTGTTGTCACTGGAATAATAATTAACAGCTATCGAACGAGTGGCTTAGAAATGACAACAGTCTGAAGTTAGTTGCAGTTTTTTCATCTCACCCTGTATATTCTTGATCAGCTTAAAATTCTATGTCGATTTAGCGATGTCCGTCCGTCCGTCTGTGGAAATCACTCTAACTTCCGAACGAAATGAAGTAGATTGATAAAATTTTACTTAGATGTATATTATATCTGCAGGACTTTTGCTATTGAAAATGGGCCATGTAGGTCCACGTTTTTGTATAGCTTGCATATGATGGTACCTCCCTATTTTCAGTATATTGGTCATTTAAGCGGCATTATGCACCGGAAATGTTTCAAATTTGGTATTAGAAGTTCGTTATGGATACTACAGGCTATGACTGAAAATTGTCTGTGCAGGTTGACGTCTTCGTATAGCCCCCATGTTAGAAAAATTCAGAATGTCAGTAGCTCAATAAAGAGCTAATTATCTGCCAGAGAAGATGATGCGAATTCTAAAAAACAAGTTTAGGATAATTGAAAAACATAGCTATAAGCGTCAAAGTACCGAATATTGGGAGGAACCGTTATATAGGTCTTATACAAAGACTTGAATTTGTATAACCAATTTTCTCTCATAACAGGTAGTACCAATTACTAACTCTATTTCAAATTTCAAACAATTCCAATTAAAAGTGTTCAGGTAAAGTTATATGGGCCTATACGAAAACCTTAACCTATGTAGCCAATTGCGAACTCCAAATACAAAGTTTGAGATAATTCTGTTAAAAAGTCTGTCTAAAATACTTAAAATACGGAATATCGGGAGGTACAGTCATAAGGGGACTATATCCAAACTTGGGTCTATATAGACAATTCTATGCAAGGATGTTGCCTGATTAGGAAGATATATATATATATATATATATATATATATATATATATATATATATATATATATATATATATATATATATATATATATATATATATATATATATATATATATATATATATATATATATATATATATATATATATATATATACTCTGTGGGGTCTACAATTTATGTTTCTATATGTTACAAATAATCCTTTAGGATGTTGCCTGATTAGGAATATATATATATATATATATATATATATATATATACTCTGTGGGGTCTACAATTTATGTTTCTATATGTTACAAATAATCCTTTAGAGATATATAGTACATGATTTTGAAAATAAGTGTTGACCTTTCATTCAGTTATCGCGGTTTTCAATTATTTATTCAAAATAAATGCAACAAGTTGTTTGATTTTTTATTGTTTTGATACTAATTTTGGCATTACAAGCCAAGCAGGTAGACCTCTATACTTGCAATTTTTTCAAAGTTGACCTACCTTCTCTTCATTGTACCATGAATTCTAATATTTTTATGTAATTCCCCTAAGAAAATCGGTAATGAATTCAAAGACAGACGTGAAAACTGTCTAATCATATGCCCAGAAATGACATTGACGCATGCCGTACACACATAACAATTCCAGCGGATTTCAACTGTCAAAGCCATTGCGTAAATGTCAAATTAAATCCACCGAATTTGAGAGTAGATTTAGTTTGATGTGTACGCAATGGAACTTAAATCTCTTTGATTTTGCAAGTGTAAATGTGCTTTATATAAATAACTAATCTGCTAACTAGTTATATAAATAACTACCATGTAACAAATCATGGTAGAAGAATAGACGTATGTAGGTAGACGCATCGACACAGCTGCTGGGACACTAATTGCTGTCAACACTGGGCTGCTGTCAAACTAATTTTGGAATAGAAAATTTTGAATGAAAATTTTGAAATCGAAAATTCTTGAAAGACGCGAATTATAATAACCTCCGAATGACGTCGTATAAGAAAACGTGTAAAACGTGAACATTTAAAGTTTGTTGACATATCAATGTTCCCAAGCTCTGATACATCTACCTGTATTCTTCCACCATGTAACAAACTTCTTTGATTTAGTACCTTTCCTTTTTATTGTACCATGAGTCTAGGCAAGTTTATTTGCCGACATTTTTCACCTCTTTTCATCTCCCCCCATGTATTTAAACAAAGAAATTTGTTTTCAGAAATTGTCATTTTTTATCATTGCCTATTCTGTCATTTATGTCTAAAAATAAAAACACGAAGGAAATTGACACAAATTGGCAAAACCAGACAATTTTTTCAATTAATTCACCTCATTACACTCTCCTACAAACAGAGACTTGTTGCAAGTAAACTTGCAATACATTTGAAGAGTAGTCCTTTTGCCACCCAAGTCATGTTCCGCTCACTACTTTTATTCACACGAAAACAAACAAATAAATCACTAGTTTACGATACCCTAAAATCAGTTACCATCTTGATTAGTATATGGACATAAGCCATCCTTATGGGCACCTCATATTTACACACAACAACAAAAAATGGTCAATAAGGACAAAAAACATACAAACAAGCTTATCAATCTCTGCAGGTTTTTAAGTTATTTCCTTTACTAATTAGCAAACAAACGGCATTTATAAAAATACCAAAAACCTATAAATTATGGGAGGATACGAAAAACATTAACACTTTGTCGTGGAATATCGGATCGAGTGCTACAAACAACAAAGCTTACCATGAATTATACCTTGTTCACAAAGGATCCTGAGCATTTGGTAAAAGTACCACAATCAGAGGAAATTGACAACTTTGTGGCAATGGCTTTGCGGTTTTTAATTCAAAATGTCTTGCTCAAATTATGCGATTCCGTTTTTCTGACAATATCAACAACATCCCCAGCAACGGAACTCTGGTTTGAAGATGTACTTGCGAAATTGTTTGCCTCCTGGGGTTATATGGCCATTACAATTGTTCGGCATAACAGCAAGCGTCAAGATGTAGTGGTACCTGGAAGGCGTTTTTGTAACATGATAATGGTCGATTCATTTGAGAATTTACAGCGTACCAATATATCCCAGCACAACAGCCAGTATGATACGCAAGAGTACTACATAATATTTTTACAAATACGTGACGCCCAAATGCCAGAGGAAAGAGCGAAAATTCTACAATATTGCCTGGATAATTATTGGTTACATTGCAATGTTATGATACAAAACGCAAAGGGCGAAGTTCTGATCTACACCTATTTTCCATTTCAAGAGGATGCTTGTTTCAGTAGCGATCCAGTGCTGATAAATCAGTTTGATGGTGTACGTTTTGTAAATGACGTTATGTTTCCGATCAAAGTTCAAAATCTGTATGGCTGTCCAATACGTATGAATCTTTGGGAAATACCACCGTTTATCTTATTCCCCGATAATACAACGGAAATTTATACCGGCCTAGAGATGATAATTTTAAAAACTTTGAGTAAACATTTGAATTTTACCATCGATGAGGATAGTCTTGCTGAGAGAAGGGATTTGGGTGACGATCGAATGGAACCATTTAAAGTGGTGAGTATTGAATCGTATTCCTCCTATGGGGAAGACCGTTCGAGGGTATTTTTTTTTATAAAATTGACTTCTTAAAGGGTTTGAACAAAAATAGAAAAGGCCCTGCACCCTTTTCTTATTGAAAATCATAGTAGAATTGCTAAGATGAAGAAACCATGGTAAAATTAAGAACGTAATCTGGTGCAATAATTTTTTTGTTGGTTCTTACAAATTCTGTGAATAGTTTTAGCTTTTAAACAGTAATTTTCGTTTTCCAGTTGGCTTTCATATTGATCTCAAACCCTTCTGGTACACGCCCACAAAGGGTCAATATTTTCAATAATTACATGGTGAGATGAAAAAACTGCAACCAACTTCAGACTGCTGTCATTTCTAAGCAACTCCGTCCGATACCTATATATATTGTTTACAAGCGTACAAAAGCATTTTGGTGAGAATCTTTCCAGAAAAAAAAGTTATTTGTGATGGAATTCAAGCGTGATAGTGTGATTTCTTTATATTTGGCTGGAAAACCTCAAGTGGCTATCGTTAGAGCACTCTAGCATTTAAATGTGAATAAATATTTTGTGTCTCGTACCATCGCTCTTTGCCATGATACTGGTAGCGTAGAAAACAGCAACATCAGCAGAAATGGTTCGAAAAGTAAAGAAGCTATTTGATCGAAACCCGCGTCGCAGTGGCCTAAAAATGGCTCCTGGGCTGAACATATCGCAATATTTCATTCGGCAATTATTGAAAAATGAGCTCGGGGTAAAGCCATTGAAATTCCAAAAAATGCAAGAACTTACATCGCCACAGAAAGAAGATAGTCTCAAAAGAGCTAAAGAGTTACTTCGATTGGCCGAAAGTTGTGAACTTCCGAATTTGGTTTTCTACGATGAGAAAACATTCGTTGTCCAGCAGTTTGTAAACAAACAAAATGATCGTTTTTACTTGCCAAAGAGATCAGCTGAAAATGTGCACCTGCGGTTGGCCACCAGAACTCAATCGACGGCCATGGTGATGGTATGGACCGCCATAACAGCCGATGGTTGCTAAAAACTCATTTGCTTTCTTTCCGCATCCGGTTTTCCTCACTTTCATGAGAGTAAAGATTCGAACAAACAATTAATGAGAAAGAAGCTAGCCGCTCATTTCAAGTACAGTTTTGAATTGGAATTTATAAAAAAATTATTTTCACTAAAGTACGACTTCCAGAAATCTTCACTTACAACAAAGCTTTCTTCAAGTCTTCTTTGCAAGATATGGTATGCTGGCGAATTTTTCCATCGAGATAGCTCCATCAATTCTCTATTGGATTTATGTCTAGACTCTGAGCTAGTGATATCTTTATTACAGCCATGGTCACACTTTATAAGCCTTGTGTTTCGGATCATTGTCTTGATAAAAATAATAATCTTCGCCAAGGCCGAGCTTTTCCTTACAGAATACCAAATTTTCTTTCAAAATGTTAAGGTACATAGTCCATAATATGAAAGTGAACCCCACATCATTTCTGACCCACCACCGTACTTCACTATAGGCTTCATATTTTTGGAAAGGAGCGCTTCATTTGCCTTTCTTCATACATAAGGTCTGCCATCTGAACCAAAAAGGTGGAATTTGCTCTCGTCCGTGTGAACAGCATATTCTTCCAAAATGGAAAATCTTTTGATATGTGCTCCTGGGCAAATAGTAATGTTACTTCTTGGTTTCGCTTGCTGATTAGAGGTTTATGTCCAGTTCTTCTTCCATTGTAATTCGACTTATGCAGTATATTTCTTATTGTTTGAGGGCAACATACTTTTCTCAAATCCTTTTCAGCAATTTTGACGAGCTTCGGTGCAATTAAAAAAATGGAAAAACTTCTCCTTACTCAAGGTAAATATTCTCTTATTTGGCTGTTTGACTTATTTTCTATACATCCATAAGTTTTGAACCGTTTTGTGTAATGATGTACTGAACTGTAGATCGGCTTCTATTAAGATTTCACAACAGTTGGAAATTTTTGATAAATTAACTTTTAGGGACTTCTCCAAATACATTTTCCATCAATCGAGTGAAGTTGGACGCAGTTCGTAACAGGGTTGCCGTATAAATGTAAACTGTACGAGTTTAGCTTTTGCATAGAAAGTTTTTGAGTTTTAGAATGAATGCCATTATTTTGTTAAATAATCAATAATAGTAAACTTTTGTTCTACGGAGATTCTAGTACCCTATACACTAATAAAAAATATAGGTTTGTTCTGGTAGTGAATTTGGCAACAATCATATATTTCATGAAAGAAAATTGTTTGCTAAGTGTACGAGTTTCTCTTGGAGCTACTGTATGTGCTGTCAATTCTATTACCCATGTGTATTTCCGTGTGTTTTTCAAAAAGTCCACTTTACATACAGCTCGTAATTTTATTTACTGTGATAATAATATTATTTTATTATATTTCATAACAACCTTGGAGTAATTATGTACTTAGTGACATCCATTCCATTTTCATATAATTGTTATTATCTTTTATTTTTTTTTTATTACAGTTACAGCGACGTGAAACAAATATAACTGCGGGATTCTTTCGTCGTACCCCCGAAAGAGATGACCTTGCTACGTCCACCTATGTTACGTTCAGTGTACCCCTTGCTGCTGTGGTTGTACGACGAGAAAGCGGACATGAATCCTTGAATGTATTGATATTTCCCTTCGATATGCCGACCTGGGTGCTGCTCATCATAAGTTCCCTCATATTAATAATAATTAATTATTTCCGTCAGAAAAATGTTCGCTCTGCCAGTACTTGGCAAATAATTGAATCCCTGTTGGGATTACCGTCGGTACGAATACCTGAAAGACTTTCACCACGAGTCACTTTCATCATTTGGATGCTGTCAACATTCGTACTGCGACTAGTCTATCAGTCGATACTATTCTTCTTGTATCGTACCCAATTCTATCGTCAACCACCGACCACTGTAATCGATTTTGCAGTGTCGGGCTATCGAGCCGTGTGTACTCAACCGACAGCACCTCTCCTGACGTATATACCACAGTTTATGGATAACTCTTTGCCTTTGATTGTCCTCAATACCACCGATGAAATGGCACCCCTAAGATATATAGATAAAAATTCGCACGAAAATTTGGTGGCCATCACCGTGAGAGATTTCGTTTTTTATTATGTCCACACAGAATTGTCAAGGAGTAAAGTTTTTATATTAATGCAAATGAGTCTCAACGATCAAAAGATAACGTTTTATGTTCCGAAGCATTCGTATTTGGCCGAACGTTTGGAAAACTGCATTTTAGGTTATCATCAGATGGGTTTTATGGAACTTTGGCGCAAATTGACATATGAATCGTTTCGGATTTCACAATCTAGCTACTCTACTAAATACGAAGCAGCATTATTAGTAAATTTGAGGCAAATTATGAGTTTTATATACCTTGTAGTATTTTTGCAATCTGCATCCATAGTAATATTTGTATTAGAGTTATTGTCGAAAAAGTTTGATTTTCTAAAGAAACTTTTTTGAATCGAATAAATACATCTACATTAACGTTTAATGTTGTTATGCACTTTCCGACATTAGAGCGCAACCAAATACCGCTTCAACACGAAATTTGATGTATTAATTAATGAATGTATTTCAATTGATTTTAAATAAAATTTACAGCACTAAAAATGGTATATTAAGATTATTATCATGGTAAAATTAAGAAGGTAAATTCATTTCAAGTATGCATGCCCATCTCTGCATTTTCGGTAATTTATCTTGTCAAATTTCACTGCATAAAAATTAGGTTCCCATCTCTGATTTGTGTAGGATTTTGTGAAGTGAGGAACCTCATTTTGTAACCATTCTTGGGTGGCGCGTGCTGAGTGCGATGGTGCTGAGTCCTGTTGGAATGTCCAAGGTCTGCGGCCAAAATGTTTGCGTGCCCAAGGCTTTAATAGACCCTCCAGAATATTTTCGCGATAATAATCGGCATTTTTTCTGATGCCGCGGTCGATTAATACGAGCGGAGAGCGACCATCGGCAGTTACCACCATCACCATGGCCGTCGCTTGACTTCTGGTGGCCAACCGAAGGTGTACATTTTCAGCTGATCTCTTTGGCAAGTAAACACGATAATTTTGTTTGTTTACAAACTGCTGGATAACGAACGTTTTCTCATCGGAGAAAACCAAACTCGGCAGTTCACCACTTTCGGCCAAGCGAAGCAACTCTTTAGCTCTTTTGAGTCTATTTTCTTTCTGTTGCGGTGTAAGTTCTTACACTTTTTGGAATTACAATGGCTTTAGCCCGAGCTCATTTTGCAACATTTGCCGAATGGAATATTGCGATATGTTCAGCTCATGAGCCATTTTTCGGCCACTGCGATGCGGGTTTCGATCAAGTCGCTTCTTTACTTTTCGAACCATTTCTGCTGATGTTCCTTTTTTTCTAGAAAATTCTGACCAAAAAAATCTGACCATTTAAACGCTTGTAAACAATATAATGAACTGTCACTGGAAAAATCATTAACAGCTGTCGAACGAGTGGCTTAGATATGACAACAGTCTGAAGTTAGTTGCAGTTTTTTCATCTCACCCTGTATATTGTTGATCAGCTTAAAATTCTATGTCGATTTAGCGATGTCCGTCCATCTGTGGAAATCACTCTAACTTCCGAACGAAATGAAGTAGATTGATAAAATTTTACTTAGATGTATATTATATCTGCAGGACTTTTGCTATTGAAAATGGGCCATGTAGGTCCACGTTTTTGTATAGCTTCCATATGATGGTACCTCCCTATTTTCAGTATATTGGTCATTTAAGCGGCATTATTCACCGGAAATGTTTCAAATTTGGTATTTGAAGTTCGTTATGGATACTACAGGCTATAGCTGCAAATTGTCTGTGCAGGTTCACATTTTCGTATAGCTTCCATATGACGGCACCTCTCGATATTCGATATTTTCATGAATTTTGCGACATTATTCACCGGAATCGTAACAAATTTCGTATTTAAAGTTCGTAATGGATACTCAAGCTATGACAAAATGTTTCACATTCACGTTTCGGTTCGTAACGGGTACTACAGCATATGACAAAAAATTTCGTAAGCAGGTCCACGTCTTCGTATGGCCCCAATATAACTGTTTTCAATTAAGTGGTAGTTTTCGGATTTTTATTTAAAAATTTTCATGTTCCTTCCAAATGGTGGAGAGTATTAAAAGTTCGGCCCGGACGAACTTAGCTATTTTTTTATTTGTTCATTATTACAAATTTTATTCAAATATGAACGATCCGAAAAGCAAGAGGTCAGACCATCTTCTCTTTATCTTTTAACGAAAAGTTTACAGTTTAAACCAGTAAAGAAAGTCATAAAGTCGGTCGGGGCCGACTTTATGATACCACTTTGCTAATTTAGTAGAGCTCCACATAACAAAAATGCCGAAGCATTTGTACCTTTTAAATTCGGATATATATATATATATATATGTATATATATATATATATATATATATATATATATATATATATATATATATATATATATATATAAACTGTAAACTTTTCGTTAAAAGATAAAGAGAAGATGGTCTGACCTCTTGCTTTTCGGATCGTTCATATTTGAATAAAATTTGTAATAATGAACAAATAACAAAATAGCTAAGTTCGTCCGTGCCGAACTTTTAATACTCTCCACCATTTGGAAGGAACATGAAAATTTTTAAATAAAAATCCGAAAACTACTCTTAATTGAAAACAGTTATATTGGGGCCATACGAAGACGTGGACCTGCTTACGAAATTTTTTGTCATATGCTGTAGTACCCGTTACGAACCGAAACGTGAATGTGAAATATTTTGTCATAGCTTGAGTATCCATTACGAACTTTAAATACGAAATTTGTTACGATTCCGGTGAATAATGTCGCAAAATTCATGAAAATATCGAATATCGAGAGGTGCCGTCATATGGAAGCTATACGAAAATGTGAACCTGCACAGACAATTTGCAGCTATAGCCTGTAGTATCCATAACGAACTTCAAATACCAAATTTGAAACATTTCCGGTGAATAATGCCGCTTAAATGACCAATATACTGAAAATAGGGAGGTACCATCATATGGAAGCTATACAAAAACGTGGACCTACATGGCCCATTTTCAATAGCAAAAGTCCTGCAGATATAATATACATCTAAGTAAAATTTTATCAATCTACTTCATTTCGTTCGGAAGTTAGAGTGATTTCCACAGATGGACGGACATCGCTAAATCGACATAGAATTTTAAGCTGATCAAGAATATACAGGGTGAGATGAAAAAAACTGCAACTAACTTCAGACTGTTGTCATTTCTAAGCCACTCGTTCGATAGCTGTTAATTATTATTCCAGTGACAACACATTATATTGTTTACAAGCGTATAAATGCATTTTGGTCAGAATTTTCCAGAAAAAAAAGGAAGAACACAGCAACATAAGCAGAAATGGTTCGAAAAGTAAAGAAGCGACTTGATCGAAACCCGCGTCGCAGTGGCCGAAGAATGGCTCATGAGCTGAACATATCGCAATATTCCATTCGGCAAAAATTGCAAAATGAGCTCGGGCGTAAGCCATTGTAATTCCAAAAAGTGTAAGAACTTACACCGCAACAGAAAGAGATGAGGAAACTTAAGTTATCCAGCAGTTTGTAAACAAACAAAATGATCGTGTTTACTTGCCAAAGAGGTCAGCTGGAAATGTGCACTTTCGGTTGGCCACCAGAATTCAAGCGACGGCCATGGTGTGGGCCGCCATAACTGCCGATGGTTGCTGTCCGCTCGTATTAATCGACCGCGGCATCAGAAAAATGCCGATTATTATCGCGAAAATAGGGTGTATTAAAGCCTTGGAGGGTGTATTAAAGCCTTGGGCACGCAAACATTTGGACATTGGACATTCCAAAAGGACTCAGCACGTGCCACCCAAGAATGGTTACAAAATGAGGTTCCTCACTTCATAAAATCCTACACAAATCAGAGATGGGAACCTAATTTTTATGCAGTGAGATTTGACAAGTTAAATTACCGAAAATGCAGAGATGGGCATGCTTACTTGAAATGAATTTACCTTCTTAATTTTACCATGATAATAATCTTAATATACCATTTTTAGTGCTGTAAATTTTATTCAAAATCAATTGAAATACATTCATTAATTAATACATCAAATTTCGTGTTGAAGCGGTATTTGGTTGCGCTCTAATGTCGGAAAGTGCATAACAACATTAAACATTAGTACATTTGTATTTCTTTGATTCAAAAAAGTTTCTTTAGAAAATCAAACTTTTTCGACAATAACTCTAATACAAATATTACTATGGATGCAGATTGCAAAAATACTACAAGGTATATAAAACTCATAATTTGCCTCAAATTTACTAATAATGCTGCTTCGTATTTAGTAGAGTAGCTGGAACGTCTTACCCGAAACGATTCAAATGTCAATTTGTGCCAAAGTTCCATAAAACCCATCTGATGATAACCTAAAATGCAGTTTTCCAAACGTTCGACCAAATACGAATGCTTCGGAACATAAAACGTTATCTTTTGATCGTTGAGACTCATTCGCATTAATATAAAAACCCGACCCCTTGACGATTCTGTGTGGACATAATAAAAAACGAAATCTTTCACGGTGATGGCCACCAAATTTTCGTGCGAATTTTTATCTATATATCTTAGGGGTGCCATTTCATCGGTGGTATTGAGGACAATCAAAGGCAAAGAGTTATCCATAAACTGTGGTATATACGTCAGGAGAGGTGCTGTCGGTTGAGTACACACGGCTCGATAGCCCGACACTGCAAAATCGATTACAGTACTCGGTGGTTGGCGATAGAATTGGGTACGATACACGAAGAATAGTATCGACTGATAAACTAAGCGCAATACAAATGTTGACAGCATCCAAATGATGAAAGTGACTCGTGGTGAAAGTCTTTCAGGTATTCGTACCGACGGTAATCCCAACAGGGATTCAATTATTTGCCAAGTACTGGCAGAGCGAACATTTTTCTGACGGAAATAATTAATTATTATTAATATGAGGGAACTGTTGCGGTGTAAGTTCTTGCACTTTTTGGAATTTCAATGGCTTTACCCCTAGCTCATTTATCAATATTTGCCGAATGGAATATTGCGATATGTTCAGCTCAAGAGCCAAGTAGCTTCTTTACTTTTCAAACCATTTCTGCTGATGTTGCTGTTTTCTACGCTACCAGTATCATGGCAAAGAGCGATGGTACGAGACACAAAATATTTATTCACATTTAAATGCTAGAGTGCTCTAACGATAGCCACTTGAGGTTTTCCAGTCAAATATAAAGAAATCACACTATCACGCTTGAATTCCATCACAAATAACTTTTTTTTCTGGAAAGATTCTCACCAAAATGCTTTTGTACGCTTGTAAACAATATATATAGGTATCGGACGGAGTTGCTTAGAAATGACAGCAGTCTGAAGTTGGTTGCAGTTTTTTCATCTCACCATGTAATTATTGAAAATATTGACCCTTTGTGGGCGTGTACCAGAAGGGTTTGAGATCAATATGAAAGCCAACTGGAAAACGAAAATTACTGTTTAAAAGCTAAAACTATTCACAGAATTTGTAAGAACCAACAAAAAAATTATTGCACCAGATTACGTTCTTAATTTTACCATGGTTTCTTCATCTTAGCAATTCTACTATGATTTTCAATAAGAAAAGGGTGCAGGGCCTTTTCTATTTTTGTTCAAACCCTTTAAGAAGTCAATTTTATAAAAAAAAATACCCTCGAACGGTCTTCCCCATAGGAGGAATACGATTCAATACTCACCACTTTAAATGGTTCCATTCGATCGTCACCCAAATCCCTTCTCTCAGCAAGACTATCCTCATCGATGGTAAAATTCAAATGTTTACTCAAAGTTTTTAAAATTATCATCTCTAGGCCGGTATAAATTTCCGTTGTATTATCGGGGAATAAGATAAACGGTGGTATTTCCCAAAGATTCATACGTATTGGACAGCCATACAGATTTTGAACTTTGATCGGAAACATAACGTCATTTACAAAACGTACACCATCAAACTGATTTATCAGCACTGGATCGCTACTGAAACAAGCATCCTCTTGAAATGGAAAATAGGTGTAGATCAGAACTTCGCCCTTTGCGTTTTGTATCATAACATTGCAATGTAACCAATAATTATCCAGGCAATATTGTAGAATTTTCGCTCTTTCCTCTGGCATTTGGGCGTCACGTATTTGTAAAAATATTATGTAGTACTCTTGCGTATCATACTGGCTGTTGTGCTGGGATATATTGGTACGCTGTAAATTCTCAAATGAATCGACCATTATCATGTTACAAAAACGCCTTCCAGGTACCACTACATCTTGACGCTTGCTGTTATGCCGAACAATTGTAATGGCCATATAACCCCAGGAGGCAAACAATTTCGCAAGTACATCTTCAAACCAGAGTTCCGTTGCTGGGGATGTTGTTGATATTGTCAGAAAAACGGAATCGCATAATTTGAGCAAGACATTTTGAATTAAAAACCGCAAAGCCATTGCCACAAAGTTGTCAATTTCCTCTGATTGTGGTACTTTTACCAAATGCTCAGGATCCTTTGTGAACAAGGTATAATTCATGGTAAGCTTTGTTGTTTGTAGCACTCGATCCGATATTCCACGACAAAGTGTTAATGTTTTTCGTATCCTCCCATAATTTATAGGTTTTTGGTATTTTTATAAATGCCGTTTGTTTGCTAATTAGTAAAGGAAATAAGAAAATAAGATTGATAAGCTTGTTTGTATGTTTTTTGTCCTTATTGACCATTGTTTGTTGTTGTGTGTCAATATGAGGTGCCCATAAGGATGGCTTATGTCCATATACTAATCAAGATGGTAACTGATTTTAGGGTATCGTAAACTAGTGATTTATTTGTTTGTTTTCGTGTGAATAAAAGTATTGAGCGGAACATGACTTGGGTGGCAAAAGGACTACTCTTCAAATGTATTGCAAGTTTACTTGCAACAAGTCTCTGTTTGTAGGGGAGTGAAATGAGGGGAATGAATTGAGAAAATTGTCTGGTTTTGGCAATTTGTGTCAATTCCGTTCGTGTTGTTATTTTTAGACACAAATAAAAATAACAATGACAGAATAGGCAATGATTAAAAATGACAATTTCTGAAAACAAATTTCTTTGTATAAATACATTGGGGGAGATGAAAAGAGGAGAAAAATTTCGGCAAATAAACTTGCCTAGACTCATGGTACAATAAAAAGGAAACGCAGAGCTAACAGCTGATTGCAATTTTTGTTTATGTGTGCCCGACTTCTGTCAATTTTTTTGTATGTATTTTTTGTTTTGAAAAAATGAAAATAAAATATATTCTAAACCAATGATTGGAATACACGTATATTGTGGCTCGAACTCGAGATTGAGTAGTTTGGATCATATTTTTGAGTGAAAATAAAGGTATTTCAAGGTAACTCATGAGGAATGAGGAAAAAGATGAAAAAAAAAAAAATGAAAACTGGTTGCATATAATTTTGAATGAGTCTGAGGAAGGAAGCGGGCATAGCCACAGCGCTGTATTTCTGTAGTTGTTCTACCTCCTTGTTGTACCATGCCTAGACTAAATCCATGGTAGAAGAATATAGGTAGATGTATCAACGCTTGGGAACATTGATATGTCATAATTTTTTAAGTGCTTTGTCAAAAATAAATCGATTTTTATATGTTTTCTTATACGACGCAAATCGGAGGTTGTAATGATATGTATTTTTCAATAATTTTTACAAATTTCATAATTTTTCATTCACGATTTTCAATATCAACATCGGTTTGAAAGTTCATTGTCCCCGCAGCTGTGACGATGCGACTACCTGTATTCTTCTATCATGACAAAATCATGGTATAACATGGCAGAAGAATACAGGTAGATGCATCAACGCTTGGGAGCATTGATATGTCAACAAATTTTAAATGTTTTTTTAAATATAAGTAGATTTTTATATGTTTTCTTATACGACGCCATTCGTAGGTTATTATAATTCGTGTTTTTCAACAATGTTTATAAATTTAAATATTTTTTCATTCAACATTTTCAATTCCAAAATTGGTTTGACAGTTCATTGTCTCAGCAGCTGTGTCGATGCGTCTACCTATATTCTTCTACCATGTGGTATAATAAGGATGTAGAACAGCTTCGTAAAACTACAGAAATACAGCCCTGAGACTATGCCTGCTTCCTGTCAGAATAATTCAAAATTATATGCAACAAGTTGTTGTTATTTATTTCATATCTTTTGTTAATTTTTAAAATATGATGAATGATATACCTGGATGTTCTCTCAAAATTATGATACTAAATGTTAAATATTTCAATTCCATGGAAAATCTGGTTAATATCATTAATGCACGTCCCGCAATTCAAATTTCTTCCAATCATTGATTTTGAAAATATATATATATTTTTTTTTCAAAACAATATATACATACACAAAATTGACAGAAGTCGGCCACAGCTGGTAGCTCTACCTTACTATTTTATTGTACGTTTATATATATGAGGGTTAACCCACTGAGTTTGGATTTAAATTGTCATATCGATTATTTTTACTTCAAATAAATCTTCTCAAAGTAGGTTAACCCTACAAAAAGTTCTAACGTAAACATGGCATAAATCAAAGAAATTTGTTACATGGTAGAAGAATACAGGTAGATGCATCAGCGCTTGGGAACATTGATATGTCAAAAAATTTTAAATGTTCACGTTTTACACGTTTTTTATACGACGTCATCCGGAGGTTATAATAATTCGCGTCTTTCAACAATTTTTACAAATTTAAATAAATTTTCATTCAATATTTTAAATTCCAAAATTAATTTAGTAGAGCTCCACATAACAAATATGCCGAAGCATTTGTATCTTTTAAATTCGGACTTGTATTGCCCATTTGGTGCACAATTAATTTAAAATCGGATAAATAAATAAATATATATATATATATATATATATATATATATATATATATATATATATATATATATATATATATATATATATATATATATATATATATATATATATATATATATATATATATATATATATATATATATATATATATATATGGGTAACAAATACAACAAATTGGATGAACAATATATGTGGGAGCTATAGCCATATCTGAACCGATCTTCACCAAATTTGGCATACTACCTTCTAGACTCAATTCGGTCATATATGCCATCACATCACATTTGGGCAAATATTAGACGTTTGGTGCACCATAAAATGTAAATCGGACGAAGTTATATATGAGAGCTGTATCCAAATCTGAACCGATCTCGATAAAATTTAGCAAAGGTATTTCTGAGCTGCATTTGATATATTTCGCCAAATATTGTTGTTACAGAGTGCATATTACGGTTGCGGAGGACAAAAATAACAAAACGGACGAACAATATATAGCTATATCTGAACCGATTACGATCAAATTTGCCATACTTATGTTCAGGCCTAATTTGGTTGTATGTGCAAAATACTATTCGGGTTGATATTATACGTTTGGTGCACAATAAAATGCAAATCGGACGAAGATATATATGGAAGCTATATCTAAATTTTGACCGGTTATCTCCAATTTCAAAAGGGTTCGTCCTTGGGCCAAACAAATGATTTGTGCAAAACTTCATCTTCAAAACTTCAATCGGAAAATAAATGCGACCTGCATTTTGTTTACAAGAATACATGGACATACGGACGGACAGACGGACTGACATGCATAAATCAACTCAGAAATTGATTCTATGCAGATCATCAAAAGGAACTATGGGCATATCTCGTTTCCTTTTGCCTGTTACAAACAAATGCACAAAGACATAATAACTTGACCACCTTGTTGTGTAGGGTATAATGATTACTCATTTTGTTGCTATATCTTTGAATGAGAATCCGATAATGTGAACGTTATCCCTTACTTTTCTTAAAGTAAAATTTAACAAAACTGAACTATAAAGAAAAGATATAAAAACGGTCCATAGGCTTCTACAGAGAAATAACATCAGTCCTTATTGACTTATACAAAACTTCCACTTTATTATTTGTCTAATGAACTTTTTCGAAAAGTTTTTGCAAACATTTCAATTTTCTTGAACATAATTCCAATAGAAATATTACAAATGATACAAAATACAGAATAAGGCTCAACTCCAATACACTGAAAACATGAATAAATGACATGTCGAACATGGTTCGTTGAGGCTCATCGTTTTTGGGATAATCTTCGGCGCCGTTGTATAGTGTCCATGTCTCATGCAAGCCGGCGCCAAATATACGCAAAATATTATCATTTATGGTTTCGATGAGAAAAGAATGTTTGGGCAAATAAATTGTTGTCGGAATATTGTTGACGGTGAAAGGTAAAATTTGCAGAATATTTTTAGGTTTCATATTGTTAATATAAAACTTGGCTATTTCTTTGTCTACGATTGCAGCATAATTTCTTTCGGACAATCTATCCAAATGGACAAGTTGTTGCATTTCATCCGAAGAATCAAAGATAATTTTCCGTAACATATTATTCGCAACTTGAGGGATATTCTCCACAAACTGTAGTGTTTTGCGTGTACAGATTAAGGTAAAGCCATGCTCTACCAAGGCGTCCAGTGATTTCGGCGGATTTTGAAATATATCGAAATTATACAAATAGAAAATCATTGATTGGTAGATGCTACGCAGTAAAAATGAACACCATAACCAAATAAGAAAGGACAAAGAATGCCATTTGAGACGCGGTCGGTAAAGAGTACTTAGGCCCAAAAATATTTCAATAAATTGTAGATTTGTCATAGAATTCGAATGACGTCTCATTTGATTAATGGTTATCATTGCTAGTAACGTACATAGCAGGCAAATCCATGCGTCAGTATCGAAAGGAAACACAAGAGTTCTTATCGATGTCAGCGGATAGGGACTTCTAATGATTACAGCTACGAGGGTGGTATGATAGGTTGTTACCGTGCTTGACCCAGAGCGATCAAGTATCACAGATCGTCTAGTATACGATGTGCTCATATTTACTTTCCGCTCGTCTATCTGAAAGAAAAAGTGCAAAGTGGGATTATTCATTCTGATTTTCTGAAAAGTTCAATGTAAGGCCCCTAACTTAAAGGTGTCGTTTTGTCTTAGATTTTGAAAATTTTTGCCAGAAATATTTTCATGAAGAAAAAATTGTAATAAAGTCATGCAATCATATGTTTAAATTTTTATACCCTCCACCATACAGGGTGAGAAGAAAAAACTGCAATCAACTTCAGACTGCTGTCATTTATAAGCTACTCGTCCGACAGCTATTAAAATTATTCCATTGACAGCTCATTATATTGGTTACAAGCGTACGAAAGTATTTTGGTGAGAATTTTCCAGAAAAAAAGTTATTCGTGAGGGAATTTAAGCGTGATGGTGTGATTTCTTTATATTTGGCTGGAGAACCGCAAGTGGCTATCGAAGAAGTACTCCAGAATTTAAATGTGAATAAATCTTTTGTGTCTCGTACCATCGCTCGTTACCGTGATACTGGTATCGTAGCCCGACGTCAAGGAAGTGGACGGAAGAAATCAGCAACATCAGCAGAAATGGTTCCAAAAGCAAAGAAGCGACTTGATCGAAACCCGCGGCGCAGTGGCCGAAAAATGGCTCTTGAGCTGAACATATCACAATATTCCATTTGGCAAATATTGAAAAATGAGCTCGGGGTAAAACCATTGAAAATTCCCAAAAGTGTAACAACTTACACCGCAACAGAAAGAAAATAGACTCAAAAAAGCTAAAGAGTTGCTTCGCTTGGCCGAAAGTGGTGAACTGCCGAATTTGGTTTTCTCCGATGAGAAAACATTCGTCTCCCATCAGTCTGTAAGCAAACAAAACGTGCACCTTCGATTGGCCACCAGAACTCAAACGCCGGCCATGCTGGTGGTGTGGGCCGCCCTAACAGCCGATGGTCGCTCTCCGCTCGTATTAACCGACCGTGGCATCTGAATAAATGCCAAATATTATCGCGGAAATATTCTATTCATTTTGGCCGCAGACCTTGGACATTCCAACAGTACTCAGCAACATCCCACTTAGCACGCGCCACCCAAAAATGTTTACAAAATGAGGCTCCTCGCTTCATTTCCAGCGCACAATGACCACCAAAATCTCCGGATACCAATCCGTTGGACTATTGTGTCTGGAGTATTTTGGAAAGCAAGGTCTGCACTAAAAATACCAAAGTGTCGATCACCTCTCTTCGGGTATTGGCCAAAATACCGCAGAGAAACATTCGATTAGCGTGTGACGGTTTCATTGGCCGTTTGAAGGACATAATTCGTGCCAAAGGTGACCAATTCGAACAAATCTAAACTTTTTCTAAAATTTGATGCTATATCCGACATTTTTTGCTTTTATTCAATAAATATTTAAAAAAAATGTAAAAATCATGGCGTTTGACTTTGTGGCAGTTTTTTTTATTTCACCCTTAATATTCTTGATCAGCGTAAAATTTTAAGACGATTTAGCCCTGTTGTACTCACGCTAGAGTCAAGCCAAATAAAGATAGGAAGCTAACATTTTGCACCGATCTGTATTTTGTCTGCATACAGGTCAAGTTCAAAGATGGACTATAACGGTCCACGATATCGTATAGCCCCCCTATATAACTGTACCTCCCGATCTTTGGTATTTTGATGATTTTAGTCACATTTTTCGATGGCATTGTATGAAATTTTGCGCAAAAAGTTCTCTGTGAGTACTTTACCCCCTGGAAGATAATTGTCTATATAGGTCCACGATACCGTATAGCCCCCATACTATGGTGCCCCGCGATATTGGGTATTTTGATAATTTTAGCCACATTTTTTAATGGAATTGACATAAAAACAACATAAGAAGTTCCTTCTGAGTACCTAACCCCAGAAGGAGTATTGTCTATATAGGTCCACGATATCGTATAGCCTTCATATAACTGTACCTCCCGATCTTCGGTATTTTTATGATTTTAGTCTCATTTTTCAATGACATTGTCCGAAATTCTGCACAAAGAGTTCTCTGTGAGCACTTTACCCTCTGAAAGAGAATTTTCTATATAGGTCCACGATATCGTATAGCCGCATTTTTCAATGGAATGGTCTAAAAATCCACACAAGGAGTTCCCTCTGAGAACTTTACCCCTGGAAGAGAATTGTCTACATAGGTCTACGTTTTAGAATAGCACCCATATAACGCTACCCTGAGATATTCGGTATTTCTAGGATTTTCGCGACATTATTCACCGAAATTGTATCAAATTTAGTATTTGAAGTTCATAATGGGTACTACAACCTATGCCGGAAAATTGTCCATGCAGGGCTGCGTCTTAGTATAGCCCCCATACAACCGTACCTCCCTTCATTCGGTATTTTGATGATATTAGCGACATTATTCACCGGAATTGCGTCAAATTTCGTATTTGAAGTTCGGAATCATTACTACAGCCTTGACCCGACACCTATCTCCCGGTAATCCCATGTCTCATTAACTTAAGTCAAATAACACTTACCGCATATAGTATTCGTTCCACATCTCGCATTTCAAATTTTAATGTAAAATTCATTTCTTCACTTAAGGCATTCAGTAGATTTATATCCATGCCGAAATAATGTAGAGTACCATTCTCAAAATACTGCATTCCGACATATGGTGGCTGGGGCCATGTATTGATAACCAATGGACATTTGTGCAAATTGTACAACTTATGGGGGAATAAAGGAGAGTTTTGAAATTGTACACCATCAAAGTAATCAATGAGCAAGGGTTTGGCTTTATAACACTCTTCAGCGGTATAGGGAAAATAGGTATACATCAATACTTCACCCTTGGCCGTTTGTATCATGACATTGCAGTGTAGCCAATAATTATCTAAACAGTATTGAAAAATGAGCTCCATCTCTCTGGGTATTACATTGTCGCGAGCTTGCAGAAATATTAGATAGTATTCAAGACCATCAAAATTGGCATTGTTCGTTGCCAAACCAATGTCCCTGGGGAAAAGAATATAAAGTAATTAAACAAATACTTAGCCTTGAAAATTTTTTTCACCTGGAGATACTTACAGCAAAGATTGATACGAATCCACCAAAATAATGTTGCAATATTTTCTTCCTCGCATTTCAAACGTAGCTTTTTGCTTTACATTTATCAGGACTATCTGAACGGTCATTGCAGTTGTTAAACTAAATAATTCCATCATAATGTAGTTTAACCAATGTAAAGATGGCAAATCTCGGGAGGATATAAACACGGCATAGGTAGAGGTCAATGTTTCAAAGACATTTTGAATTAAGAAACGCAGAGCTTTAGCCACAAACTGGTTTATTCGGTCATCCTGTTTTACCATAAACTGTCTTTGTTCATAGCTCAGTAAAAATGCACTATGATTCATTGTTCTGTCGCCTGTTTTCAATGAAGTTCTGAGTGGTTTTGTTCCGATATTCGGCTTTGTCAGTATCTTTTATGAGATTGGCATCAGTAATGACTTGATTCTATTTTTTTGGGAAAGCAATTAATTTTGTGGAACTAATGCTGTTCCATTTGTCATGCTGACAATTAATCAAGTTCTGTTTAAGAGTATTATAACTCAAAAATTAAGGAAGAGGTGTCTTATCCTAATTAGGCACACAACTTCTTTCCCACCAAATGAGGGAGTTTCAGTCAAGTAAAGTCAATTGAACAACATGTGGTTAAAAACACATCCTGTCAACGGGAACCTCTACAGACAATTTAATACTTCAAGGAATTTGAAACAATTTCGTGGGTAAATGTGACTAGAATTCTCGAAACACCGAATATCGGTGGGTATCGTAATAGTTGCTCTATAGGAAAACGTGGACCTAAATATTCAATGTTCTGCCACTGGAGCTAGAATCCATTATTAATAATAACAAATACCGATGCTTAGATAAATCCGTGGAAAAAGGTGGCAAAAATCATTAAAACACCGAATATCGGGCGGTACCATTATGTGGGCGCTATACGTAAACATGGACCTATATACTATGCTCCGCCACCGTTGCTAGAAATACCAATTTTTAGACAAATACGTGGAAAAATGTGGGGAGAGTACTGAATATCGGTCAAAATACATGATATGTTCCACCACCGGAGCTAGAACCCATTATGACATGCAAAAATACATTTTCAGACAAATCCGTGGAAAAATGTGGCAAAAATCATTAAAATATCGAATATCGGGCGGTAACACTATGTGGGTGCTATACGAAAACATGGACCTATATACTATGCTCCGCCACCCGAGCTAGTACCCATTGCGAATTTTTAGACAAATCCGTGGAAAAATCGTCAAAAAACCAAATATCGGGAGGTACCGGTATGTTGGGCTATACAAAAACGTGGACCTGTACATAATATGTTCCACCACCGGAGCTAGAACCCAAATACAAATTTTCAGACAAATCCGTGGAAAAATGTGGCAAAAATCATCAAAAAACCGAATATTGGGAAGTACCAGTGTATGGGGCTATACAAAAATGTGGACCGATATATCTCATTTTCAATACCAACCTTCCTAAACACAATAAAAATTGTTGTGCCAAATTTTGAAGCTCTACGTCAAATAATGTGGGCTGTATCGTGGTTCCAAAAGACAGAGAGACTGCTGAAATTTCTAAGCCACTTGTCCGACTGAAAAAAAAGTTATTCGTGATGCAATTCAAGCGTGATGGTGTGATTTTTTATGGCTGGAAAACCACAAATGGCTATCGTTAGAGCGAAAAGTAAAAAAACGACTTGATCGAAACCCTCCCGCAGTGGCCGAAAAGTGAGCTGAACATATCGCAAAATTCCATTCGGCAAATACAGGGTTGCCCATATTCGACGGACCCATCTGGCAACGCCATAACTTTGACAGAGATGTCACATCGCTTAACGACATATCGCGTTTGAAGCGTCAGCCCAAGCAGATTTTTACCATGAACCAATACACGCCACGCGAGCGCTCTGAAATAGTTGAAATTTACATTCAGAAGAAGTCAATTGCGAAAACTCAACGTGCTTTTAAAACATAAAAAAATGTGAGAAGTGCGCCTTCTAAGAACACCATTAAGCGTTTATACGAAAAATGTTCGACTGGTAAGGCTCTTTCTAATCCGAAGAGGCCATATAAAAGTCGACCAAGGTGATCGGCCGAGAATATCGCAGCCGTACGAGTCAGTGTTGAGAGGTTCCCAAGAACATCCCAAAAATGCCGTTCTCAGCAGTTGGCCATGGTCCACTTTACAACGGATTAATCGCATTGATTTGCATTTGTTTCTGTACAAAATTCAATTGACGCAAAGAATGTTGCCTGCGGACAAGCCTCGTCGATTGGAATGGGCCCAAAGGGCCCAAAGCTCCGTCGAATATGGGCAACCCTGTATTAAAAAATGAGCTCGGGGTAAAGCCGTTAAAATTCCAAAAAGTGCAAGAACTTACACCGCAACAGAAAGAAAATAGACTCGAAAGAGCTATAGTGTTGCTCCGCTTGGACGAAAGTGGTGAACTGCCGTATTTGATTTTCTCCGATGAGAAAACATTCGCTGTCCAGCAGTTTGTAAACAAACAAAATGATCGTGTTTACTTACCAAAGAGGTCAGCTAAAAATTTGCATCTTCGGTTGGCCACCAGAACTCAAGCGCCGGCCATGGTGATGGTGAGGTGATGGCCGCCATAACAGCCGATGGTCGCTCTCCGGTCGTATTAATCGACCGTGGCATCAGAATAAATGCGGAATATTATCGCGAAAATATTCTGGAGGGTGTATTAAAACCTTGGGTTCCCAAACATTTTGGCCGCAGTCCTTGGACATTCCAACAGGACTCAGCACTATCGCAATCAGCACGCGCCTCCCAAGAATGGTTACACAATGAGGTTCATCGTTTCATTTCCAGCGCACAATGACCACCAAAATCTCCGGATATCAATCCGTTGTGTCTGAAGTATTTTGGAAAGCAAGGTTGGCACTAAAAATACCAAAGTATCGATCACCTCAAGCAAGCGCTTCGCCGGGAATGGACCAAAATACCGCAGAGCAACATTCGAGCAGCGTGTGACGGTTTCTTTGGCCGTTTGAAGGCCATAATTCATGTCAAAGGTAACCAATTCGAACAAATCTAAAATTATTTTAAAATTTGCTGCTATTTCCGATATTTCTTGCTTTCATTCAATAAAATTAAAAAAAAAAACAAGTTAAAAAGCAGTAAGTTCGGCCGGGCCGAACTTTGAATACCCTCCACCATTTGCAATGAATTTGGAAATTTTCAAAAAATAAAATCCTTAAAAAATTCTGTTAAAATTTTAAAAGTACCGAATATAGTCGTTATATTTGGGTCTATACGACGTGGACCTACATAGGCATTGTTTGCCATTAGCCATTACCATATTCAAATTCGAAACTTGAAATAAACGGTGAATAATGTAGCTAAAATCATCAAAATATCGTATATATGGGAGGTACCATTATATCGGAGCTGTGCGAAGACCTGTATTACTAGCGTAAAATACGATATCTCAAACAATTTCGGTGGGTTTTGTACCTAAAATCGTCAAAATACCGAATATTGGGAGGTACTGATATATTGGGCCTATATGGAGACCTGGACCTGCATAAACATTTTTCTGTCACAGACTGTAGTTCCCAATACGAACTCTAAATACGTAATTTGAAACAATTCCGGTGAATAATGTCGCTAAAATCATCAAAATACCGAATATCGGGAGGAACCGTTATATGGGGGCTATATAAAAACGTGGACCTACATGGCCCATTTACGAACTTAACCTGCCTACTGTAAAAATGAACACGTGTGCAAAATTTTAGCCTTCTATCTCAATTTGTTCGAAAGATAGCGTGATTACAACAGACAGATAGACGGACATGGCGAAATCGGAGGAGTTCCTTGTGAGTACTTTATCCCTTAAAAGATAATTATATAAAATTATATAGATAATTATAGTAGACCCACGATATCATATAGCGCCCATATAATCGCACCCCCTATATAGATCCACAATATCGTATATCCCCAATATATCAGCACTTCCGATATTAGGTATTTTAAAGTTGTTAACAGAATTTTTAATGGATTTTATTTATTTGAAAATTTTCTAATTTATTCCAAATGGTGGAGGGTATTCAAAGTTCGGACCGGCCGAACATACAGTTTTTTTACTTGTTGAACATTATTTTTAATATTTATATTTAATATAAATATTGTTGTTGTTGTATATTGTTGACCTGTTATATTTGTTTTACTTATTTGGTTAATTGCTTGGCTTAAGGTCATTAAAAAACTATGTTTTTATTTTTGAATTTTTCCTTTTTTTATTCATCCAATATTTCGATTTCCTCCGGAAATCATCTTCAGGGATCTGTTTTACAAAAAACACAAATTACAAACTGATTTTAACAATATATAACATAATAAATAACATACATTTTTAAAGTAAAAAGCTCGTCTATTGAGTTTAAATGTCACTATCAAACTAAGTTTTCTTTCGTCGGTGTTTATGAACTAGGCTTCTGTAAATGTGAGCACAATGGTCTGTATCGGTTTTATAATTAATTCGTTTGTCATTTGGTAAACTTATAATATGTAACATTTCCAATGTAAATCGTCTTTTGTAATTATTTTCTTGTGCTAATATGTCGACGGTTTTAAGGTCGGGTTTATGTCCTGTCAATGTGCAATGGGCAGCTAAAGCAGTCTTCTGTTCGAGAGGCTTGTCACTTTTTTGATCCGATTTATGTCCGGAAAGTCTAGTTTTTAATTTCGTCTTTGTCGTGCCGACATATGACTTTTGGCATACGTCAGCGTCGTCCCCATTACATGTTATCCTATAAACTACATTGCACTTGTCCTCATTCTTAATTTTAGATTTTGTTTTACTAAACAGACTGTCGACATTATTACGAGATTTAAACGCTAATTGATAGTGGTAGTTGTTCTTGTTTTAATTTTTGGTATTTGTTGATGTGTCTTGTTTTGTTTTTGTTGTCGTAGCTGCGACGGAGAACATTTTCGCTCTCAATGTATTTGTTGTAATCTTCTTCGTTCATTACCTGCTGCAGTTTCGTTTTAGTTTTTTTGAGTATAGTTTTGTTGTTGTGGAGTTCTTTATGTTTTTGTTGTATTATAAGCTTTAATATTTTTATGTGGAAATTGTAATTGTATTTTTCGAGTGTTGATAATAAATTTGGCGGGATTTTCTCATTTGTTTGGAATATGTTGTTGGTGTTTTTAGTAGTGTTAGAAATGAACTTTGGAACTACACCTAGCTGTCTGCATTTTATTAAAAAGGTTGTTGATGCTGTCAAAGTTGCTGTTTGCCGGTTACGTTTGGAATATTGCTTGATGTTATTAATCGTGTTTGTGTCATATTTTTGTTTAATTTCTTTGTATAAATGCATTTTTAACGTATTTCTCTTAATTATGATGCGGTGTGCCTTCCGTGTTAAATGTTGTTGTTGTATATTGTTGACCTGTTATATTTTAATATAAATATTTATAAAATTGACAAATAATAAATTCGCTGGTATGTCAAGGCGAAGTATTTTTTTCACTTCACTAACAAATTTTGACAATACATGTAGCGGGAAGAGTTGTATTTTTAGGGAATTCGCCTTCTTGTCGACCTTGTAATTGGGCCATGGCCATGGTTTGCAATAAGAATTTCTAAAGTATTGTTAAATATTTGTTGTTTAGTGCTCTTCTTTTATTATTTTCTTCTCAAGTTGTATTGCAGCTTTATTTGTACCTGGTCTAATGGGTACTATCTCTTTTGTTGTTTTCATGTGTTTTGGCTTATTTATATAGTAATGTGCTTTGAAGAATGAACGTGGTTACCATTTCGTACTAAATTGGCATTCTTGAAACTTCTCAAGAGACCGCATTAAATTTTCTTTCTTTATTATTATGGTCGCTTCAAAGTAATTTGTCGAATACATTTTGTACGAATTTAGATTTTCTTGAATACAATTCCAGCAGAAATATAACAAATGATACAAAATATAAAATTGAAGTCATTTCCAGCACACTGATAACATGCATAAAGGACATTTCGGAAATAGTGCGTTGAGACTCGTCGTTATTGGGATGATCCACACCAGTGTAATGTATCTTCCACGCCAACTGGAAACCCGATGCAAAGAAACGTAAAATATAATCATTTATGGTTTCAATGAGAAATGAGTGTTTGGGTAAATAAATGATAGTTTGAATATTGTTAACGGTAAATGGTAAAATTTCCAAACTATTTTTAGATTCCATATTGTTAAGGAAATATTTAGCAATTTCCTTATCCACAATGGCAGCATAGTTGCCCTTCGAACAATTATCCAAATAGGTCAATGTATGCATTTCGTTAGATGTATTCATTACTATTACTGGCAAAAGATTCTCCTCAACCTGTTGTATTTTCTCCAAATATCTCATTGTATTGCGACTGCATATCAATGTAAATCCCTGCTGTGCCAGTGCATCCAGAGATTGAGGTAGATTTTCGAATATATCGAAATTATATAAATAATATAACATTGATTGATAGAGGGAACGTAATAACAGTGAACTCCATAACCAGGTTAAAACTGATAGGGATTGCCATTTAAATTGTGGTCTGTAGGATGTACTAAGGCCCAATAATATTTCAAGAAATTGCAAATTCGTCATGGGATTTGTTTGACGTCGCATCTGATTAATGCATATCATTACGAGTAGACAGCATAGCAGGCATATCCATACGTTAGCCTTGTAAGGAAATACCAGAGTCTTCATAGATGACAACGGATAAGGATTTCGAATGACAACAGCCACAAGGGTGGTATGAAAAGTTGTAACGGTACTTGAGACAATTCGATCTAGTGTCAATGCACGTCTAGTGTACGATACGGTCATGTTGACTTTACGTTCGCTTATCTGAAAAAAAGAGAAAATAGGGAAATTTATTTTACTATTTTTAATTAGAAATTTTACTCAAATGTATGTTATGTCTTCAGGACTTTTGGTATTGAAAATGGGCCATGTAGGTTCACGTTTTGGTATAGCCCCCATATAGCGGCACCTCCCTATTTTCGGCATTTTAATGATTTTAGCAACATTATTCACCGGAATTGTTTCAAATTTGGTGCTTGAAGTTCGTAATGGATACTACAGCCTATGACAGAAAATTGTCTGTTCAGGATCATGTCTTCGTACAGCCCCTATATAATGGTACCTCCCTATCTTCGGTATTTTTGAGACTTAAGTGACGTTATTCACCGGAATTCTTTCAAATTTGGTATTTGAGGTTTGTAATGGACTATAGACTACAGCCTATGACAGAAAATTATTTGTGCAGGTCCACCCCATCCTATTGCCCCTATATAATGGTACCTCCATATTTTCGGTATTTTGGTGAATTAAGCGACATTATTCACCGGTAATGTTTCAAATATGGTATTTGAAGTCTCGAAAATTGTCTGTTCAGGATCACGTCTTCGTATAGCCCCCATATAAAGGTACCTCCCTATTTTCGGTATTGTGGAGATTTAAGTGACATTATTCACTGGAATTCTTTCAAATTTGGCATTTGAGGTTCGTAATGGGTACTACAGCCTATGACAGAAAATTGTTTGTGCAGGTTCACGTTTTGGTATAGCCCCCTTATAATAGTACCTCCCTATTTTCGATATTTTGGTGACTTAAGTGACATTTTTCACCGAAAATGTTTCAAATTTGGCATTTCAAGTTCGTAATGGATATTACAGCTTGTTACAGAAAATTTTCTTTTCAGGATCACGTCTTCGTATAGCCCCTATATAACGGTACCTCCCCATATTCGTTATTTTGATGATTTTAGCTATTTTACTATTTACTATTTTTTATTAGAAATTTTACTCAAATATATATTATGTCTTCAGGACTTTTGGTACTGAAAATGGGCTATGTAGGTCCACGTTTTGGTATAGCCCTCATATATCGGTACCTCCCTATATTCGGTATTTTTATGATTTTAGCTACATTATTTACCGGAAATGTTTTAAATTTGATATTTGAAGTTCGAAATCGATACTACAGCCTAAGACAGAAAGGTGTTTGTGCCCCATATAATGGTACCCTCCGATATTCGGTATTTTGGTGATTTAAGCGACAGTATTCACAGGAATTGTTTAAAATTTGGTATTTGAGGTTCGTAATGGATACTACAGCTTAGGACAGAAAATTGTCTGGGCAGGTCCACATCTTCGTATAGCCCCCATATAACAGCACCTCTCGATATTCGGTATTTTTATGATTTTAGCTACATTATTCACCGGAAATGTTTCAAATTTGGTATTTGAAGTTCATAATGGATATTACAGCCTAAGATAGAAAATGTATACTACAGCCTATGACAGAAAATTGTCCATGCAAGTACACGTCTTCGCATAGCCCCCATATACCGGCACCTCCCGATATTCGGTATTTTGATGATTTTAGCGACATTATTCACCGGAATTGTTTCAAATTTGATATTTAAGGTTCATAATGGATACTACAGCCTATGACAGAAAATTGTCTGTTCAGTTCCACATCTTCGTATGGCCCCCATATAACGGTACCTCCGATATTCGGTATTTTGACGATTTTAGTGACATCGTTCACCGATTTTTTTCAAGTTTCGCTTTTGAATATTGTAATGGCTTATGACAAAAAATGCCCATGCAGATCCCCGTCGTCGTAAAGACCCTAATATAACGTCTACACGTTATTAACAGATATTTAAGGGATTTTATTTTTTTTTTTTTTGAAAAATTTCCTAAATTCGTTCCAAATGGGTGGAGGGTATTCAAAGTTCGGCCACGTCCGAATTTAGCTGATTTTTTACTTGCTACGTTCTCAATTTTCCACATCTAAATATCACTTAACTTATAGACTTACCGCAGATATTAGTTTCTCAACATCTCTATATTTAACCTTTAAAGTAAAATTCATTTTGTCACTCAAGGCCTTCAATAATTGTATATCCATGCCGGAATAGTGTAGAGTACCGTTTGGTAAATTTTCAATTGCAACATAAGGTAGCTGGGACCATGTATTGACGGACAACGGACACTTGTGTAAATTGTACAACTTATCCGGAAGGAAGGGAGGGTTTTTAAATCGTTCACCATCAAAGAAATCAATTAGCTTGGGTTTAGCTTTATAACAATGGTCCGCAGTGTATGGGAAATAGGTGTACATCAATATTTCCCCCTTGGCCGTTTGTATCATAACATTGCAGTGTAACCAATAGTTATCTAAGCAGTGTTGCAAGATCAGCTTCATCTCTCTGGGTATTTCGTTGTCGCGAGCTTGTAGAAATATTAGATAGTATTCAAGATCATCAACAAAAGCGTTGCTCGATGCCAGGCCAATGTCCCTAGCAAAAATAAGGTAACATTAACAGATTACTTAAAAAAATGTGTACTCCTCTTAAATCTACTTACAACAAAGCTTGATATGAATCCACCAAGAGAATGTTGCATTGTTTCCTTCCATGCATTTCCAGAGCCATCTTTCGCTTGACATTTATTTGAACAATTTGTACGGTCATCGCTGTGGTAAGACTAAACAATTCCACCATTATGTGATTCATCCAACGCAAGGTTGGCTCATCTCGCGAGGATATGAACACTGCATATGTTGAGGTCAGGCTTTCAAAAACATTTCTAATTAAGAAGTTCAAAGCCTTCACCACAAATTGATTTATACTTTCATCTTGTTTGAATAGCCCTTCATCAGAGCTCAGTAGTATGGCGCTATAATTCATGACGTTGGTGTCCAATGTCCGATGTTCTCGATGGTTTTGATTCAATATCTAGGATTGCGCTTTGATTTTATTAACGCGTCAAGTAAATGTGATTGGGATCAATGTCTTTATTGTTTTCACAAAAAACTTTTAGTTTTGTGAAATTAACTACTTCATATTTGACTTGCTGGTAATTAAGCGCATATCCTAGTAACGTCTCTTTTTTTTCAATACCATAAAGGAAGCAAAAAAGTTTTGAACTTTTTTTTCGGAATAGTGCTGTAAACAGAAACGTACTTAGGATTACAAATATAAAACAAAAATATAATAATTATGCGTAATTTATTTCAAATTAAATAAAGCAATATGTTTTCAAAGTACATCATGACAACAATTCGGCCATAATTAGATAGTAACGCGAATATATTGAATGATTAATTTGGGATGCAATAGCTAGTGAAGGAGCGGCAATGTGGAAGTAAATTTAACGCAAAAACAAGTAAAAAAGCTGTAAGTTCGGCCGGGCCGAACTTTTAATACCCTCCACCATTTGGTACAAATTTGGCAATTTCTAAAAAAATAAAATCCGTTTAAAATTCTGTTAAAATCTTAAAAATACCGAATGCCTATACGACGACGTAGACCTGCATAGGCAACTTATGCCATAAGTTATTACAATATTTAAATGCGAAACTTGAAGCAAAATCTGTTTATAATGTAGCTAAAATCATCAAAATATCGAATATCGGGGGGTACCGTTATATGGGGGCTATACGAAGGCGTGGACCTGCCCAGACAATTTTCGGGCATGGGCTGAAGTATCCATTACGAACTTCACATGCGAAATTTGAAACAATCCCAGTAAATAATGTCGCTAAAATCATCAAAATACCGAATATCGGGGGGTACGGTATATGGGGGCTATATGAAGACGTGGACCTACATGGCTCATTTTTTGACTTAGGATGTAGTATACAATACGAACTTCAAATACCAAATTTGGAACGATTCCGTTAAATAATGTCGCTTAAATCAATCAAAATACCGAATATCGGGGGGTACCGTTATATCGGGGCTATATGAAGACGTAGACCTACATGGCTCATTTTTTTTACTTAGGATGTAGTATCCATTACGAACTTCAAATACCAAGTTTGAAACGATTCCGGTAAATAATGTCGCTAAAATCATCAAAATACCGAATATCGGGGGATACGGTATATGGGGGCTATACGAAGACGTGGGGGCTACACGAAGACCTACATGGCCCATTTTCTGTTTTATGCTGCAGTATCTATTTGGAACGATTCCGTTAAATAATGTCGCTAAAATAATCAAAATACCGAATATCGGGGGGTACCATTATATGGCGGCTATACGAAGACGTGTACCTGTACAGATAATTTTCTGTCATAGGCTGTAGTATCCATTACGAACTTCAAATGCCAAATTTGAAACAATTCCGGTGAATAATGTCGCCAAAATCATCAAAATATCGAATATCGGGAGGTACCGTTATATGGGGGCTATATGATAACTTGGACCTACATGGCCCATTTACGAACTTAACCTGCCTACTGGCAATATATACATGTGTGCAAAATTTTAGCCTTCTATCTCAATTTGTTCGAAAGATATCGTGATCACAACAGACAGACGGACAGACAGACGGACATGGCTAAATCGTCTTAGAATTTTACGCTGATCAAGAATATATATATGCTTTGTTGGGTCTGACATGAGTATTTCGAGGAGTTACAAACGGAATGACAAAATTAATATACCCTCCATAGTATGGTGGAGGGTATAATAATAATTGTTTGCCTATTATAAGATTATATTAATACCAGGAATGAGAAATTATACATGGTGAGATGAAAAAACTGCAACCAACTTCAGACTGCTGTCATTTCTAAGCCACTCGTTCGACAACTGTTATAATTATTCCAGTGACAGCTCATTATATTGTTTACAAGCATACAAAAGCATTTTGGTGATAATTTTCTGGAAAAATAGTTATTCGTGATGGAATTCAAGCGTGATAGTGTGATTTCTTTATATTTGGTGAAGAAGTGACTTGACCCGCCTCGCAGTGGCCGAAAAATGGTTCGTGAGCTGAACGTATCGCAATAATCGAAATATTGAAAAATGAGCCCGGGGTAAAGCCGCCACAGAAAGAAAATAGACTCAAAAGAGCTAAAGAGTTGCTTCGCTCGGTCGAAAGTAGTGAACTGCCGAATTTGGTTTTCTCCGATGAGAAAAAAACATTCGTCGTCCAGCAGTTTGTAAACAAACAAAATTATCGTGTTTACTTGCCAAAAAGTCCAGCTGAAAATGTGCACCTTCGGTTGGCCATCAGAACTCAAGCGCCGGCCATGGTGATGGTGTGGGCCGCCATAACAGCCGATGGTCGCTCTCCGCTCGTATTAATCAACCTCGCCATCAGAATAGATGCCGAATATTATCCCGAAAATATTCTGGAGGGTGTATTAAAGCCTTGGGCACTCAAACAGGACTCAGCACGCGCTACCCAAGAGTGGTTACAAAATATCGTTCCTAGCTTCATTTCCAGCGCACAATGGCCACCAAAATCTCCGGATATCAATCCATTGGACTATTATGCCTGGAGTATTTTGGAAAGCAAGGTTACCACTAAAAAATACCAAAGTGCCGATCACCTCAAGCAAGCGCTTCGCCGGGAATGGGCCAAAATACCGCAGAGCAATATTCGGGCAGCGTGGACGGTTTCATTGGCCGTTTGAAGGCCATAATTCGTGACAAAGGTGACCAATTCGAACAAATCTAAACTTATTCTAAAATTTTATGCTATTTCAGACATTTTACACATTTGGATTAATTTCATGTTTTATGAGCTTTATGAATATTCAAAAATTTGACTCTTTACGGGGGAGGTACCAGAAGGTGTGGACCGACTTTACACCGCCTTTACACCAGACCTTGGGCTAATAAAAATATTGTGATGTGTGTAATTTGAAGACAATCGGATGCTTACATCACATTTTATAAGAGTTATGATTATTCAAAAAGTTGAGGGGAGGAGGAACTTAATGGAGTGGACCGATATTGCCCATCTCCGAACTCGATCTAAGTTTGACAATAATATTACGATGTACCAAGTTTGGCTCAAATTGCCAGATAGACAGACAGGCAGACGGATGAACATCGCTAGATCGGCTTCAAATGGCTTCAAATTCAAAGAGACCTAGGGTCTAAAACCGTTATTTGGATGAGGCACTTTTGGTCGTATCAAAAGATATATATCCTCTCTAGCCATATGACTGAGGGATAAAACAAATATTGAAATATTGAGAACAAATTAGTTTACTTGCATTTTCCAATGATAAATTTTTTCTTTGGTAAGAGAAGTGACAATCGTTAAGTCTGTTCGGACGCAAGATGGCCAAATATCGTCAAAGGCCGTATCCAAACCAACCCCTCTAGAGACATAGAAATCGGGGACAAGCAAAGTGGCGAGGATATTGAATTAAGAAGAAACAGTTCAGGCACTTGGCAGCGTAAGATTCAGAAGCTTCGTCGATTGCTTGTGAATAATGTCACTAGAAGCCTGAATCGGAGTGATTGTGCTTCTAGTTTAGAGTTTTTCATTTTTATACCCTTCACTACAAGGTGGTCAGGGTATTATGTCTTTGTGCATTTGTTTGTAATAGGCAAAAGGAAACGAGATAGACCCATAGTTCCTTTTGATGATCTGCATAGAATCATATTCTGAGTTGATTTATTCATGTCCGTCCGTCTGTCCATGTATTTTTGTAACCACAGTACAGTTCGCATTTATTGCCCTATCCAGATGGAATTTTGCACAAATCATTTGTTTGGTCCAAGGACGAACCCTATTGAAATTGGAGATAATCGGTTAACATTTAGATATAGCTTCGTCCGATTTGCCTTTTATTGTGCACCAAACGTGTAATATCAGTCCGAATAGCATGGAATTTCGCACGTGCGATCAGATTGGACCTAAAAATAAGTATGCAAAATTTGATCGAAATCGGTTCAGATATAGCTATAGCTCCCATATATATTGTTCATCCGATTTGTTATTTTTGTCCTCCACAGCCGTAATATGCACTCTGTAACAACAATATTTGGGGAAATATATCAAATGCAGCTCAGAAATGCATTTGCTAAATTTTATCGAGATCGGTTCAGATTTGGATATAGCTCCCATATATAACTTCGTCCGATTTACTTTTGATTGTGTACCAAACGTCTAATATTTGCCCAAATGTGATGGAATTTGGCATATATGACCGAATTGAGTCTAGAAGGTAGTATGCCAAATTTGGTGAAGATCGGTTCAGATATAGCTATAGCTCCCATATATACTGTTCATCCGATTTGTCATATTTGTTACCCACAGCCGCAATATGCACTCCGTGACAACGATATTTAGGGAAATATATCAAATACAGCTCAGAAATATCATTGCCAAATTTTATCGAGATCGGTTCCGATTTGGATATAGCTCCCATATATATTTTTATCCGATTTCAAATTAATTGTGCACCAAATGGACAATACAAGTCCGAATTTAAAAGATACAAGTACTTCGGCATAACTTTAAATTATAATTATAATCATAGCGTGTATGATTGAATTCTCCCATCAAAAATTTTAATTGTTATGCGCAGCTCTACTAAATTAGCAAAGTGGTGTGGAGTATCATAAAGTCGGTCTCGCCCGACTTTAAGAATTTCCTTACTGGTTTTTTTTTGCTGATTGTCATGCCAAACTTTTTCGTTTTAACAACTGAACCTATTTCGATAATCCTAAATAAAACCTCCTCCATCACTCAATAATTGATAAAGTATTTTGTTTTTATTTTTAAAGGACTTTTTCAAAGCATTTCTGTAAAAATGTAGATTTTTTTGAATAAAGTTCCAACAAAAATATTACAAATGAAAGAAAGTACAGGATTGCAGTCATTTCCAGCACACTGATCACATGCATTAAGGACATTTCGGAAATAGTTCGCTGAGAATCTTCGTTATTAGGATTTTCCAAACTTCGGTTGTGTAACTTCCAAACCACCTGAAATCCTGCCGCAAAGAAACGTAAAATATTAGCATTTATGGCTTCGATCAGAAATGAATGTTTTGGTAAGTAAATTGTTGTCTGGATACTGTTGACGGTGAATGGTAGAATTTTCAAATTATTTTTCGGTGCCATGTTGTCAATGAAAAATCGTGCAATTTCTTTGTCCACAATTGCGGCATAATTTCCCTCTGATATTTTATCCAAATAGAAAAGTTGATACATTTCATTGGTGGAATTCAGAACAATGGTGCGTAGCATATTCTCCTCAACTTGTGGTATTTTCCGGACAAACGTCATTGTTTTGCGAGAGCTAATTAAGGTAAACCCCTGCTTTGTCAATGTATCAAGGGATTTGGGTAAATTTTCAAATATATCGAAATTATACAAAAAGAATATCATCGATTGATAGAGAGAACGTAAGAGAAGGGAGCTCCATAACCAGGTTAGCACCGAGAGCGAATGCCATTTGAGTTGTGGTCTGTAAAGGGTACTGAGACCCAAAAGTATTTCAGCGAAATTGAGATTTGTGAAGGGATTTGTGTGACGTTGCGTTTGGTTAATTGCAATCGTCATGAGCAGAGAACATAGCAGGCATATCCATACTGTAGTATCGAAAGGAAACACAAGAGTTTTTAGAGATGACAGCGGATAAGGATTTTGAATGACTACCGCTACGAGGGTGGTATGATAAACTGTTACAGTACTAGATCCAATACGATCCAGTTCCAATGAACGTCTAGTATACGACATGCTCATATTAACCTGACGATCTCTTATCTGAAAAGGCAAGAAGAGATGTTATACCTGAATAATGTTTATGGTTTTTTTACTTACCACAAATTTTATGCGCTCGTCATCCTTATATTCGAATTTTAAACTAAAATTCATATGCGCACTTAGACCATACAATAAGTTGATATCCATGCCGGAATAATGCAAATTGCCATCATCTAAATATGTCATCGCAACATATGGCGGTTGGGGCCAAGTACTGGCAGTCAATTGGCATTTGTGTAAATTGTTCAACTTATCGGGAAACAATGGGGCATTTTGAAATCGTTCACCATCAAAGTAATCAATAAATTGGGGTTTAGCTTTATAACAATCTTGCGCGGTATAGGGAAAATAGGTGTACATCAGTACTTCACCCTTGGCAGTTTGTATCATAACATTGCAGTGTAGCCAATAGTTATCTAAACAATATTGAAGTATGAGCTGCATCTCTCTAGGAATCATTGCATCTCTAGCTTGGAGAAATATTAAATAGTATTCCATGCCATCGTAGGCGGAGTTGATCGATTCCAAACCAATGTCCCTTTCGGAAAAAAATAATATACCATTAATACATTATCAGTAAAAGAACCCTGTTAGAGCTACTTACAACAAGTCCCGATAGGATTGCACCAACAGAATGTTACAATATTTTCTTCCACTTACTTCAAACTTCACTTTTTGTCCTGCATTTATTTGCACAATTTGAACGGTCATTGCCGTTGTAATGCTGAACAACTCCATCATGATGTAGTTCATCCAATGCAAGGTGGGCTGATCTCGCGAGGCTATAAACACCGCATACGTTGAGGTAAGAGTTTCAAAAACATTTTGAATTAAAAATCTCAAAGCCTTGGCCACAAAACGATTTATACTTTCGTCCTGTCGAAAAAGACCTTCATCATGGCCCACCAAAAATGCGCTATAATTCATGGTGCCGACGGTATGGCTTCAACGATGTTTCAAATGTTTTTGTTTTCATATTCTTCACTTCCATTACTTTTTGTTATTGGGTCGACGGAATAGGGGTAGGGGTTGACAAATTTATTGTGTTTCGAAAGCTCTAAGTTTTGTGGAAGTTATGTTGTTCTATTTGTTTTGGTGGAAATTATGCATAAGTTTGGTATCATCATTCCGCAATTAAGTTGCAAACAATTAATTATTTGTGACCAAATGTAATTGATAAGGGAAGTTATTTTATTATTCGTTTCAGAACCAGGAAGAATCGACCAATTTTGAATTTTTTGCTTGGATATCATAAAGCGATTATCGGTGGTAAACAATTTAGTTCTGCAACACACTATTAATTATTACGTAACTATTTTTATACCCTCAGCCATATGGCTAGAGAGGTATACAGGGTGAGATAAAACAAGTAAGCAAAGGCTATAGTTGTTCGGGGCCGACCATGTGATACCCTACAACAATACAATATGTTAGAAGCCCCCTTATATTCAGATCGATTTTGGAAGATTTCTCTTTTGAAATTATGTCACGGAGCACCGACCTGACCAGGGAATTTTGCCCAATAACGAAATCAGCATAAAAAAAGACAGAAGTTCAACTTTTGTGTATTTCGGATATCGCCTGTAAGTAATGCTGGTATTTTTTTCAAACAAAAGTAGTGGTTCATTCTACTCGCTGTCCTAATCTCGAACTTCATGCGAGATTTTGTGTCCTTTGGTTTCAATTTGTGACCTTTATAACGGCTGCAAAATCAGGAACATTTTTAATTGTTGGTCCATTTCAACGTCCAAATATATTGCGGACATCTTTAAAACCAATAGGTCTATCCCTTCTGAGCCTTACCCTACCCTTGCGAAAAATTTCCTGAGGATCCGATAATAATTGCAATCTGTATATAACCCCAACCTGTGTTGTAAGGTGAAAAAAATATTAAAAAATGTACACCTCAATATTATAAGTCAAATTAAAAAAAATCGTATGCGATAAAAAATATGAAAAAATAAAAAAATTAACAAAATACTACAAAATCTGTATAAAAACCATTATTGGCATCTTTATGAACGATTTTTTAGATTTTATTCTTTTATGCCAGGAGGGCATTCAGAATTGACAAAATTTGTCAAAATAGGTCCAGCCATTCTTGAGATATAAGCATTTTAGCTAACATCCCCTTCCTTTGTTTATACACATTGTATATATTTCGCTATATATATCCGATATATTTACTATCGGCATCTACGTAACGGTCAGAATTGACCTGTTCGTCTATTTGTGATTTCGCCGGCACTAAAAATATTCGCGGTTTAATGCAAAATTTGACTTTTACTTAACACAAATGTTATAGTCTATTTCACCCACTAAATATTACCCGATGACCATTAAAATTGGAAGGCTTCTGCCCAGCCTTAAGCTCTAGCCACATGCTAACTTTCGAGTCGTTTGGTCTATAATTGCGACCTGCAGAGCAACTGCAAAATCAGGAAATTTTTCAGTTTTTGGTCCATTTCAATACATAAACATTATGCGATCATCTCCAAAAGAAATAGGGTTCTATTCTGACCTTCTATCCTAACCCCACCTCCACACTAAATTTCGTGAAGATCGGGCCATAATTGCGACCTGTAGAGTGATTACAAATTTACATGGACAGGCGGACAGACGGACGGACGGACATACATAGCTAGATCGACTCAGCTCCGCGAGATAGGAAGATCCATATATACTTTCCTATGTGGGAAACCAATATTTCGAGGTGTTATATAATTTTTGGCCCAATCAAACTTATAATACCCCCAACACATAGTGTTGTAGGGTATAAAAACTGCGACAAAGTCAAACGCCATAATTTTTACATTTTGTTTTTTAAATTTTATTGAATGAAAGAAAAACATGTCGGAAATAGCATCAAATTTTAGTCCGAATTGGTCACCTTTGGCACGAATTATGGCCTTCAAAGGCCAATGAAACCGTCACACGCTGCCCGAATGTTGCTCTGCGGTATTTTGGCCATTCCCTGCCAAGCGCTTGCTTGAGGTGATCGATATTTTGACCTTTTTTAGTGACAACCTTGCTTTTCAAAATACTCCAGACACAGTAGTCCAACGGATTGGTATCCGGAGATTTTGGCGGCCATTGATCGCTGGAAATGAAGGGAGGAACCTCATTTTGGAGCCATTCTTGGGTGGCGCGTGCTGAGTGCGATGGTTCTGGGTCCTGTTGGAATGTCCAGGGTCTGCGGCCAAAATGTTTGCGTGTCCAAAGCTTTGATATACCCTCCAGAATATTTTCGCGTTAATATTGGGCATTTATTTTGATGCCACGGTCGATTAATATGAGCGGAGAGTGAACATCGGCTGTTATGGCGGCCCACACCATCACCATGGCCGGCGCTTGAGTTGTGGTGGCCAATCGAAGGTGCACATTTTCAGCTGACCTTTTTGGCAAGTAAACACGATCATTTTGTTTGTTTACAAACTGCTGGAGAGCGAATATTTTCTTATCGGAGAAAACCAAATTCGGCAGTTTACCACTTTCGGCCAAGCGAAGAAACTCTTTAGCTCTTTTGAGTCGATTTTCTTTCTGTTGCGGTGTAAGTTCTTGCACTTTTTGGAATTTCAATGGCTTTACCCCGAGCTCAGTTTTCAATATTTACCGAATGGTATATTGCGATATGTTCAGCTCACGAGCCATATAAAGAAATCACACTATCACGCTTGAATTCCATCACGAATAACTGTTTTTTTTTCTGGAAAATTCTCACCAAAATGCTTTTGTACGCTTGTAAACAAACATATAACGCCACCTACTGGTATTCGGAATTTTGATGATTGCAACGACATTATTATGAAGTTCGTAATGGATAATATAGCCTCTGACAGAAATTTGTCTGTATAGGTCCATGTTTTAGTCCCCATATAACAGTACCTCCCGATATTCGGTATTTTGATGATTTTACCGACATTATTCACCGAAATTGTTTCAAATATGGTATTTGAAGTTCGTAATGGATAATATAGCCTCTGACAGAAAATTGTCTGTGCACGTCTTCGTATAGCCCTCACATAACGGTACCTCCCGATATTCGGTCTTTTGATGATCTTGGTATTTTAAGTTCATAATGGATACTACAGCCAAATACAGAAAATTGTATGTGCAGGTCCACGTTTTTGTCCCCATATAACGGTACCACCCGATTTTCGGTATTTTGAGGATTTTAGCGACATTATTCACCGGAATTATTTCAAATTTGATATTTGAAGTTCGTAATGAATACTACAGTCTATGACAGGAGAGTGTCTGTGCAGGACCACGTCTTCGCATAGCCCCCACATAACAGTACCTCCCTAAATTCGTTATTTTGATGATTTTAGCTACAGTATTTACCCAATTTTTTTTTCCAAGTTTCCCCTTAGAATATTGTAATGGCTTATGACAAAAGTTGCCTATGTAGGTCCACGTCGTCGTATGGACCCTAATATAATGGCTACTTCGGTGTTTTTAAGATTTTAACCGAATTTTTGGCGGATTTCATTTTATGAAAATTGCCAAATTCGTTTCAAATGGTGGAGGGTATTTAAAGTTCATCCCAGCCGAACTTACAACTTCTTTACTAGTTTCAATTAATCCCACTTTTTAAAATTCCTTCCTAGGACATGGACATATTATTGGCATTATTTAAGTTGTAAGCCATGTTTAGACCAGCCATAATAAATCGACTAAAACTGAAATGATGAAAATAATACGCGGTTTATAGAATTGAAAAAATGTCGCAAGGATTTAAAAGAGAAAGTTAAAAATGCATTTACGATTTGCGTGACGTATATCCTATGAAATTGACATTTGAAGTCGAGTGGCGAGCTCCAACGTAATATATTCCGAGTCTTGTGGTGAGCTATTTAAAAAAATAGTCTTTCCGTACGACACGTGTTTGTAGGAAAGAAAGTTTGAAGCTACTTAAATATGCACTAATTAGGTCTACTTCAAAACTATATTCCACAAAGTTATGCATTGAGTACATAAAACCCACACGCGCATAACTTTAAGTAACTCCAAAACAATTACAACAACTATTAATCAAATGCCATAAAATTTGATAGAGAAAACCTTTGTGCCCATCCTGTGGTCCCTGGAACCTTTCAGTTCGAACTAAGCCATGAATGTAAGCGCTCTTTATCGGCACTACGAGGACCATTTGGGAGGCGGAGAAATAGAAATGAAAAACATGGTCGGGGCATGTTTACTTCATATAATCGGTTACTATTTCGTCAGATGGTCGAAAAGTTTTATTCTGATAATTTCCGTGGAACGTGAAGACAGTTCAGCATTCTACAATGATGTATTGGATCGAACATTTGCCAATTGGAAACAATACTCCCTGCAAATAGTTAATGTGCATAGGGGGCAAAAGCGGCGGGTGCGTGGTACAAGAGACTACAATATGGTGTTGATAGATTCATATGAAAGCTTTGTGTAAGTACAAAAATTATCAAAACGATTTTCGCTTAAAATTCAAAAATTTCAATACACATTTTTAGATCCGCCGACTTAGTTGCCCACACTAAGAATAATAATCACAATGAATACTATTATATATTCCTTAAGAGATCCGATGCAATGTTGTGGCCGGTTATGCAACAAATCTTTGAATATTGTTGGCAGAATCACTTGATCAATTGTGTGATTCAAATACAAACGGATCGGGGGGAGTTGCAATTGTACACCTATTACCCGTTTACACGTTGGCAGTGTGGCAAAGCTCAAATTGTTCGGATAACTGGATTGAATGCATCCGGAAAGATGAGCAGGGAGATGTTGTTTCCCAGCAAATTGAAAAACTTTTATGGTTGTCCACTGAGGGTGGCAATCTGGCATATACCGCCGTTTATGTCGCTTTCAACCGATGCTGAGGGGAATGTCCAACTGGATGGTGGTTGTGAAAGTAGATTGTTAAAGATGCTCAGTGATCGTTACAATTTTAGCCTTGATCTCAGAGTGTTCGATGACGATACTCGTGGCAATGTATTTCCAAATGGATCGACAACGGGTGTTCTTAAAATGGTAAGTCGAGTTTTTGTTTTGTGGGTTGGTTTCCGATTCGACTTGAAATCTATGGTGGGCAACAGCTTACTTCGCGCAGTTAATATTTCAATATTTAAGTAGCGGTATAATCTAAACTATATGCATAAAGAAACCAGTAAAGAAAGTCTTAAAGTCGGATGGGGCCGACTTTATGATACCCTACACCACTTTGCTAATTTAGTAGAGCTCCGCATAACAATTAAAAGTTTTTTTATGGGAGAATTCAATCATACACGCTATGAATATAATTATAATTTAAAGCTCAAAGGATTAAATAGGCAGAAGCATTTGTATCTTTTAAATTCGGACTTCTATTGCCCATTTGGTGCACAATTAATTTGAAATCGGATAAAAATATATATGGGAACTATATCCAAATCTGAACCGATCTCGATAAAATTTGGCAAAGATATTTCTTAGCTGTAATTGATATATTTCCCTGAATATCGTTGTTACGGAGTGCATATTACGGCTGTGGGTAACAAATACAACAAATTGAATGAACAATATATATGGGAGCTAGCTATATCTGAACCGATTTCGATCAAATTTGACATACTACCTTCAAGTGCCAAATTTCATTTGGACAAATATTTGACGTTTGGTGTACAATCAAAAGTAAATCGGACGAAGTTATATATGGGAGCTATATCCAAATCTGAACCGATCTCGATAAAATTTAGCAAATGTATTTCTGAGCTGCATTTGATATATTTCTCCAAATATTGTTGTTACAGAGTGCATATTACGGCTGTGGGTAACAAATACAACAAATCGGATTATCAATATATATGGGAGCTATAGTAATATTTGAACCGATTTCGATCAAATTTTGCATACTTATTTTCAGGTCCAATCTGAACGTACGTCCAAATTTCCATACTATTCGGACTGATATTACACGTTTGGTGCGCAATAAAAGGCAAATCGGACGAAGATATATATGAGAGCTATATCTAAACTTTGACCGATTATCTCCAATTTCAATAGGGTACGTCCTTGGGACAAACAAATGATTTGTGCAAAATTTCATCTGGATAGGGAAATAAATGCGAACTTCACTTTGTTCACAAAAATACATGGACAGACGGACGGACATGCATAAATCGACTCAGAATGTGATTCTATACAGATCATCAAAAGGAACTATGAGTCTATCTCGTTTCCTTTTGCCTGTTACAAACAAATGCACAAAGACATAATACCCTGACCACCTTGTGGTGTAGGGTATAAAAAAAAGCTGTAAGTTCGGCCGGGCCAAACTTTAAATATCCATATCATTTGTCAATTTTCAAAAAAATAAAATCCGTTAAAAATTCTGCTAAAATATTAAACATACCGAATGTTGCCGTTATATTAGGATCTATACGATGACGTAGACCCGCATAGACAATTTTTGTCATAAGCCATTACAATATTCAAATGCGAAACTTGAAAAAAAATCGGTGAATAAAGTAGCTAAAATCATAAAATACCGAATATAGGGAGCTACCATGGGGGCTATACAAAGACGTGGACTTGCACAGACAATTTACTGTCATAGGCTGTAGTATCCATTACGAACCTCAAATACAAAATTTGAAACAATTCCGGTGAATAATGTCGCTAAAATCATCAAAATACCGAATATCGGGAGGTACCAGTATATGGGGGCTATGCGAAGACGTGGACCTGAACAGACAATTTTCTGTCATAGGCTGTAGCATCCATTACGAACTTCAATTACCAATTTTTAAACAAATCCGGGAAATAATGTCGCTTAAACGTGGACCTACATGGTAATTTTCAATACCAATAGTACTGCAGACATTTAGGGTGAGATAAAAAAACTGCAACAAAGTCAATCGCCATAATTTTTACATTTTTCTATTTTTTTTTAAATAAAAGCTTTATTTAAAAAAAAAATAGAAAAATGTAAAAATTATGGCGATTGACTTTGTTGCAGTTTTTTTTATCTCACCCTGAATGTCTGCAGTACTATTGGTATTGAAAATTACCATGTAGGTCCACGTTTAGCATCAAATTTTAGAATAAGTTTAGATTTGTTTTGACACGAATTATGGCCTTCAAACGGCAAATGAAACCGTCACACGCTGCCCGAATGTTGCTCTGCGGTATTATGGCCCATTCACGGCGAAGCGCTTGCTTGAGGTGATCGACACTTTGGAATTTTTTAGTGCTAACCTTGCTTTTCCAACGGATTGGTATCCGGAGATTTTGGTAGCCAGTGTGCGCTGGGAATGAAGCGAGGAATCTTATTTTGTAACCATTCTTGGGTGGCGCGTGCTGAGTGCGATGGTGCTAAGTCCTGTTGGAATGTCCAAGGTCTGCGGCCAAAATGTTTGCGTGCCCAAGGCTTTAGGCCTCCACTCTCCAGAATATTTTCGCGATAATATTCGCCATTTATTCTGATGCCACGGTCGGTTAATACGAGCAGAGAGCGCCCATCGGTTGTTATGGCGGCCCACACCATCACCATGGCCGGCGCTTGAGTTCTAATGACCAACCGAAGGTGCACATTTTCAGCAGACATCTTTGGCAAGTAAACACGATAATTTTGTTTGTTTACAACTTCTGGACAACGAATGTTTTCTTATCGGAGAAAACCAAATTCGTCAGTTAGCCACTTTCGGCCAAGCGAAGAAACTCTTTAGCTATTTTGAGCCCATTTTCTTTCTGTTGCTGTGTAAGTTCTTTCACTTTTTAGGAATTTTGGAATTTTGGAATATTGCAACATGTTCAGCTCACGAACCATTTTTCGGCCACTGCGACGCGGGTTTCGATCAAGTCACTTTTTTACTTTTCGAACCATTTCTGCTGATGTTGCTGTTTCCTTCCGTCCATTTCCTTGACGTCAGACTACGCTACCAGTATCACGGTAACGAGCGATGGTACGAGACACAAAAGATTTATTCACATTTAAATGCTGGAGTGCTCTAACGATAGCCACTTGTGGTTCTCCAGCCAAATATAAAGAAATCACACCATCACGCTTGAATTCCATCACGAATAACTTTTTTCCTGGAAAAGTCTCACCAAAATGCTTTTGTACGCTTGTTAACAATATATATAGGTGTCGAACGAGTGGTTTAGAAATGACAGCAGTCTGAAGTTGGTTGCAGGTTTTTCACTTCTCCCTGTATGGGGGCCATACGAAGACGTGGACCTGCACAGACAATTTTCGGTCATAGGCTGTAGTGTTCATTACGAACTTCAAATACGAAATTTTAAAGAATTCCGGTGAATAATGTCGCTAAAATAATCAAAATACCGAATATTCGGAAGCGAAGAGTGTTTTCCACAGACGGATATCCTAATAACATTTGTTTCCTTTACTTTTCAGTTAAATGATCGTGAATTGGATTTTGGAATAGGCTCATATCATCAAAATGCTTTACGAAATTCCGTGGCTACATCAACTGTCAATTACTACCAATCCATAATATCTGTTGTCATGCTGCGAAGTGCCTTGCGTCTAAGTGACTCAAAAGCGTTAATCTATCCCTTTCAACCAAATACCTGGCTTATTTTGTTTGTCGTCACAATTGCCGTTATCTTGGGAGTGTACATTTTTCGCCACATACGTCATACGACCGTGGTGAAACCATTTACCGATGTCTTTATCAGTATGCTGGGTATGCCTTTTGTGCACATGCCGCCCTTCAAGGAGCTGCGTGTCTTTGCCTTGTCATGGATATTCTTTACACTGATCATTCGCAGTGCCTACTTGGGGTTTCTTTTTCACATAATACGATCCCACTTGCTCTCAAATCCTCCCACCGATTTGAATACTCTAATTAGTCGTAATTTTGGAATAATTGTTAGCGAACGTGTCAATCATATAATTGCAAATATTTCAGAACTTAAGCAACTTAACCATACGATATTGCAAAAGAAACCCGAAACGTATACATTGGAGTATCTGTTGAACCTGCCCCCAGAAGAGGGGAATCATGTGATGGGCATATCTGCCGTGGATTTTCTACAATATCAAATACGGGCCCGGCGATTGAGAGATGTTGTGAAAATTATGCCCTACGACTTGTTGGGTTTCAAGATCTGCATCTATTTGGCCAAACATTCCTATCTGAGTGATCAATTCAATGAGCTGCTAATATGGGTACGTGACTCTGGGCTAATTGAATATTGGAAGAAAACTCAATTGGATTCGGGTTATGTGAATGGTAAATGGCAAGCCGAGGATGAGCTATTCGATATGGCAGAACTGAAAACCGCATTTATGGCTGTAGGCATTGGTGATGTCATAGCCATTTTGATATTTCTCGTTGAGGTATTTTATCACAAGTATTTCGATCATGACGATGACAATGATGTGCTTGTGTTCATTAATTAAACATTTATTTTTGTATTTTTTGAAATAATAGATAAATAGAATTACAAAAAAAAAAAAAAAATTAATAAATAAATAAATTTATAATTTATATTGATCCATGACTTAGGTTGTTAAGTACGGATTTTCCTAACTCGCCGAGCTGAGTCGACTCTTCTATGTGTGTCCCTCCGCCCGTCCATGTTAAATTGTAATTCCTCTTCAGGTCACCATTATGGCCCGATCCTTACGAAATTTTATTGAGAGGTTGGATTATGTTTAGAATAGAAGCCTTTTGTTGAGGGAGATGATCGCAAAATTTTTAGGGGCTGAAATTTGAATTTTTCAGTTGCTCTAGAGGTTACAACTAACGACCAATCGGAATTTTGTATGTGGCTGTAATATACTGTGAGTGAGAGACGTGAAAAACCTGCAACCAACTTCAGACTGCTGTCATTTCTAAGCCACTCGTCCGACAGCTGTTAAAATTATGCCAGCGACAGCTCTTTGTATAGTTTATAAGCATAAAAAAGCATTTTGCTGAGAATTATCCAGAAAAAAAGTTATTCGCGATGGTCGGTATCCGCTCGTATTAATCGACCGCCGCATCAGAATAAATGCCGAATATTATCACGAAAATATTCTGGAGGGCACGCAAGTCACTGTAGCTTCCGAACGAATTGAAGTAGATTGATATAATTTTACTTAAATGTATGTTATGTCTGCAGGACTTTTGGTATTGAAAATCGGCCATGTAGGCCCACGTTTTAGTATAGCCCCTATATAACGGTACCTCCCGATATTCGGTATTTTGATGATTTTAGCTACATTATTCACCGGAAATGTTTCAAATTTGGTATTTGAAGTTCGTGATGAATGCTACAGCCTATGACAGGAGATGGTGTGTGCAGGTCCACGTCTTCGTATAGCCCCAATATAACGGTACCCCCCGATATTCGGTATTTTGATGATTCTATGGACATTTTTTCATCAGAATGGTTTCAAATTTGGTATTTGAAGTTCATAATGGATACAACAGCATACGACAGAAAATTTTCTGTGCAGGTCCACGTCTTCGTATAGCTCCCATATAACGGTACCTCCCGATATTCGGTATTTTGATGACTATAACGATATAATTCACCGGAATTATTTTAATTTTGGTGTTCTAAGTTTAAAATGAATACTACAGCTTAAGTTTGTTTGTGCAGGTCCACGTTTTTGTATAATCCCCATATTACGGTACCTCCTGGTATTCGGTACTTTGACAATTTTAGCGACATTATTCACCGGAATTGTTTCAAAATTGGTATTTGAAGTTCGTAATGGACACTACAGTCTATGGCAGAAAATTGTCCACGTCTTCGTATGCCCCCCATATAACGGTACCTCCCGATATTCGGCATTTTGATGATTTTAACGACATTATTCACCATAAAAATTGTCTGTGCAGCTCCACGTCTTCGTAAAGCCCCAATATAATAGTACCTTCCTTCCTATTTGGAATTTGATGATTTTAGCTACATTATTCACCATTTTTTTTAAATTTCGCATTTTAATATTGTGATGGCTTATGACAAAAGTTGCCTGTGTAGGTCCACGTCGTCGTATAGACCTTAATATACATTCGGCTACATTCAGTATTTTTAAGATTTTAACAGATATTTTAACGTTTTTAAATTTTTTGAAAATATCAAAATTCTTTCCCAATAGTGGAGGGTATTCAAAGATCGGCCCGGACGAACTTACAGCTTTTTTTATTTGTTTAATTTCACATTCAAAAATTTTGGGTATATTTGGAGAAGGATGACAGTTTCTAAACAGGAGTGATATTCCCCATTTTCACACTAGGTCTCATATTGGGGACTCTATTCATAAAGGGTAATTTTTCAAGAGCTATAGGAAAGATCATAGAAACCAATGAAATATTTATTTGAATTTATAGTACGGTACGCATTATTGAATTAAAAAAAAAAAACAAATCATGACACAAACTCAAACAATCTTGGGTCTCTTAATCAAATAGTACCCTTAGTTTCGTAATTTTCTGGGATAACAACTCCAATAAAAACGTTAGCACAGCCAATAACTGTAGAGCTCCACAAATCACATAGATCCCCAGTAGATCTTTTTGTTCGATCATTTCATCATCCTCTTTGTAGGAATTCATCATCGTTTTCGAATCAAAGTATCGCTTTATATAATACCTTTGGAGACCACTCGATTTCAGGTCCATAATCATTTTTTCAAAACGATATGCCAATATTGTGTGTTTGGTAAAATATATCGTTATTTGCTGCTTCATAACCGTTTCCGGGATGACATAGAACAACGCCACTTTACCACTTTCCTGGGCGTAATGCATCAGGAATTCCTTGGAGATGACAGCGTATAAATTTCGACTCAAATTCTCTTCCACATATTTTATGGCTGCCAATTCATCGCTGGAATTTAAGATAATCGGTTGTAAGTTGTGACGCGAGCGATCATGATAGAATGGAATATTGGCAACATCGTAGAAGGTAAAACGATTCAAGACCGAGATATAATTTTGATTTGTTGCATCTCCCAAATTTAAGGGTAACTTGTGATAGATGTCGTTGCTGAAGAGATAATACAAGAGGCCAGAGTAAATTGATCGCAATAGAAATGTGCCCCATATCCATGGTCCAAGCATAAAATACGAATGACGATGTTTAATTGTCTCACGAACTGGCAGGCCAAAGGCACTAGTCAACATTGAAAAGGTACGCATTGATTTTGGCCGTTGAAAGCGCACCAAGCGTGTTACCAGCAAGATCGAGGCTCCACAACCAATTATGGCACTCCAGGTGTACAGGCGAAACGGGTAGGCCAACACTTCAAAGGTATTGAAGATATGTGCCCGCAAATTGATTACCGCCGCAATAGAACTTTGATAATGCGGAGCTGTGTTGGTATAGAGATCTGCTGTCAACGAACGTTTGCGGTAATAGCCAAAAACGAAATCTGCCGTTCGATTTGCCAGCTATGTGGAAAAGAAAAAAATGAGGAAATGAAATATGTTTCTATACCACGCAATGGAGGGCACACAACGGAGACCCCATAAAATATGTACATACTCTTGATCAGCGTAAAATGTTAAGTCGATTTAGCGATGTCTGTCCGTCTATCTGTTGAAATCACGATAGAGTCCACATTATTCAATCTAGAGCTTTAAAAATTTACACAAAGTTTTATATTATATGCAGGCTGATTGGCATTAAAAATGGGATATATGTATCCACGTTTAGGTATAGCCCCCATATAGCGGTACTCCCCGATTTTCGGTATTTTGAAGGTATCTGTCACAATTTTTAGCCAAACTAGATGATATTTTATATTTAGGGTTCTTGGACGGTCTGTTCTCTCTGTGAAAAAAATATTCGCTACAGGTCCACTAATTGGTATAGCCCACATATATAGAATGGTACCTTAAGATTATGGGTATTTTCAATTTTTCTGTCACAATTTCCAATCGAATTTTCAATTTTCTTCCCTACCTTCCACCATAGTATGGAGGGTATATTATGTTTGTCATTCCGTTTTTAACACCTCGAAATATACATTTTAGACCCCACAAAGTATAAATATTCTTGAACAGCAAAAAGTCTATGTCGATTTAGCTATGCCCGTCCGCACCTCCGTCTATACGTCTTTGGAAATCACTCTAACTTCCGAACGAAATAAAGTGGGTTGATAAAATTTTACTCAATTATATATTATGTTTGCAGGACTTTTGGTATAGAAAATGGAACATGTAGTTCCACGTTCTGGTATAGCTCCCATATAACGGTACTTCTCTATTTTCGGTATTTTGATGATTTTAGCGACATTATTCACCGGAAATGTTTCAGGTTTGGTATTTGAAATTCGTAATGGATACTACAGCCTACTACAGAAAATTGTCTATGCAGGTCTACGCCTTCATATAGCCCCTATATAATGGTACCTCCCTATTTTCGGTATTTTGGTCATTTAAGCAACATTATTCATCCGAATTGTTTCAAATTTGGTATTTGAAGTTCATAACGGATACTACAGCCTATGACAGAAAATTGTCTGTGCAGGTTCACGTCTTCGTATAGCCTCTATATAACGGTACCTCCTGATATTCGGTATTTTGATGATATTAGTGGCGTTATTCACCGGAATTGTTTCAAATTTGGCATTTGTAGTTCATAATGGATACTTCAGCCTATGACAGAAAATTGTCTGTGCAGGTCCACGTCTTCGTATAGCCTCAATATAACGGTACCTCCCGATATTCGGTATTTTGATGATTTTAGTGGCATTATTCACCGGAATTGTTTGAAATTTGGCATTTGAAGTTCGTAAAGGATACTACAGCCTATGACAGAAAATTGTCTATGCAGGTCCACGTCTCCGTATAGCCCTCATATAGCGGTACCTCCCGATATTTGGTATTTTGATGATTTTAGCGACACTATTCACCGGAATTATTTCAAATTTGTCATTTGAAGTTCGTAATGGATAATTCAGCCTATGACAGAAAATTGTCTGTGCAGATCCATGTCTTCGTATAGGCCCCATACAACGGTACCTCCCGATTTTCGGTATTTTGATAATTTTAGCGACATTATACAGCGGAATTGTTTCAAATTTGGTATTTGAAGTTCGTAATAGATACTACAGCCTATGACAGAAAATTGTATGTGCAGATTCACGTCTTCGTATAGCCCCCATATAACAGTATCTCCGGATATTCGGTATTTTGATGATTTTAGTGGCGTTATTCACCGGAGTTGTTTCATATTTGACATTTTAAGTTCGTAATGGATACTTCAGCCTATGACAGAAAATTGTCAGGGCAGGACCACGTCTTCATATAGCCCCATATAACGGTACCTCCCGATATTCGGTAATTTGATGATTTTAGAATTGTTTCAAATTTGGCACTTGACGTTCGTAATGGATACTTCAGCCTATGACAGGAAATTGTCAGTGCAGGGCCACGTCTTCATATAGCCCCATATAACGATACCTCCTGATATTCGGTATTTTGACGATTTTAGCAACGTTATACTCCGGAATTGCTTCAAATTTGGCATTTGAAGTTCGTAATGGATAGTTCAGCCTATGTCAGAAAATTGTCGGTGCAGGTTCACGTCTTCGTATAGCCCCCATATAACGGTACCACCCGATATTCGGTATTTTGCAGGTCGAAGTCGTCGTACAGACCTAAAGCAGCGGCTACATTGTGTATTTTTAAGATTTTAATAGAATTTTTAACGGATTTTATTTCTTGGAAAATTGTCAAATTCGTTCCAAATGGTGGAGGGTATTCAAAGATCGGCCCGGCCGAACTTACAGCTTTTTTTATTTGTTTAATTTCACATTCAAAAATTTTGGGTATATTTGGCGAAGGATGACAGTTTCTGCCTATAGTTTCAAAAAGAAGTGATATTCCCCATTTTCACACTAGGTCTCATATTGGGGACTCTTTTCATAAAGGGTAATTTTTTAAGTGCTATAGGAAAGATCATAAAAAACCCATGAAATATTTATTTGAATTTATAGTACGTTACACATTATTGAAAGTTTTGAAGATGATTTCATTTCCATTAGTTTTCTAGTTGAACTTTTGTAATGAGATTGCAAAGAGAATGACAACGTGAATTCACCCCCTGTCCCTTTTGGTGGTGTATGTATTCAACTCACCATAAGCAGTCCTCCACGTAAAGCCGGATAATTGCGATCATCGTCCTCAGCCTCCTTTAAAATCAATGTAAAATTTAAGACCCTTGCAAACTCCTTGACAATTGCCACTTCGAAACCGGTAAATTCTCCATTCTCATCGTAGTACACATAAGGTCGAGTGCAGCGTACCACACCAATCAATGGACAACCATAAAAATTGTTGGTTTTGGCATGGAAATAGGGTCGTCGCAACCATTTACCATCGACAAATTGATTGATGTGCTGTGGTCGGGTACTGTTGCAGGTCCCCCAACCGAATGGGAAATATGTATACAAGTGTAACTCACTCTTGCGATTCTGTATTTGAATGTTACAATTCACAATTTGATTTTGCCAACAGTAACGAAAGATTTTCTCCATCTCCTCGAGTATGATGAGATCGTTTTGCATGAGGAACATGTGATAATATTCACTGGTGTCATACTGCTTCGTATACGCTATTGGATCAATATCTCTGGAAAAAATGTATACAAATTTCATTTAAATTTTTCCTTCTAGAAGAAACCTTATTCTACTCACAAAAATGCCTCATAGGAATCAATGAGCAGGAGATTATAAAACCTTGGACCCTCTATCCGCTGGGGATTTTTGTGGTCGACAAACACCAATTGGGCATTCAAATCCGGTATCATATCGAAAATAAATTCCAAAACATTGAGAAAAAAATAAAATGTCCTTCGGCGCCGAGTTGATATTACAATCATAAAAGAGGTTGTCATTTCCATAAAGAAATTCTGAATAATGCGACATAGCGACTGGGCAACCACGGCATTCATATCGTATTGATTGATTTGCGATTCTTCTAGGCGAGTTTGACCGAAATTGAACAAATTTGTTACATTCATTGTTCTTTTTTGTTATGTTTTTAATTGAAATTTTCCGAACGAGTTGTTAGTTGACCTGCATTTGTTAATAACTTTTAATTGAATGATGAACAAATGGTAGAATTTTTGCTTCAAGTTAGCTAAAGTTGTGACGTCACGGTTATTATAGATGTCAAAAAACTTTTTCAATTATTTTTGTCATAATTCTTGACCTTGCTTTGACTTAGCTAAAATTTTTTGTTTTGTTTGGTTTTGAAAGTTAGCAAGGACAAGGATGATTTAAATACCTCTGCTTGAATCACTCAATACGGAGATCGATCCAATCCATGAAGCCGAATTCGGTAAATTTGTATAATCGTCAGAACAGTTGTAATCCAACGTTTAAAAATAAGAGTTCTTAAGGGGTAGATAACCTCTCCATAAACATTTCTCAGACTTTGGTATGGAAAATGGGCTTTGCAGATCCATGTTAAGGTATAGCCCCCTATATAATCCCTATATTCGGTATTTTGATAATTTCAGCGACATTATTCACCGGAATTTTTTCAAATTTCGTATTTGAAGTTCCTAATAGGTACTGCAAGCTATAACAGCAATTTGACTAGGCAGGTTCAGGTCTTCGTAAAGGCCCCCATATAACGATAACTCCCTATAATCGGTATTTCGATGATTTAAGGGACATTTTTCACCGGAATTATTTCAAATTTGGAATTTGAAGTTCGTAAGGGATAGTACAGCCTAAGACAGAACATTGTCTGTGCAGGTCTACGTCTTCGTATAGCCCCCATGTAATGGTACCTCCCTTTTTTCGGTATTTTGATGATTTAAGCGACATTAATCACCGGAAATGTTTCAAATTTGGTATTTTGAAGTTCGTGATGGATACCACAGACTATGACAGAAAATTATCTGTGCAGGTCCACGTCTTCGTATAGCACTCATATAACGGTACCTCCGGATATTCGGTATTTTGATGATTTTAGCGACCTTATTCAGCGGAATTGCTTCAAATTTGGTTCGTAATGGATATTACAGTATGACAGAAAATTGTCTGTGAGGTCCACGTTTTGGTGTAGGCCCCATATAGCGGTATCTCCCTATATTCGGGTTTTTGATAATTTTAGCGACATTATTTATCGGAATTGTTTCAAATTTCGTATTTGAAGTTCCGAATGGGTACTGCAGTCTATTACAGAAAATTGTCTATTCTGGTCCAGGTCTTCATGTAGCCCCCATATAAAGGTACCTCCCAATATTCTCTATTTAGATGATTTTAGTGATATTATTTACTGGAATTGTTTCAAATTTTGTATTTGAAGTTCCTGATGGGTACTACAAGCTATAATAGAAATTGGAATAGGCAGGTTCGTGTCTTCGGATAATTTCCTCCCGATATTCGGTACCTCCTGATATTCGGTATTTTGATGATTTTAGCAACCTTATTCAGCGGAATTGTTTCAAATTTGGTTCGTAATGGATACTACAGCCTATGACAGAAAATTGTCTGTGCACGTCCACGTTTTGGTATAGCCCCCATATAATAGTACCTCCCTATACTCTGTATTTTGATGATGCAGGTCCACGTCGTCGTATAGACCCTAATATTACGGCTACATTCGGCTACATAAGATTTAAACAGAATTTTTAATGGATTTTATTTTTTTTTTTAAATTGCCAAATTCGTCCCAAATGGTGAAGGGTATTCTAAGTTCGACCCGGCCGAACTTACAGCTTTTTTACTTGTTATTTTTAAAATTTCTTCCAAATGGTGAAGGGTATAAAAAGTTCGGCCCGTCCGAACTTATTGCTTTTTTAATTGTTTAGTTTTATTTCGTTTATTTCGACAAAGGCCATTTATTTTCAAAATTTTCTATTTTTATTTCGAGCTATTCAATTTCCTGTGCGAACATTTATAATATACGATTTCCACAACAAAAACCATCACCGCCAGCAAATCAATAATCAAACATGTTTTAAAAATACTCCATAGCTGTGAGATACCCAGAGCTAAGGGAATTCGTTCCTCCCCAGTTTGTTCCAAGAAACGGTCATCGAAAACCTGTCGGGCCCAGTGATCAATTAAACCAAAACTTCGTAAATTTAACAGGACCCGATCAAACGATGGCAGCAAATACGAATGTTTGGAGAAGTAGACACATAATTGTTGAGAGAATATTGTCTCTTCCAGGACATGGAATACTCCATATTTGTGGTAGGAATTCACATAATCCACCAAAAAATCCCGAGGAGTTCCAGTGGCATAGTTCTTGTCCGGATTCGCCTCCAATATGGGATAGCCTCCGGCATCGGTTATATTCATTATCTTCAGATCCAATTGTTTGTTGCGTAGAATGGGTATGCCGGAAAAGGAATCGGATGTGGCCACATTAACAATTAAGGTGAATTTGCGTGCTGCCAACTCGGCAGCCGTATTGGGCGGCTGAACAGTCTTATCCGAATTGAGGAAATCATACAGCGAACTCTGATAGGTGGAACGTAAGAGAAATGTCATCAAAGCCCACATTGTGGTAAAGTAACGAGCGAAATTCCTTTGGGGTTGTAGTGTGTTGAAAGCCGGTTGGCCCAGACTTGTGGCTATAATATTGATGTTAATGGAGGAGGTGCATCGAACGTCGTAAATAAAATGTAGGGTTGGTATATGGATTCTCTCAAAAATGAAGGTAAATACCAACAGTAAAAGGGTTAGCATCAACCACATGGTCCAAATGTAAATATCGAATGGATAGGTCAGGATCTCAAAGCTTTGAAAGGGTTGTCGCCTCGCCAGCACTGTAAAAACCTGCATGGTTTGATAAAATGTTGCCGAGGGGCTAAGGGCCGTTGAACGCTCCAGGGTGCAACGGAATGATCCCAAACTCAAGTCGGCTATGTGGTCGTTGAGCTAAAAGGAAAAAAAAAATTAATTTGATTGTTCCATAATTGGTTACCTAAAAACTCACCATTTTTATGGCCCCCGTAACACTGCCATCCTTCTTCACCAATCCCCTTTGTTCATTATTCGGTGGCGTTTTATAATCCAAATGAAAATTGAATAGCTCAGCCAAAACTTTTAGCAGCCATCCTTCCATACCCTCCATGCCATGGAAGCTAGTTCCGGCTTTTGGTAACATTAAATATGGCGGCACATTCCACAGGGCCGCCATAATGGTACAGTTATGGAAATTGTTGAATTTTTCCGGGTACAATTCAAGACGTGTTAGATTTCGAATTGATTTTCCATGACTTAGTGTGACAATCTGAGGCTTGTGACATTGACGCAATGTAAAAGGGTAGTAGGTGTAAAGAGAAATTGTTTGATTCTCTAGTTTTAATAGCACAGCTACATTGACCATATAATAACGCCAACAGTATTCGAATATTTTTTGCATTTCGTTTTGGGAAGTGCTGGAATTTGCATGGTATATTATCAAATAATATTCACTGAAATCTTTCGTCTTGGCAATGGGTCCAGGTTGGATTTTTCTGAAATATGTATAAAAAAAACGAAATTGGAAATTATTTTAAGAAAACAAATAAAAAAGCTGTAAGTTCGGCCGGGCCGAAACAAAAACAATAAGATCCGTTAAAAATTCTGTTAAAATCTTAAAAATCTGTTCGAAATCTAAAACGTCTAATTCTAATTCAAAGGCGAAACTAAAAAAATAGGTGAATAATGTCGCTAAAATCATCAAAATATCGAATATGGGGAGGTACAGTTATATGGGGGCTATACGAAGACTTGAACCAGCACAGGCAATTTTCTGTCTTAGGCTGTAGTATTTATTACGAACTTCAAATACCAAATTAGAAAGAATTCCGGTCAATAATGTCGCTAAAATCATCAAAATATCGAATATCGGGAGGTACAGTTATATGGGGGCTATACGAAGACTTGAACCTGCACAGACAAATTTCTGTCTTAGGCTGCAGCATCCATTTCGAACTTTAAATACCAAATTTGAAAGAATTCCGGTGAATACTGTCGCTAAAATCAACAAAATACTGAATATCGGTAGGTACCGTTATATGGGGGCTATACCAAAACGTGGACCTACAGGGTGGGATAAAAAACTGCAACAAAGTCAAACGCCATAACTTTTACAGTTTTTTTTAATTTTATTGAATGAAAGCAAAAACATATCGGAAATATCATCAAATTTTAGAATAAGTTTAGATTTGTTCGAATTGGTCAGCTTTGCTTGAGCTGATCGACACTTTGGTATTTTTTAGAGCCAACCTTGCTTTTCAAAATACTCCAGACACAAATTGGTCCAACGGATTGGTATCCGGAGATTTTGGTGGCCATTATGCGCTGGAAATGAAGCGAGGAACCTCATTTTGTAACCATTCTTGGGTGGCGCGTGCTGAGTGCGATGGTGCTGAGTCCTGTTGTAATGTCCCAGGTTTCCGGCCAAAAATTTTTCGCGGTCGATAAATACGAGCGGAGAGAGACCATCGGCTGTTATGGCGGCCCACACCATCACCTTGGCATGAGCTTGAGTTCTGGTGGCCAACCGAAGGTGCACATTTTCATCTGACCTCTTTGGCAAGTAAACAGGATCGTTTTGTTTGTTTACAAACTGCTGGACAATGGCAGTTAACCACTTTCGGTCAAGCGAAGCAACTCTTTAGCTCTTTTGACTCTATTTTCTTTTTGATGCGGTGTAAGTTCTTGCACTTTTTGCAATTACAATAACTGGACCCCGGGCTCATGTTTCAATATTTGCCTAATGGAATATTGCGATATGTTCAGCTCACGAGCCATTTTTCAACCACTGCGACGCGGGTTTCGATCAAGTCGCTTCTTTACTTTTCTAACCATTTCTGCTGATGTTGCTGTTTTCTTCAGTCCACTTCCTTGACGTCGGCCTACGCTACCCGTATCACGGAAACAAGCGATGGTATGAGACACGAAAGATTTATTCACATTTAAATGCTGGAGTGCTCTAATGATAGGTACTTGTGGTTTTCCAGCCAAATATAAAGAAATAACACTATCGCGCTTGAATTCCATCACGAATAACTTTTTTTCTGGAAAATTCTGACCAAAATGCTTTTGTAAGCTTTTAAACAATATAATGAGCTGTCACTGGAATAATTTTAACAGCTGTCGGACGAGTAGCTTATAAATGACAGCAGTCTGAAGTTGGTTGCAGTTTTTTCATCTCACCCTGTATATACAATTTTTAGACAAATCCGTGGAAAATCTGGCAACAATCATCAAAATACCGAATATCGGGAGGTACCGTTATATGGGGACTATACCAAAACCTTGACCCATATATCACTTTTTCAAAACCAACCGTCCTAGACACAATACAAATTGCTCTACCAAATTTTAAAGTTCTACGTCAAGGTATATGGGCTGATACCGGATATCTTATAAAGCTCGCAAATACCTTTGCCAAATTTTATCAAAATTGGCTAAGAATCGGATATAGCTCCCATATATATCCTTAATCCGATTTCAGTTTTATTGTGCAAATGATGGCTAATATCAGCCCAAATGGAGAGAATTCTGGTACGTACGTTTCCATTTGGTGGAACTTGGCTCCCATATATATATTTTTTTAATAATTTACGAAAATCGATTCAGAACTTTCCTTTTTTTTTTGCACATTGAGATAATGATACTTCGTCGCACAATGTTAAAGTTGGCATGATATACCACCTGCAAATTTCAAATATAAACTTATGTTTCACAAGGGTAATAATGTTCAGTATACACCGTCCTGTAAGGTCTTTGAACCGATTTCCAACCCATACCACCATTTACCACTGCCACAAATAAAAAAGTAATAATAAAACACTTACTCAAAACTCCTATACGAATCGATTAGCAGAATATTAAAATAATCATATTCATGGCGATAGTCGACGCCAACATCACTCAGACGTATTTTCATATCATTCCAAGGTTTCAAAATTTCACTCAACAATTCACTGAAATAACCATTGGCAGCGGAGCTCTCAACACTCTTCACCACAGCCACTTGAGAGGTTTGTCCGAGAAAAACCTCGGCATTGAAGTGTCTCACACAACGGGCCATTTCATCGACGTCACGGTCGTCAACTTGATTTATTGGTAATAATTTTCCAAATATTTGTTCAATTAAAAGTAGATTTAAAACTGTCGCAACGGAGATGAGAAACATTTTTAGCTGGACACCATCGAGGAAGAGAAGCCGATGCAAATGCTGTTGTGGGTTTGTGGCATTTTTTGGAAAACTTTATTTAGGTTCGACATTTAACGAATGTTTAATTGCCGGCTAAGATTGAGGTAAACAAGCCAAGGAGGTGGGGTTGTGTGGACAAGGATATAATGGTAGAGAATAGCGAACAGGTTGTTTTGTTTTCATTGGAAATGGTGGGTGGACATCATTGTACTTTGACAAATCGTTTGGCAAAAAATCAAGGTTAAATGTTAGCTTAAAATAAGTTTAATGTATGTGTGTGGGTGTGTAGAAATCGGTTAGGGCTTTTAGGTGTTACCTTGTGCTATTTACTTTTTAGGGGGGGCGGGTTTGTTTTGTTGTTACTACCGACATTGCTAGAGAAATTTGTGTGCTATATTTTTATATCTTCCGTTATTTGGTAGTTAGTTCGTTGTATTACTTTCGAAATATTGAACATGTTCGGAAAGGTGTTTGACGATTGTTAGTGAATTATTTCGTCAAATATTTTTAACAAAGCGCTTCGGTGAGTTAGTAGCTATAAAATGTCAAAGGAAGTGTTAATAACCGGAGTTCAAAGATCAAAACCTAAATATAATTATCTATACGGATATATTTGGCGTTTCAAGGTAATTATGCGGGTTAATAGAAAACTAAAATTTATTTATGAGGGGTACAATTTATAATTATTAAAAAAAAACAGAGAACAAGTAAGCAAAGGCTATAGTCGTGCGGAGCCGACCATGTGATACCCTACAACACTACAATATATTAGGAGCCTCCTTATGTCCAAATCCATATCGGAAGATTTCGCTTTTGAAATAAGGATTTTGACTAGGAACATTTGTCCAATATTTATGAACTCCGTCGGGCTGTTAGGTGTTGTAGTCCATTTTACAGCTAAATATAATCCAGTGGTCATCCAAAATGCTAGAATTCTTCCCTGTACTTAACTCTCTTCACAGGCGTGTCGATTGGCGTCAATTGTGTGATCGGAAAAAACATTTCATCTCCAAAAGCAAGAAGCCCCTCTGTATCTCCAAATTTAGACTCATCTTTATGATTTGCTTGTCTACGATATTTGGCTATAGTCGTCAACAAAATCAGCTTTAAATAAAAAGCCAGCATAAAAAAGCCTTTTGTGTATTTCGGATATCGCCTGTAAGTAATGCTGGTATTTTTCCACACAAAATTAGTGGTCTATTGTACCCCCTGTTCTAAACTCTAACTTTATGCGAGATTTCGTGTCCTTTGGTTTATATTTGTGACATTTATAACGGATGCAAAACCAGGAACAATTTGAGTTGCTGGTCCATTTCAACTCCTATATATATATATTGCGGACATCTTTGAAAACAATAGACTTAGCCCTTCTGAGCCTAACCCTACCCTTGTGAAAATTTTCGTGAGGATCGCACGATATTGTCAATCTGTATATAAATAATAATCCCCAACCTGTGTTGTAAAGTGCAAAAATATTACAAAATATACACTTCAATATTATAAGTCATATTGAAAAAATCGCATGCGATAAAAAATATGAAAAAATAGAAAAATGTCACAAAATACTACAAAATCTATATTAACATCATTATTGGCATCTTTTTATGCGATTTTTTTAAATTTTATACTTTTATGCCAAAAGGGCATTCTAAATTTACAAATTTTGTTAAAATCGCTCCAGCCATCCTGGAGATATAAGCATTCTAGCTAACATCCCCTTCCTTTGTATATATTTCTCTATATATATCCGTTATATTTACTATCGGCATCTACGTAACGGTCAGAATTGACCTGTTCGTCTATTTGTGATTCCGCCAGGATAAAAAATATTCGCGATTTAATGGAAAATGTGACTTTTATTTAACACAAATGTTGTGGATTATTTTACCCACTAAATATTACCCGATGACCATCAAAATTGGAAGGCTTCTGCCCAGCCCTAAGCTCTAGCCCCATGCTAACTTCCGCTTTGATTGGTCTATAATTGCGACCTGTAGAGCAACTGCAAAATCAGGAATTTTTTCAGTTTTTGGTCCATTTCGACCCCTAAATGTTGTGCGATCATCTCCAAAAGAAATAGGGTTCTATTAACATGGACAGACGGACAGACGGACGGACGGACATACATAGCTGGATCGACTCAGCTCGGCGAGTGGCCGAAAAATGGCTCGTGAGCTGAACAAATTGCAATATTCCATTCGGCAAATATTGAAAAATGAGCTCGGTGTAAAGGCATTGAAATTCCAAAAAGTGAAAGAACTTACACCGCAACAGAAAGAAAATAGACTCAAAAGAGCTAAAGAGTTGCTTCGCTTGGCTGAAAGTTGTGAAGTGGTGAACTGCCGAATTTGGTTTTCTCCGAAGCGAAAACATTCGTTGTCCAGCAGTTTGTAAACAAACAAAATGATCGTGTTTCCTTGCCAAAAGGTCAGCTGAAAATGTGCACCTTCGGTTGGTCACCAGAACTCAAACGCCGGCCATGGTGATGGTGTCGGCCGCCATAAAAGCCGATGGTCGTATGAATCGACCGTGGCATCAGAATAATTGCCGAATATGATCGCGAAAATATTCTGGAGGGTATATTAAAGCCTTGGGTATGCAAACATTTTGGCCTCAGACCTTGGACATTCCAACAGCACTCAGCACTATCGCACCCAAGAATGCTTAGAAAATGAGGTTCCTCGCTTCATTTCTACAAAAAAATCTCCGGATACCAATCCGTTGGACTATTGTGTCTGGAGTATTTTGGAAAGCAAGGTTGGCACTCAAAAATACCAAAGTGTCGATCACCGGTGTCAAGTGTCAAGCAAGCGCTTCGCCGGGAATAGGCCAAAATACCGCAGAGCAACATTCGGGCATCGTGTGACGGTTTCATTGGCCGTTTGAAGGCCGTAATTCGTGCCAAAGATGACCAATTCGAGCAAATCTAAACTTATTCTAAAATTTGATGCTATTTCGGACATTTTTTCCTTTCGTTTGACTTTGTTGCAGTTTTTTATCTCACCCTGTAATCAAATACAGTTTATAAATACTTTGCCCAATTATATCGAGATCGGTTCAGATTTGGATACAGCTTATATACATATCTTTGTCCGATTTGCCTTTTATTGTGCACCAAACTTGTAATATTAGCCCAAATGGGCTGGAATTGGGCGCTTACAACCAAGTTGAGCCTAGAAACAAGTATTTCCAATTTGGGGAAAATCGGTTTAGATGTAGCTATATCTCCCATATATATTGTCCATCCGATTTGTTATTTAAGTCCTCCGCGGCCATAATATGCCCTCCGTAACAATAATATTCGAGGATATGTATCAAAAATAACAAAATAACATATTCAACAAATTTTATCGAGATTGGTTTAGTTTTGGATATAGCTCCCATTTATGTATTTATCCAATTTCAAGTTAATTGAGCACCAAACGGGTATAATGAGCCCGAATTGAAGAAGCACGAATGCTCCGGCAAATTTAGTAGAAATCGATTCAGAGGATGCTATTCCTCTCATATATTTGTTCCTTCGGACTTCAAATTATAACTATAATTATAATTGGTATGATTTAGTTCTCACAAAAAAACTAAAGATCTACTAAATATGCAAAGGGGTGTAGGGTATCATAAAGTCAGTCCCGCCCGACTTTAAGATTATCTTTACTGGTTTGTTTTGAAATCATCAATTTTTGATTAGGATATCGATTATTATAAAAATTCACAATTGTTAACAGGAATCTTTTCAAACTATTTTACAACAAATCTACGATTTCTTGGTCAGAAGTTCCATGAAAAAAAATACCATTTGGTCAGAAATTCCTTGATTTGAAACATTTTTTTTTTCAATAATCCAACTCGTCCGGAGTTTTTGCAAAAAAATCCACATGTTTTCTTTTAAATTTCCCAAACTTTTGTGTTGGGAGATCCTTGAGGTAAAAAATAAGTCCTTGAATTATTTTTTTTTAATCAACGATTTTTTGGTCAGAAGATTCTAGAAACATTTTTTTAATTCACGATCAATTTTATAAAAAAATCCACAATTTTGAATCAGTCCAAAGTTTTGGTTAGCAGTACATTAAAAAATTTAGTCCGGAGATTTTTGAAACATTTTTTTGGCTTGGCTTGTGGTAATTAGGCGTGAGGGTCCTTGAAAAAATGAAAAACTCATCATTTTTGTCCAGTTGAATATTTTGTTTTTTTTTTTCAAGAATTCTTGATTTTTGGTATGCATCAATGATGATTTTGTAGAGTATCACATGGTTGGCTCCTTTCCGCAGAAAATTTATAATATAGCCCTCGGTTTTTAATGCAGCTGATTCCGTCGGATTTTCTATATTTTTAAGATATTGGCATCCATGGTTCTCGATTTTAAATGACATTTTAGATACCGTCCGTACCGTAACGTAATTTTATCACGTTCCACCCTGGTGTATAAAATAAATATCCACCAAAAAACATGTATCACAACACAAATATTTGACCAACATTTAAGAGGTGTTTGGTTTAATGGCATACAAATACATACATATAAAAATATTTAGCCGCTTAGCAGCAAAAACGAAGTCACGTGATTTGAAGCAGAAAACTATCAATCCAAACGCACACATACACACTACTACATAAATTTTCTGTGGCTATTACACTTCATGGATATTCTATTTTAATAATGTCTAAATGAAATAATAGTCATGTTTTATTTATTTGCTGCACTTAAATTTTATATTTATACCCTACAACACTATGTGTTGGGGGTATTATAAGTTTGATTGGGCCAAAAATTATGTAACACCTCGAAATGATTTCCCACATAGGAAAGTATATATGGATCTTCCTATCTCGCCGAGCTGAGTCGATCTAGCTATGTATGTCCGTCCGTCCGTCTGTCCATGTTAATTTGTAATCACCCTACAGGTCGCAATTATGGCCCGATCTTCTCGAAATTTAGAACGAAGGTGGGGATAGGGTCAG